TAGGGAAGTGGGAAGCAGGTGACAAAGACTGGGGTGAAGGGACCCACCCCGAGCTCTGCAGGATGAAACTGGGGACAGAAAGGCAAGGCTCTGCAGAGGGCAAAGGACAGCCAGGGTGACACAAGATGACACCTCCTCCAGCCCTATCTCCTCCAGGTCCAGGCCAGAGTTCCTGAAGGTACAGTTCAGATTTAAACATGCATGGGGGACATAAAGGATAATGGGCATTAATTACTCTCATTAATACAATTAATTAAGGTAACATATGCAGTAAGTGGTGTCAGTTATCAGAAGGCATCAGTTCATCCAGGCAGTGGGACAGGTTGCTTATTTCAATAATTAATGTGGCTGATTAATGGGCCTGATTTGGCTCTGTTGTCACTATTACTTATTAATTGATTTTGCCTCTAATATTAGAGGGAAAATGTCCTAAATCTACAAAATAAGGAATTCATTAATTAATGGAGCTGAGGTTTTCACAAGCAGATACTTGAATCCCTGAGTTTGTTAGGATGAGGAGGAGTATGTTCAGGAAATCTCCAAAGAGCTGAAGGTTGACTAGAAATGCCCTGGGGAAGGGGAGAGGATGGGACCCCAGTGGGAATATCCTGTGGCAAAGGCCCTGAGGCTCCTGGGAGTGGCACTCCATGGAGGAAGTTTCAGGAGATCGGTGATGTGACACCAGGAAGGGTGACAGGAAAGAGGTGGACCAAGACAAGAAGACTGGACTTTGTCCTTGGGGAAGCAGGGGCTGCTCAGAAATTCATTCACCTCAAGAATATTGGGACAGAAGTCAGGTGTGGTGGCACCTGCTTATTGTCCCAGCACTCTGGAGAAGGTCATGATTCAGACTGGTGGCCAGAGAAGGCCTCCATAGAAGAGAGGCTTCCAGTAAAGACTGAAGAAAGCAGGGAAGGCACCCTGGGGACCTGTGGAAAGAAAGGGCTCCAGCAGAGGTGACAGAAGGTGCAAAGGCCCTAGGGTCTCTGGTGCTGGGAACAGAGGTCAGTAGGACACTTCTGGTGAGGGATGTGATTGGGCATAGGTGGTGAGGAGTGTTCCGCAGGGCTGTGACAGGACCCTGGGCTCTCATTTGTCTCGACACAGAGGCCATGCCTGGGCTGGGGACAGAGGACAGCTGTGACTGACTTCCCTTTAAAATGACTGCGGTAGCCCTTGGAGAGCAGGGCATGGGACCACAGGTGGGGTGGGGCTGGTAGCCACAGTTCAGACCAGCAATGGCAGTAGAGTATGGAGTACGTGGCCAAGGACACGTGTGTTTTGGAAATCCCAGTGTGCTCTGGAGGGCCAGGGAGGTGAGTGCTGTTGAGTGTCCCCCATCCTCACTTTCCGGCCTGGGCCGCTGTGCTACTGGCCCCCTGGCTCCGGCCACCTCAGGCAGGCTGGCCTCTGGGCCAGGCTCCTCACTGCCAGGGCTCTTCGCCCACCCCAGGGCCCGAGGGGAAGTGGGCAGGAAGCGCCAGGCGACCCCAGTGTCCTGGCTCCTCTGTTCCCAGCTGCGGGCGGATTTCCGGGCCTGAATGGCCGGAAAGGCTGGGATAGGACACCTCACCCGGGAAGGGAGGAGAGCCCCCACCCCTCACCCCACAGTGGCCAGATAGACAGACAGACAGACCCAAGGCTTCGGGAGCTACCGCTGCAGAGGGCAGCTGGGGGGACAGTTGCTAGAGGTCAGCAACTTGGGGCCCCAGAATGTCAAGACTGACATCTTTCCCATGGGAGCCCCTGGCCTGGGGATCTGGGGAACCTGTGATGTTTATTTTTTAGTTGAGCTTTATTTTGTTTTTGTTGTTGGTTTTGTTTGCGTTTGGTCTGATATTTTGGGTTTTCTGAGATAGAATCTCACTAAGTAGCCCCACACTCTCAGTGATCCTCCTGCCTCAGCCTCCCGAGTGTTGGGATTATGCCCAGTTTAGGAGTCTTGTATCTGAGCGGGTATTTCCCTAGCATCCAGCTCCAGGCTAAGGTGACAAACGTGACAGTCCAGGTGACAGGGCTGTGATGGGTCACGCATCCCTTAAGCTGCAGAGCTTCTGGAATGTGCCAGGTCTCTGCTGGGGACTGGGGGCTTGAGGGTGACAGAGACAAAGCCCACACCCTGCTGGCAGCATCTGATACTGTCCAGGGAAATAAATGAGGAGCAGCCATCTTGGGCGAAGCCCAGGAAAGTGAAAGGGGCTGGGGAGAGTGTGGAGGAGGAGGTGTTCCAGACCAGTGGTCCAAGAAGGCATCCTGGAGGAGGTGACTTTAGGCAGAGCCCTGAATAAAAGGGAATGAGGGGCATGCCACATTATAGTCTGCAGAGGTGTGTTCTAAGCCTGGCATTCTGAACAAGTGCAAAGGGCCTGTGGCAGGAAAGAGCAGGCAAGGAGGTGGGTGTGGCTGAAGGTGCAATGGAGGGGTGGTGAGGCAGGTGGTCAGAAAACACCAGCCCTCGCAGGACGTACAGGCCTATGCCTGTATTCTAGTTTAAGAGTGCCATTCCTGGGGCTGGGGATTTAGCTCAGCGGCATAAGCACCTGCCTTGCAAGCAGGCCCGTCGAGAGCTCCATCCCTGATTCCACAAAAAAAAAAAAAAAAAAAAAAAAGAGTGGCATTCCTTTATTTTGATGATAATTACACAGCTACTGAAGGGAAGATAAATTTTGTTCTTCAAGAGATGGGAGGGACTGGGGATTTAGATCAGCGGTTTAAGCGCCTGCCTGGCAAGCATGAAGTCTTGAGTTCAATCCCCAGTCCCCTCCCCCAAAAAAATACAAATGGAGGGCTGGATATGTGGCTCAGTGCTGGAGCACTGCCACATACCTACACACGAAGAATTTTAACCAGTGGTGGTGGCTTGTACTTATGTAGTTGGGAGCTACTTGGGAGGCTGAGGCAGGAGGATCTCTTGAGCCTGGAACTTTGAGGCCAGCCTGGGCAACACAGCAAGATCCTTGTTGAGAGAGGGAGTGAAGCAGTTGGGAGTCCCCCTTGGGGCGTTGGGAGTGGTGTGCAGGCAGTATGCATGCGCTGGGTTGTGACCTTAGGTGCTGCCTGGAAGTGGCAGGGAAACAACAGAGCAGAGGGGGCCTGAGGTGCTGGCCAGGAGGCCAGGAGGGTCCCTGGGTGACCAGGCAGGGCAGGCAGCACCCAGAGAGGAGTGGTCAGGACCCACAGATGCAGGAGATGGCAGCGGCTCCAGTGGAGATGGGAAGACACTTGGGGATAGACGGGATGCATCTGGATGCCTTCAGACATCCAAGGGCTCCAGCTGGGTATGACAGGGCCATGGCTAGGGCCAGTGTTGAGGGCACGGCTGGGGGACGTGGCTCCCAGGCAGCCCTCATGGGGACGCCACAGTTCGAGTTCGGTGCAGGTCTGTGCCCCAGGGTTCCACCCCAAAATCATCCCTGCCTACCTGGCTGCCTGCCTGGGGAGGAGGGGGCACCCACGGGGCCTCCAGGGCTTGAAGTCAGGGGCCTAGAGCAGGAGCATGGAACCGAGGAGGCTGGAGAGTCCCAGTGATTCGGGAACCAGACCCCTGTTACACATTTGACACTCAGGCTCCTGGAGACAGCCCTGTTAGCCAGGTGCTGCCCTGATTTCTGATTTACCAAAACCCAGGCTCAGAGACATGTGGCACTGGCCAGGTCAGCGAACTCCAGTGAGTGCATTGCGTCTAGAGGAGGCACTGAGGACCAGTGGCTCAGCCCAGGAAGGTGGGTAGAGGCCAAGGACTAGGGCCTGCGTAGGGCTGGGGACATTCACCTCACCTGGCTTCTTTCCCTGCAGGGCCTCAGGGGAGCTGGAGGCTGCCGGGGACTACGTGAAGGTAAGAGGCCTGGACGCTCAGAGCCCGGTGGGCCTGGCACCTTCCCGACCTCACCGGGAAGCTCAGGGTCTGGGTTCACCCACAGCTCCCTCACCAACCCCAAACTCAGCCTCCCACAGAGTGTGGGCACCAGGCCCCACCCACCTGCCACGAGATGGGGTGAGGGGACCTGGGCTGTCTCCATGCTGAGCACTCTGGTCTCAGCCAGCTTTGTCCTGTGGTACAGGGACCTGAACGAGGCCTTCCCACTGAGCCACGCCCTAGCCCTTTATTTGTTTTTAATTCAACATGAGTTCTCAGTAAGTTGTCGGGCTGGGCTCAACCTTTCAATCCTCCTGCCTCAGCCTCCCAGAATGCTGGGATTACAGTGCCTCTATTGTGCACTGGAGTGGGTTGGGAGCAGCAGGAAGGGACAGCTGGGACCTTCCACAGGGAGTGTGAGCACAGCTCAGACTTACTTTGTTCTGGACACTGGGAACTTTGCAAATGTCATTTTGAAATAAGCATATGATGGTGACAATGCTAAATGACATTTCAAGTGCCGACTATGTGAGCCCTGTGCTACCTGCAGGGAGCCAGGCTTCCTCCCTGGGCAGGGGCAGTGAGGGCCTGTATATGCCCACTTGCAGCCATGCGGCTCCCACAGGGCCAAGCTGGGCTTGTAGATGCCGAGGCTCAAGGTGATGTCCTGGGCCTTGCACTGCCCAGGTTGATGCGGTGCTGAGTTTGGGGCACACTGCAGGCACGGGGCCCTGAGCTCAGAGGGCTTCCAGCACAGGCGGGGACCATGGCAGAAGCATACAGTGGCTCAGGCAATGGACTCGGGTGCCTTGGTCCCAGGTGTGAGCTTCACCTCTGGGCTCTTCACCTCTGGGCTTGATGTTCACTCACATGAAGTGGGGTCTCCGCGGTGTCTCAAGGAAATACCTCCCCCCACCCCACACTCCATCACCAGCAGGCTCAGAGAGGAGGAACCCAGGAAGGCTTTCTGGAGGAGAAAGCATGAAAGCCAGGCCCCTGAGGTTGGCAGTGAAGTTCACTGTCGTCTCTCCTTGCATGGAAAGCTAGAGAGGGGCAGAGTGGATCAGAGAGCATGTGTTAGGGTGCATGGGAACCAGGCCCCAGCTCCTCTTCCTTTTTTTTTTTTTTTTTTTTTTTGGCATCCGGGATCAAACTCACAACCTTGTGCTTGCCAGGTATGCACTTGTGCTGCTGAACTATATCCCCAGCACCCTGTAGTTTCTTTTTAGTTATAAAAGAAATAAAACCTGCTCACTGGAACTGATTAAACACCCCCCCCACGAAAATCAAAGTAACTTTAGTTTTATTTTTTGAGCCTCCAATGAGGGTTGGACTCAATAGTTTCCAAAACTCCATCTTGCCCTGAGGTGCTCCTGTGGGGGAGCTGTCCATCCTGAACTGTGTCGGAACCCTTCGGTTCTGAAATCCCAGAAATGCAATGTTGCAGGCTGCAGGCTCCAGGCTTGGAACTCCAGGCTCATTTACAGGAAGCAAACACCAGGGTCCAGAGATGGACCCAGGTGACCGAGTCGAAAGGGCCTGGATGTCAGGCCTCTGAAGAGCCTGTGAACTTAGGATGAGAAGTCCAGACTTGGAGGCTCTAAAGCTAGAAAGTAATAGCATTTACTTTATTTATTTATGTTTTAAATTTATTCATTTATTTTGGACAGGAGGTCTCACTGTGCAATTCAGGCTGGCCCTAAACTCTTAGCAAGCCTCCTGCCTCAGCCTCCTGAGTGCTGGGATTACAGACTTTGCCACCACACCTCTCTGAGCACTGATTTTGGCAACTTCCTTGCCGGGTCTCATGAGTCCCCTGAGGTCACACAGGTATTAGGGGTGTGTTCCAGATGCTTCTCCAAAGGAGCAGATTGGGCTCCCGGAGAAGCGCCTGCATCAAGATTCAGGGGAGAGACAAGGCCAGCGGCTGGCCGGCGCTGTGAACCTGACCCTTGGTCATCCGTGGCGCTCTGGAGCCAAGTCAGAGCAATGCGGTGCGACTCCGGATCAGAGAGGAGAAAACTCGAGTCTTCGGGAGATTTCCCGAGGGCACAAAGGATTGGGTCCAAAACACACAGCGAATTTTTTTCCCAGCTTTAGATATGATTTCATTCAAAGTCCCTGCCTGCTGTGGGTCCTGGAGGCGAGCGGGGAGCTGGGGAGTTCAGAGCCCTCAGTCACCAGCCCACCCAGCCCTCCTGCCCACCACGACCTCCGTGCAAGCCCCTCGGGAGCCCCTCGGCCCCAGGCCCTCGTCCGGCTGCGGCGCTGGAGAGTGCGGGACCCGGGCGGGGGCGGGAGCGGAGGGAGGAACAATGGCCCCCTCCCCTCGCCGGCCGGAGGGTGGGGTCTCCCGCCCCGCCTCCCCGCTCCTCCCCCGCCCAGGCGATGAGGTAATCGCGCCGCCGAGAGGCAGCGCAGCCGGTGCCCAGCCGGTCGGTCCCGCGCCCCTGCCCGGCGCCGCCGCCCCCTGCCCGCCTGCCGGCCGCACCATGGCCGAGCGCTGCAGCCTGTGGAGCGCGCTGTCCGCCGCCGCCTGCTGCTTCTACCGCGGCTCCTTCGTGCAGGTGCAGGTGAGGCGCTCGGACCCGCGACCCTGCTCGGCTCGGGCGCCGGGACGCCCGCCGCCGCGCTCGCTCGGGGCCGGCATCCGCAGCCCCACGCCGCCGGCGGAGGTCGGCAGGGCTGCGGCGGGAGGGGGCGGGGTCGCCGGCCTCACCTGGAGCGCCCCGCCGGCTGCGGGTGCGGGCAATGCGTGATTCGGGACTGCGGGCGCCTCGGTCGCCGCTGCCTCCCCCGCAGGCGGAGCGCTGCCCCGCCGGGGCGCCGAGGGGGTCGTGCGTCCTGCAGCCCGCGCGGGGCTCGCGCCGCTGACCCCTGCCACCTGGCTCCCCATTGTACCAGGGGCGCTGGGCTGGGGTCCGAAGTGGGGGGCAGGGCGCCGGGGGCTGCTGCAGGTGCCCAGGATGCGGCCAGCAGCCCCGCCACCCTCCTGCCCCCGAGGTGACTCGGGCGTGCTTGGGGCGCGGGTCCCCAGCCCAGCTGGTGGGCTGCACAGGGGCGGCCGCGGCGGCGAGAGGGTTAAACGGAAAGGGGTGGCGGGGAGGACCCGGACCCCGCCTCTGCGGAGCATCCTCCGGGACGCCCCAGCCCGGGGTCAGGATACCCGCGGGAGTGCGAGGGGCGGCCGGGCGAGGGCTGCTAGGGGAAGGTTAAGACCCTGACCTGGGGTCTCGGCGCTCTGCCTCTCGCGCCCCCTAGGAGACGCCGGGCGCGTCACCCCCGCGCTGCCCCGGGCTCACACACGCTCCGAGCCCGCCTGAATGACGGCCGCGCCGCCGGGAGCGCAGCATCCGCGTCGGCCAATCAGGCGCGCGCAGGCCGGGAGCGGTGAGATCATCTCTAGCCAATGGCAGCGCGCCGAGAGCAGGGATGCTGCATTCGCATCCCCCCCCCAACTCTTAGAGGCTAGGGACCCCCAGTTTTGGTGACGAAGAGGAGACCACAGGTCCCCTAGGGGTGCCCACCCTAAGGCATGTGGGGTACCAAGTCGTTCCCTCCCAAACTGCCACTTCTAGGGAGGGCTGCAAAGAGGAGCCAGCGTGCCACTCCCTTTGGGCCATTAGGCTACCCAGGCCCAGAGAGGGGTAGTGATGGGCTGAAGGTCACACAGTGGCAGAATCTTGGGGCCAGGTTCGGGCTGAAGGTCACACAGTGGCAGAGTCTTGGGGCCAGGTTCGAAAGCACACAGCTTCCTCTTCCTCTCCCTCTGGGCCCGCTTGTCCCGCCAGCCCTAGCCGTGGCACTAGGGGAGTCTAGGTGGATGCTCTTTGTCAAGGAGGACCCTGGAAAGCTCCGTGCTAGTTCCCTGTTACCTTGTGCCTCCTGCCTTTTCCTCTGCAGCTGTGGTGTCTGGAGTGATACAAGGGAGACCTAGGCCTACCTGAGGCCTTGAGCTTGAGAGGGAGGTGGCTAGAGACTCCCAAGAATAGGGACTCTTGGAGAAGTGTGAGGGTTCATAAAGGCCGAATCTCAGCTCAGCCCTGGCCTCTCTGCCCCTCCCTAGGTGCCAACTTCTGCTGGGCACCTGTGAGAGCCACCCACACCACCGTCTGCCCCCTAGAGACCTGCAGGCTCCTCAAAAACTGCGTTTTTATGGGTGTACTGCTAAATAGCTCCCACCAACTTTGCCACTGTGACAGTGCCCCATCGTCCTCCCAGGAGCTTAACCTGGACCCTGGCCACCTCTCACAGTCCATTAACAGCCACCCAAATGCCCCTTCCTCTCCCTCGCCCTGCTCTGCCATCACCCTCACCCAAGATGCCAGGCACTCTGCAGCCTTCCAATCTGTCCCAGCCCAGGGCCATTGGGCCACGGCTCTGCTGTGGCTCCCAGGTGACCCTTAGGGCAGCCTGGAAGCCTGGCCACTTCTGCCTTTGCCACCCACAGACCGCCCCAGCCCTTGGCTCCGCTGAAGGGCTCCAGTTTTACCTCTCTAGTCCCTGCCCCCAGCCCCGCCTACACCTCTTCCTTCCCCCCAACGCCCCTCCCCTCGGGAAACGCCTCTGGGAAGGCACCCCACTCTGGTGCACCTCTGAACATTGTGAATTCCTGGGTGGGCTCCCCCGGGGCACAGGGCCATCCTGCTCGCTTTGGGGCCTCAGCAGCCAAACAGCACCCAAGTGAAACCGAGGTCCAAGATTCCAGCCGTCCTGGAGCTGGGGCTCTCGTGGTTTTTGGTCAGGGAGCCCCAGGCTATGTGGGAGCATCGGACCCAGGAGGGAAACTGAGGAGTGGGCACAGGACCCTGGTGCTCTGGGAAACAGGAAGTGCAGGGTGAGGCTCCCCTGTGCTGCCTTTCTGGCCATGCCAGCTCTGAGGTCTGCCCATCCTGAAGCAGCCATCTTTGGGGGCTGCAGTTGTCCTTGTAGTGACAAGATGCCTGTGGGGACAGAACTGCAGGGCTCTGCAGTACCCTCCTTCCCACCCTGGTAGGGTGGGAGGCTGTCACCTAACCCATCTTACTGAGGAGGAAGTGGAGGCCCAACAAGTCACATGGTCCACAAGGGCGGGGTGGAGCAGGGCTGGGCTGGGCTCCGTGGAAGCCTGCACCTGACAGCGGGGCTCCCTTCCTCCCGGCCTCAGGGCTCCTGGGGTTGGACCTCTGACATCTGACTCTGGGAACCTAGAGTGGCAGGGATTACTAGATAGGCAAGGAGGAAGGCCCTTGAGAATTGCATATTAAGATGTCCCCAGGGCCCGTCCTTGTGAATGGCTGCTTCCCCAACCTTTTCTGTCCCTGTCTGTCCATCTCTGCGTGGGTTTCTGCTTTGGCCCGCGGTCCCTGCAGCCTGCTTTCCCACGTACGCCCGTGGAAATCCTCTCTCCCCCAACTTGAGGATCAATTTGGTGTCCCTGGTGTCTAACCCTGCTGGCCATCTCCTCCAGGAAGCCTTCCCAGGCCTCTCCACGCCTTCGGGGGGTGGAGGGGGAGAGGGGGAGTGGCCCTCCTAAGAGCCACCCGGCTCTCTGCCGCTGTCCAGCGCCGTGGTGCTGACCGCGGCGGCTCAGAGGCCATGTATGCTTTGCCTCTTCCTCAAGCGCTTCCTTGCGGACGCGGCTTGTTTTAGGTATCGCCGCATCCGCCCGCCCCTAGTGCAGACGAGGGATGCGGCGGGCGCAGTTTAAAGGGTTCCGTAGAGACCGCCCTGCCCAGGCCGCTGGGGAGGGCAGAGAGAGCGGCCCCCAGCTGGAGGCCAACTCTTGCCTCTCCCGCCCAGTTCTCCAAGGAGAAGTACATCCTAGACTCCTCGCCCGAGAAGCTGCACAAGGAACTGGAGGAGGAGCTGAAGCTCAGCAGCACCGACCTGCGCAGCCATGCGTGGTACCACGGCCGCATCCCCCGCGAGGTGAGCGCCCCCGCTCACGGGCGGCTCCCCGGGACCCACAGCAGCCAGCAGAGGGGGCTGAGGTTGGCCAGGAGGCCGATCCGAGTGCACTGGGCTGAGGTCAGGACTGACTGCTTCACCCTGGGGCGGGTGAGACGCAGTGCCCACCGCGGGGCTGTGGGGAAATGAAGTGAAAGAAGCCAGGGGAAGTGCTTAACCCCAGGTCTGGCTGTGCGTGCTGGAGGGGTGCTGGCTCTGCTGTCCCCACGCCCAATGCCGGCCTGACCCTGTCCCCCCATTCACACTGTGACTCCCAGCCAGAGCCTCCGGCTCAGTATCTGGGTTGCTGTGTCCCTGGTTCCGGGCTTTGATGACAGATGTCTGTGTCCACCCCCCCCCCGGTCTGGTCGCAGTGTCCCCTCTGGTCCCGAGTCCCCATATTCACCCCCCCCCCACGTCAGGTCTCTTCTGTCCCCACCATACCCGTCCGTCCCTGCTGCAGGTCTCGGAGACCCTGGTGCAGCGCAATGGTGACTTCCTCATCCGGGACTCGCTCACCAGCCTGGGTGACTACGTGCTCACGTGCCGCTGGCGCAACCAGGCCTTGCACTTCAAGATCAACAAGGTGGTGGTGAAGGCAGGCGAGAGCTATACCCACATCCAGTACCTGTTCGAGCAGGAGAGCTTCGACCACGTGCCCGCTCTGGTGCGTTATCACGTGGGCAGCCGCAAGGCCGTGTCGGAGCAGAGTGGAGCCATCATCTACTGCCCGGTCAACCGCACCTTTCCACTGCGCTACCTCGAGGCCAGCTATGGCCTGGGCCCTGCCGGTGGCAAGGCCGCCAGCCCCGCCAGCCCCTCAGGGACCAAGGGCAGCCACATGAAGCGGCGCAGCGTCACCATGACAGATGGGCTCACTGCCGACAAGGTCACCTGCGGTGACAGCTGCCCCTCCAGGTCAGCTGGAACCCCACATGGAGCCTCGTGGTGCCACGGGGTGTCTGTGATGTGCGTGCTGGGGGTGGGGACCCCAGCCCAGGGAGCTGGTCACTCTGTCTGCATAGCACTCAGGGTTCAGAGGACACGGGAGCCTTGAGCTTGCTGTTTGGAGGCTAGCGATAGGTGTGGGACTTGCTGGCTGGGTGCCCTGGGCCATCCCTCCCCACCCCACACCTCTATGTGTCCCCCTCACTGCAGTGGCCTTTCATTGCACAGGGGGACCCTGAGTGCTGGCCTGAGCCAGAGGGCCTGGTCTCGGTGCCAACTGCCAAGGCATATATGCCACCAGGCTACTGAATGTCACAGAGTAGAGGGCTCTGCAGAATAGCAACCATTGCTTAGAGACCAGAAGGTTCTCGGTGACATTGTAATGACACCTGTTGCCCCTGGACTGCCTAAGACTGGGCATGGGTCCCAAGGCCCCACGATGCCTGGCCCTGTGCTGAATACTATCCATGCCCACTCCAGGCAGTCCCCTCCCTAAGCCTACTGGCTGGACCCCCATTCATGGGGGAAGAAATGGGCTTAGAGTGGGGAAGCCAATGGCCAGCAAGTTGTTAGGATCAAGATTTGAACCCAGGTCTGTGGACTCCAGTCTGATCTCCCTAATTTCTGTGGCTATTTGCAAAGAGGTTGCTGTCCCTTGCCACCAGCCTTCACCACCTCCTCCCTGGGCAGGGTTGTATACTGTCAGCTAAGGAACTGACCATGGATACCTGCAGATAGCAGCCCTTCTTGGTCTGTAGTTTGGAGCCAGGGAGTGTGCGATGCTAGGATCCATGGGACCGGTGCGCCTGAGGCAGGCAGAGTGTAGGACCAGCAAGAGGAACCAGATTGACTTCCCTGGCTTCCTCAATGTCCCTCCCTTCCTGCTAGCCTTTCCCCAGACAGTTCGCCAAGGTTCCTCTGGGCAAGCTTCCCAGGGAAGAAACAGTTGCATAGGTTGTGGACTACACAAAAACAAACCCTCCCCTTGTCCCCATTCCAAGGACAGCGGGCAGCAGGGGTGTGTGTGTGTGTGTGTGTGTGTGTGTGTGTGTGTGTGTGTTATAAAGTCCATCCTGCCTTCTACTTTTTTTTTTTTTTTTTTGTCTTTTTCGTTTTTATTGGTACCAGGGATTGAACTCACGACTGCCTGCTTTCAAGGCAGGCGCTTATGCCGCTGAGCTAAATCCCCAGCCCCCTGCCTTCTACTTCTGATGTTGAAGAAAGCAGTGAGGCAGTGTGTCTGTCCTGAGAACAGGTGTGATCGTGAACTTGCAAGAAGGCAACTTGTGGGGCTGGGGGTTTAGCTCAGCGGCATAAGCGCCTGCCTTGAAAGCAGGCAGTCATGAGTTCGATCCCTGGTACCGATAAAAAGGAAAAAGACAAAAAAAAAAAAAAAAAGGAAGGCAACTTGTTGGGAGGCAGAATTCTGGTTTTCTGCCTGTGAAGTTCAGGGTCACAGGAGGGGGGGGTCCCATGGAAGCTGAGGCCCCAAACTCTGGGCTGCTACTCACAAGAACATTTGCCCGCAGCATCTCCCTGCCCCAGCCCCGGGACTCCATCCGCAACTGCGCCCTCAGCATGGACCGGATCCCGGACCTGCCCCCCATCTCCGAGAGCCCCAGCTCCCCCGCCTACAGCACAGGTATGGTGGGAGATGGCAGTGCTGAAGGACTCTGTCCTTGGTAACTTCTGTTACCTGTGTGTCTGGATGGCGGTTTCTGCCTCTTTTCTGAGAGCAGCAGCTGCAAAGATTTACTCTTGAAAAGCTAGGTATGGTGGGGCTCACATGGGCTGGCAGATTTGGGAGGCTGAGGCAGGAAGATTGCCACTGAGTCAGGGCCCACCTGGGCTATGTGGAGAGTGCAGGGCCAGCCTGAACTGCCCATGAGGCCTGAGTCCCCATGCTGTGGTGGCACTTGCACTTCAAAGCTCAGCTCCACTGGCCAAGTACCCATGACTTTGGTGTGACTTAGTGTATCCATCTCTGGCTCCAAACCTGGCTCCAAACAAGCTAGCTGTTTAAGATTTTATTTATTTATTTTCAGAGCAGTTTAAAGTTTACAGCACAGTTAAAATTGTAAAGCACTACTTTTTGTTGTTGTTGTTTTACTGGGAATCAAACCCAGGGGTTCTCCACCAGTGAGCTACATTCTCTGTCTTTTTTTTTTTTTTTTCCTTTTTATTTTTTTTTTCAGAAAGGGTCATGATAGGTTGCCCATGCTGGACTTCAATTTGCAATCCTCCTGCCTCAGCCTCTCAAAGTGATGGGATTCCAGGCATGGACCACCATGCCTAACTGTGGTTCCTTCTAAATATCAGAAAGTTCCCACTGTAGAAACATACCCCACTTCATTGCTGCTTAAAAACAATGGACCATTTTGTCCACGGAGCAGGCAAAGTCATGAGGGCTACAGTCCTGTGGGACTCTTGTCCTGGGGGGTGCTCTGTCGGAGGACTGCCTTCTCTATGGCTCACCACAAATTCTGCCCTAAACACGGGGCCATTCACTTTTTTTTTTTTTTTTTTTTGGTCTTTTTCGTTTTTTATCGGTACCAGGGATCGAACTCAGGACTGCCTGCTTGCAAGGCAGGCGCTTATGCCGCTGAGCTAAATCCCCAGCCCCAGGGTCATTCACTTTGTCACAGGTACAATCTTACCTGCCAAACAATACAGTCAAGTGTAAAAGTTAAAACTCCTGACCAGCCACGTGTGGTGGTGCACACGCTTGTAATCCCAGCACTGGGAAGGCTGAGGCAGGAGGATCACCACTGAGTCTGAAGACAGCCTGAGCTAGTGAGTTCAAGGTCAGCCTGGACTGCATAGTGAGACCCTGTCTCAAAAGAGCAAAACAAATAAAAGTAAACAAAATAAAACATCTTATCAGAAATGATTGATGGAACAATCTCCAAATGATATGGCAGAGTCAAGCAGCCCAGAGGTTGAAATGTAAACCCTAGCTCTCCCACTCGCAGGCTGGTGACCTCTGCAGGTCACTCAGACTCTCCGAGCTTCTGCTTTCTCCTCTATAGAGTAAGGATCATAAAAGGCCTTCCTGCCCAGGATGCAGGGAGAGGTAAATGGACCAAGAATGGGCAGAGAGGGCTCAATGTCCCCCACCACTGGTTTCACCTCGTTTTGTGGTGTCGAGGATGGATCTGCCAGTGAGCCACATCCAGCTCTCGCCTCTTGTGTTATTTTTGTTCCTCTCCTCATCCTGGACCTTGAGTCCAGGTCTTCCCACAGGCCTACATCCCCAGATAGTTTTTCACTTTCATTTGTATTTTGAGACAGGGTCTCACTAAGTCCCTAAATTGCCCAGGCTGGGCTCAAACTTGCAATCCTTCTGCCTCAGCCTCCAAGAGTGCTGGGATCACAGGGGTGCAGCCTCACCCCTGATCTGTGCCAGGGCCTTTGGTGTCTCCTTGACTGGTGTTTTCTTCAGTAAGCCACCAGCTCTGGGCACATAGTGCCATGCTGCTCACTCCCTGAGAAGTAGTCCCACGTGCGCCCTGGCTCCCGCAGGTGCTTGGATTCCTTCGGCGACCTCTTCCAAGTGGCCCTGTGGTCCCTGGGTGCAGCTGCTCAGGCAAGGGGCAGGGGCCACAGAGTCTCCCAAGCATGGTCTCCGCCCATGCAGGAGGCGGTTGTCACCCCCATGTGGCAAGCGGGCGTCAGGGACCCCACTCTGTGGGGTGCAGCAGTAACCATTGCTCTATCTGTTCCCACAGTCACCCGTGTTCATGCCACCCCTGGAGTCCCCTCCACGACCATGCCGCCCTCCTCTCCTGTTGCCCGCCGCTCCAGTGAGCCCCAGCTGTGTTCCGGAAGTGCCCCAAAGTCCCTCGGGGAGTCGGACAAGGGCCCCCACGCCAGCCCCAGTCAGAGTCTTGGCAAGGCCTCCCCGTCACCATCTCTCGGCAGCTACAGTGATCCGGACTCTGGCCACTACTGCCAGTTGCAGCCCCCTGCACGCAGCAGCCATGAGTGGGCCACGGCCGAGGCCTCCAGCCGGCCACCATGGAGCCATGGGGAGAGACTAAAGGAACTATCGGAAAGTGGGGTTCCCGAGGGGGACAGGGGCAAGGGCTTCACTGCTCCCATCGTGGAAGCCACATCTTCCTTCAACCCGGCCACCTTCCAGTCGCTGCTGATCCCCAAGGAAAACCGGCCCCTGGATGTGGGGCTGCTGCGCAAGGTGAAGGAGCTGCTGGCCGAGGTGGACGCACGGACGCTGGCCCGGCATGTCACCAAGGTGGACTGCCTGGTGAGCGTGGGCCCTGCAGCCACCTGGGGACAGCAGGCAGGGTGCTAGGGGGCTGGGTCGCAGCTGTCCTTTCCTGCCCTGGGACTCTGGACTGCTCTTAGAGTCCCAGGACTGGGGGCTGAGCCTGGGTCCTTTACACTGAACCTCATCCAAATGTTTTATCTTGAGACAGGGACTCACTTAATTGCTAAATTGCCCAGGTTGTGCTGGAACTTGAGATCCTCCTGCCTCAGTCCCAGAATCTTGGGGTTACAAGAGTGTACCACCCAGCTCCTTTTCTCCTTAAAAAATAGAAAAGAAAAAAAAAAAAAAAAGGAAGGAAGAGACAGAGAAAGAGAAAAGCCTGGGAATGGTGGCACACACCTGTAATCCCAGCTTTGGGAAGCTGAGGCAGGAGGATCCACATGAGTTTGAGACCTGCCTGAGCTACACAGCGACACCTTATCTCAAAAATATTAATAAATAAAAAGAAAAAACCTATTCTGCGTGCCTGGGCCACTTAGAGACCCTGGCTCAAAATAAAAAGGGCTGGGGACTGGTGATGGGGCTCAGTGCTCTGGGTTCAATCTCAAGTGCTAGCAAAAAACAAGACGACGTTCTGTTTGGCAGTAGAGTTGGGCAGCACACAGGGTGGTCTCATTTTTACCCGGCACTTGGGGACCCTTCCGACTGCCCAGACCGGCGTTACGAGACCCGCAAGGCCCGACTCCCCGCCCCCACGCCACCTTGTGGAAGAATCAGCAGAATCCCTCCTGGCCTGAAGTCAGTGCCAGGACCTTTGCTGTGTGGTGAATCTTTGGCCTGTTGAGGGCGTCAGTTCTCCGCGCCTCTGCGGATTGGGAGGCACTGATTACCTAGTAACCCTGGTCTCAGAGCTCAGGAAGCAGAGGAACCGAGGCTAAGGCGTTCCTGGGCAGGAAGGGAGGAACCCAGATGACTTCCCAGTCTCTTCCTCCCTGGCCTCAGGGCTGCCCTCTGGAATACAGGCGTTTTAGTGTTTCACTATAGCTGAATATTTAACACGTTAGGCACCCTAAGCATTTCCCCATTTAGCCCCCATTTCACAGGTGGGGAAACTGAGGCACACACAGGAAGAAGATAGAATGTCTTGCTCCGTGTCCCACGGTTAGCAGCGGAGCTGGGATTCAAACCGGCCTCCCAGCCGGCCACCCTTTTAGATAGAGCTCTCTGACTCCCAGATGGCTGGGGCCAGCCCTGACAGGAAATTAATCAGCCCTCTGGGCGTCCTTGCAGGTTGCTAGGATACTGGGCGTTACCAAGGAGATGCAGACCCTAATGGGAGTCCGCTGGGGTATGGAGTTGCTCACCCTCCCCCATGGCCGGCAGCTCCGACTAGACCTGCTGGAGAGGTAAGACCAGCCCAGGGGGCTCGCAGGGACTCGGGCCGCCTCGTGCCTTGGGCCATGGCCCTTGGCCAAGGAGACTCTCCGCCTGGCCCCAGGGGGTTCTGGCCACGATCCAGATAGCCAATCGCAACCTCTCGAGGTCCGCTTAAAGCATTCCTGCTTTCCCAAAGACAGATTTTATCTTTGAATGAGTCCCCGGTCCACCAGCCTTGGCCCCGCCCATCTTTTCTGACCTCTATTCGTTCTTCTTGCCTTTTTCTTTTTTATTGGTATCAGGGATCGAACTCACGACCACATACTTGCAAGGACACACTTGCAAGCACACACTTGCAAGGACACACTTGCAAGGCAGGGTCTTATGCCGCTGAGCTAAATCCCCAGCCCCTTTTTCGTTCATTCTTAAAATAGTTTTGCTCAATGAATTCCATGCATCAATCACAAGCCCCGCTTCCTGGTGTCCTGAGCCCACCCCTCTCATGCCGACCAATCAGAAGCTCCTAGCCACGCTTTCCGTCGTCCAGGCCACGCCCCCCAATGCCTCCACTCTTAGCAACTTCTCTTCGCTCTCCGCCCCCAGCCCCCTGGGACAGGCGTTGGCAGGGCCGGGTCCCACCCTTGGCCCCGCCCCTGACCCACCCCCTCCCACAGGTTCCACACAATGTCCATCATGCTGGCCGTGGACATCCTGGGCTGCACGGGCTCCGCGGAGGAGCGCGCGGCGCTGCTGCACAAGACCATCCAGATGGCTGCCGAGCTGCGGGGGACCATGGGCAACATGTTCAGCTTCGCCGCCGTCATGAGCGCCCTGGACATGGCCCAGGTACAGCCGGGCCCTCTGTTAGACCCAGAGGATGGGGTTGTGGCCCTTGGGGACGGCCCTGTAAAGAGAGGAGGAGCTGTGCTTCTGGTATCGCTGGCCAGAGGGTAACTAGGAGAACGGAGTTCATCCAGGGCTGACAGGGCCAAGCCCTTCCCTTTCTTTGGGCCTCAGTTTCTTCAGGATACACATAGCCAGGCCTGGTAGCACACGCCTGTAATTCCTGCCCCTCCACAGGCTGAGGCAGGAGGATGACAAGTCAGAGGCCAGCCTGGACAATTTAGCCAGATCCTGTCTCAAAATGAAAAACAAATGGCTGAGGATGTTCTCAGTGTTAGAGCATTTGCTTAGCACGCATGAGGCTTTGGGATTGATCAATCAAACACAAAATGACTGTAACTGTGCTGGGAGTTACACTAAGTGTTTGTATTTGAGACAGTCTCACCAAGTAGCTCTGGCTGGCCTTGAACTTTGCAGGCCTCCTGCCTCAGCCTCCCAAATGTTGGGATCATAGGCATGCACCACCATGCCTGGCTTTACACTAAATATTTTCCAGTCCCTGGGAGGCTGAGGCAGGGAGGTCATCTGAAGTTTGAGGCCAACCTGGGCTACATAGTTAAGTTCGAAGTTAAGCAGAGCTACATAACAGGACCCTGTCTCAAAAATCCTAAGTAAATAAACTGGTTATGGTGGCACACTCCTGTAATCCCAGCACTCAGGAGGCTGAGGCAGGAGGATCGTCCCAAGTTTGAGATCAACCTGGGCTACAAAGTGAGCCCAAAGCTAGTCTGAACTGCACAGCGAGACCCTGTTGCAAAAAGAAAAAAAAAAAGAAAAAGGAAAAAGTAAATTTAAAAAATGAGGGGCTGGGGATTTAGCTCAGCGGCATAAGCACCTGCCTTGCCAGCAGGCAGTCCTGGGTTCGATCCCCCGTACCAGTAAAAAAAACAAAACAAACAAACAAAAAATATGAATGGAGCAGCTGAGACAGCAGCACTTGCTTGAGGTCTCACAACCTGATGCTGGGGATTTGAGCCAGGCCGAGGGGGCCTCTCCTGGGCCTAGTAAACAGCAGGATGGGAGGGTGGCAGGGCTCTGGGCTCAGCTCCAGCTCTGCTCTTATTTATTCCTCAGTAACTCCGGGCAGGTCGTTCCCCTCACCAAGCCTCATTCCCTATCTGGGAAATGGGCTGTTGTGCTGGCCCCTGCAGGCTCTTTCCTGGGCTGAACTCAGACGGTGCCCCTTCCCATCCCACCGCAGATTTCCCGGCTAGAGCAGACGTGGATGACCCTGCGACAACGACACACCGAGGGCGCCATCCTGTATGAGAAGAAGCTGAAACCTTTTCTCAAGAGCCTCAATGAGGGCAAAGGTACTGGTCTTCCTTCCTGGGTGACCTGGGACAGGTGCCAGCCCAGCATGGGTTCGGCTGCCTCAGCCCTCGGGGCTGTGCGTGGAGGGGGTAGGGGTGGGGGTATTCACGGGGGGGGGGTCTGAAAGGCAAGGGTTGTGGGGATGCCAGGACCCCAGCCCTGGGAGTACAGTGGGCCGGTGGCAGTGCCTTCCGGCTGGCCCAGGTCACTGAGTGCCCGCTTTGCTTGCAGAAGGCCCGCCGCTGAGCAACACCACGTTCCCGCACGTGCTGCCGCTCATCACGCTGCTGGAGTGTGATGCCGCGCCTGCGGAGGGCCCGGAGCCCTGGGGCAGCACAGAGCACGGCGTGGAGGTGGTGCTCGCGCACCTGGAGGCAGCACGCACGGTGGCGCATCATGGGGGCCTCTACCATACCAACGCCGAGGTCAAGCTGCAGGGTGAGTGGTGACCATCCAGGTCCCGGTGCCTGCGCCTTCCCTACCCCAGTGCAGGTTTCTTCCCTCTGCCCTGCCCTGTGTCCACAACTGCCCTTCTCTCCCTCGCAGGTCACCAAACAGTCATTAGTGGGCTAGGTGGACACAGGAGTGACTCAGGACCCTACCTGTGTCATGCTTTGCTTTGCTGAGCCTCAGCATTCCCATCTGGGAAGTGGGCCTGTGATAGACCTAGGCTGCAGACAGACCTGCCCACCTTCAAGGAGCCCAGAGCTCCCACTCTGGGGAAGTACAGAGAGCAGGCAGCTCAGTCTTGCTTTTAATGCTTTTCGCATTATTTAAACCACAAAATTTCACTAGAGACAAATTAGAAACTGCAGCTAGGAAAAATTAAGATACAAAAAAATTACCCAGAGGTGGTCAGATGTAGTGGCACACACCTGTAATCCCAGCACTCAGGAGGCTGAGACAGGAGGATTGCTATGAGTTCAAGGCCAGCCTGAACTACATAGTGAAGCCCATCTCAAAACAATACTCCAAAACTTTTAGTCATCTGGAAAGTGTTGTAAACAGTAGAAAAGACGAGGTACTAATGTGCATGGTTCAGCAAGCTTTGTGGGATTTCTAGGGGGACCCCTACAGTGGGCACTGGTGGGTGTGGGGGCTCCAGCTGGACAGTGGTACCTGACCCTGTGTCCCTACCCTGCAGGGTTCCAGGCCCGCCCGGAGCTGCTGGAGGTGTTCAGCACCGAGTTCCAGATGCGCCTCCTCTGGGGCAGCCAGGGTGCCAGCAGCAGCCAGGCCCGACGCTATGAGAAGTTCGGCAAGGTCCTCACTGCCCTGTCCCACAAGCTGGAGCCTGCTGTGCGCTCCAGCGAGCTGTGACCCCCAGGGACTGTTCTCTCTGCTGCGGCAGGCAGCACTGGGGACAGAAGGGAACAGACCTTCCCCAGAGCACCCCAGGGACACTGTGATCAGCCCAAGAATGTTCTGGGTTCAACTCCGGGATCTCCCTTGCACCTCCAGGGTCTTGCGTGACTCTGGGCTCTGTCCTACTGCCACATGCTCACCAAGTCTCCCTCAGGAAGGACAGGAAGCCCTGTTCCTCCCACCGGCTTCTGCTGCCCCCTTTCTGGTCGAGGTTCCCTGATTTCGAGCCATGGAGGCCCCTGTCTCCTCTCCCTACCAGATCTCCCCTCCCCCAGCACCACTGTAAATAAGCCCGCCTGTCTGTAAATAGATGTACAGAGCCTTGTTCTTTCTTTCATATAATAAACTTTTATGACTCTTCTGACTCTCTGGGAGTCCAGGGGTGGATGTAAGCACCATTTTCAAGGGAAAGGTGGAAAACGCCAATCACTCAATACTTCTTTAGCACCTGGTCCATTCTAGACAGGATCTGGAGCGAGGGTGCAACAAGTACCAAAGGCAAACCCTGGCTGGGGGCTCATACATGGTGGCGGAGACCACAGCAAATACCAACCCCATGGGGAAGCAGTGTTCTGCTGATTCCTATCCCAATTCCCTGTCGCCCTCAGGAAGTAGTGGCTCCTACAAAACACACAGCCATGGGGCTGAGGTGATGGCAGTGGAAGGGACTCAGAAATCTTGGATTCTGGGTCCTCTAGGAGACAGATCTGGATGGAGAAGGGACTTCAGGTCACAGCGGCAGGAGGAGGAAAGCTACAAACTTGACTGTCCTGACCTGGAGCTCTTACCCTTTCTTTCCCTAATACTGGGAACTGGTCATTTCTATTTAGGCAAGGTGGTACACATCTGTAATCCCAGATATTTGGGCGGCTGAAGCAGAAGGGTGTGAGTTTGAGGCCAGCCTGGGTACATAGCTAGACACTGTTTCAAAATTTAAAAAGCTTGGTGTGGTGATGCATATCTGTAATCCCAGCATTCTGGAATGCTGAGGTAGGAGGATTGTTCACGTTCAAGGCCAGCCTAGACTGCATAATGAGACCTTGTCTCGAAAAACAAATGTTTCTAAACCACTGAAAATAAAAAGGGTTGGAGATGTAGCTCAGCGGTAGAGCTATTCTCCAGCATGTGTGAGGCCCTGGGTTTAGTCTTCAATATAAATCAAGGGGTGTGTGTGTGCACAGTGTCTGTGTCTGGTGGCTGGGGCAAGGATCTTGGACGTAGCCATGAAGGTAGTTGTCTTGGCTCCCCTCTCCCTGCGGCCTGGAGAGCTAGAGGCTGGCAATGTGGATCAAAGCCAGGCTGGAGGCCCAGGAAGCCTGTTCCCTGAACTTCAGACCTTGAGGGCCTCTGGCTCGGAATCCTTTGAGCAGGAGAGGCTGCTAACATGTGACACGGTGTATTCGGTCTTTGGCAGAAGCTGGGACTGCCTTCACTTCTATTGTTTACCAGCTGCATACTTGGATAAAAGGCTTAAACTCGTGGGTCCCACATCCAAGTAAAATGGGGACAAATAATGGAATCTAACTCCTAGGATTGACATTAAACACTTAAAGAAGGGGCAGCTGCATTTCATATAGAATGAATTGTCAATGATCATTTATTTTCTGACTAATGCATTATATGTGCATGAAATGTTACCATTTCTCTGTATGGCAGGTGCCATTATATTACGGAATGTATAAGGGACCTGACATTAAGGGCATTTGTGGATTTTCACCAAAAACTATTATTAACGAGCTCTCTATTATCATATAAAAGGAAAAAGGGGCATTCAAAAGGTGCTTTGCAAGGCTTAAGGTTCCGTACAAGTTTTTGTTATAACTGTTACATCACCCTTTGTGGTCATAATCCTTTATTTTTTCTAAACTCCCCTGACGGTCCCTTAGTTACAGTGGCTATGGAAACACTGCGCGCTGGTCCGGATCAAATGGCTCGCGCGCTCCTCCTGGAGGCCACCTTTCATTTCTGCGGTACAATGACCGGACGGGGCATTAAGAGGCGCGCGAGGGGCGCCGGGAGTTGTAGGCCATGGGTATAGCGGCCCCCCGAGCAGTGCACCGTGGGAGCTGTAGTTCCCAGGTCGAGGGGTTTGGCGGCCCTAGACAGAGCTCCGGACTCCTACGGATGGCGGCTGCGCCACGCAGCTGCCGGCCCTGGGGCTCGCTCCCCGGGCTGCTCGCACTGGTCTCGGCCGCGACCGCCACCTGGGACCTGACTTCGTTGCGCTGCAACTTTGGTTCCTTCTGCGAATGCGACTTCCGGCCGGACCTGGCGGGTGAGGGACCTGAGAGCTGGGGGCGGGGAGTGGGCCCTGGGCCGGAGAGGGCCCTGGGCCGGAGAGGGCCCTGGGCCGGAGAGGGCCCTGGGCCGGAGCATCCGTGGACCTGGAGAAGGAACCTGAGGACTTGGGAGGGAACCTGAGAGCCTGAGGCACGCTGTGGAGGCGACTGTTTTGGGTGCCCGTTGGGGGTCTCCGAGGACTTTCGAGGATAGATAGAAAAACTTGACAGCAGGGCCCCTGGGGATCGTGATAGCTCTCCGTGAGCATACTGGCCGGCCAGGGAGGATCTTGCCCGCGGGACGGTTAGGGGTCAGGGTCCCATCCTAATCACAGCTCACGCTCACCTAAGACTGCAGTTTAGAGAATGGCCGAATGGGGGTGCTGCCGAGCTGAGCTAGGCTGAAGGCGCCCCTGCAACCAGAGTCCTCCAGTCTCAAGTCCTTCTGCTTTCCAAACCCAGGCTTTCCCGCGTCAGGCAGCAGACATGACTCCCCCATGAGCCTCTGCCTTGCTACGGATGTGTTCTCTGTTCTGACACTGTTCTTTTGTGTCCCTAGGCCTGGAGTGTGACCTGGCCCAGCATCTGGCTGGCCAGCATCTGGCCAAGGCGCTGGTCTTGAAGTCACTAAAGGCCTTTGTGCAGGACCCAGCCCCAAACAAGCCACTGGTCCTCTCCCTGCACGGCTTGTCCGGCACTGGCAAGTCCTATGTCAGCTCTCTGCTGGCGAAGTACCTCTTCCGGGGTGGCCTCCGCAGCCCCCACGTGCACCACTTCTCCCCCATCATCCATTTCTCACATCCCAACCACATCGAGCGCTACAAGGTAGGCTGGACACATCCTGGAGCACCATTCCTGGCCCTGTGAGCAGTGAGAGCTGAACCCAGAGAGGGGAGTCGCTTGTTCCAGGCCACACAGCCAATGGGCCTCAGCCCTCAGGACCCATCCTGACCAGGGCTTGGACCTGGCCGCTTCTACCAGGCAGGGTGCTTTCTCTGACTCCAAGGTGGTGGGCAGTCCTGGTACCAGCTGCCAGAGTTGTGAAGGAGATGCAGGTATGACTGACCTGTTTGCCAGACAGTTGGCATTCTCTTCCTGTGAGGCACTTAGCGCCAGTCAGCATCCCAGAGGAATCAGCGAATGCCAGCTCATGGTTGTTGACCGCAAGGCACTTTGCTTTCCAGGGTAGTCTGGCCCAGCTGGCAACATCGTTGGGCAGGAGCAGGGAGCAGGAAGTATGAGTGGCAGGGAAGGAACCCTAAACAGGGAGCCATGGGGTTTGGGTTTGTGTGTGACCTTTCTGGGCCACCCTTTCACCGTCAGCCTCATGAAGGAGCTGTCCACTCTGAGAGCCCAGGTCTCCCAGGGAATGGGATTAGTTCTTGCCTTTGGGAGGGATCTAAGATCAGGGGAGCAGCTCTGCCCTCCCCACCAGATTGCCTGTCTCTCCCCGCAGAAGGATCTTAAGAGCTGGGTCCAAGGGAACCTCACTGCCTGTGGCCGCTCCCTCTTTCTTTTTGATGAGATGGACAAGCTGCCTCTGGGGCTGATGGAGGTCCTGCGGCCTTTCCTGGGTGCCTCCTGGGTCGTGTATGGGACCAACTATCGCAAAGCCATCTTCATCTTCATCAGGTGGGTGACGCCTCTCAAAGATCCAGCGGTCTGGTCTTGGCCTGTGCTCCCCGTGGAATACCATACCCCCCCACCATGCACAAGCCTGTCAGGTTTTCTCAGAGCTCCTACCCTTGTGCTGGTGAGGCTGTCATTCGTGACTGGCCACCCTTTGCACACCCTCAAAGCATAATGTGCTTGGTCCTTTGGGTACTTACGGCTGCTTTCTGGAAACCCTGGTAAATAGAGCTGTTCTTTGGTGGCCAGGACCACATGAACTGGACTTTAGACCCTCAGCCCAGTTCTGTGGGTCCTAGTCGTACTTCCTCAGGCAGGACCACTTCACCTGTCCAAGCTGCCGTCTCTTCTGAGCAGCCTCATTTTGCTCCCACTGTCGTCCCGGAGGCTGGCCGAGAGACAGGCAGTGCAGGAGCAACCAAGTGCATGGTGCTGAGCCATATTACAGAGTCACTAGGGAGCTGGAGGGGGAGGGCTTTTTTTTTTGGCTTTGGCTCCCAGCACTGAGCCAGGGACACAGTGGTACCAGGGAAGTGAGGCCTAATCCTGACCCTCCAGCTCCTCCTGACTCTCAGCTTATGTTCACTATGGTTTTAGCAACACTGGTGGCGAGCAGATCAACCAGGTGGCCTTGGAGGCATGGCACAGCCGCCGGGACCGAGAGGAGATCGAACTGCAGGAGCTGGAGCCCATCATCTCCCGGGCCGTGCTGGACAACCCACACCGTGAGTTGGCTTTGTACCCAGATGGCATGTGCCAGCCTCCTCGGGTGTGCCTGGTCCCCAGGAATAGAAAGTTTGCAGCCCTGTGACCTGGGAGTCATAGGAGCCCCCTCTGTCTGAGCTCAGAGGGTGGCCAAGAGCAGTGAGGCCAGTATCACAGCTGCACCGCGCCCCCAGTGGCTGGCCTCTCCCCACTTGTGTGAGCTTGTGAAGCACAGCATCCCCTCCTGCCCTTCTGCAGATGGCTTCTGGCACTCAGGCATCATGGAGGAGCATCTGCTGGACGCTGTGGTCCCCTTCCTCCCACTGCAGCGACACCATGTGCGACACTGCGTGCTCAACGAGCTGGCCCACCTGGGGCTGGAGCCCCAAGATGAGGTGGTCCAAGCTGTGCTGGACAGCACCACCTTCTTCCCTGAGGAGGAACAACTCTTCTCCTCCAATGGCTGCAAGACCGTGGCCTCCCGGATTGCTCTCTTCCTCTGACATTGGGCTGGCATCCTCGCCACCCCTACCTGGCTAGGGCCACACAGGAAAGGCCTAGGACCTCTGCTGAAGGACCCTTGTCCCAAGCATGCTGAGAGTGGGACCCAGAATCCAAAGTCAAGATGAAGAGGGGCCAAGGACAAAGGGCCAGCAGGGCCCAGCCTCTGAGCAGGTGAGCGGGTACGTGATCTTGGCTACCTCCTCCAAGGAGACCCTTGGTTACCCCACGACCTCACCATTTGACCTCGCCCTGCAGCCTGGGTCTGCTTCATGTGAATTATAACTCAGGGACCAGAGTTCAGGGCCGCTCCCTCCATCCTGGCTCTCTTACCCGAGCCCTTTGCCCCGGTATCAAACCCTCAACCTACCCCTCACCCTCTGTCCCAGGATCACAGGCTATGCATGGAGGTACACCCAAGCTGCCACCTGGGCCTGGATTTAGACATTTTAAATTTTATAAGTGAACGAGTGTAATAAACAGCCACGGGACTGCAGGAACGTTTGCTGGACTTCCTGTTGCTCTAAAAGGGGCAGCTTTGCTGTGTGCTGGTGTTGGGGGGCAAACTCTGTCATCTCCCAGCAAGAAGCAGGGGCCTTACTCGGGCCTTTGGAGTACAGGATGATGGTCAGGGCTCCGGCCAGTCTTGGTCCTCTTGACGCTTTGGCCCAGGCCCCTCGAGGCATCAGTCTTGAAACTAGAGCTCATGCCCTGACCTGGGCCCAGGGCAGCCTCAGTCTCACTGGGCATTGAGCTCTGGCCCCAGCTGGCTTTGGTATTGTTGAGGTTCCCACTTGGGTCCTGGAAAACCTTAGACTTGGTCTCATTGGAACCCTGGGATTGTCCCCAGGTCTGGTTGTGAGCAGCCTTGGTCTTTCTGAATCTCTGCCTTGGGCCCTGGGTGGCCTTGGTCTTGCTGGGCTTCTGTCTTTGAACCTGGGCAGCCTCAGTCTCGCTGGAGTCCTGGCTTTGGGTGGCCTTTGGGAAGCCCTGCTTCTGAGCCTGGGAAGCCACGGATTTCCTGGGCTGATGGCTCAGGGGTAGGACTTCCTTCTTGTTCCCAGAGTCTGAGGACTTTAGCAGTGAGGAGTCAGAGTGCATCCCGGGGGTGGTGGAGCTACTTCTGTACTCCTGGTCAGATGTGGATGTCTCTGTCTTGGAGGTGGACGACGTCCTGACTGGGAAGGGTGTGCAAGTCGGTTCTCAGGCCAACCCCTGCCCTGGGCAGCTCCCTGCCTGTGTCCGGGCATTGGGCTCTGCATGGCCGAAGGGGAAAGCCTGCTGTTCACATCAGCAAACTGCCACCAAGGTCACCTCTGCTGGCTGCCCCTTGCTCTCTGTGCCTCCACAGACCTTGGCCTCTGCCCCTTGGCTACCTGCCTGCAACCAAATGTGGGGCTGTGACTTCTACTTTAGAGTCACCTGCCCAAGGACACTGGGCCATCAACAGCAGAGCTCAGGTTCAACATGTCCTGACGTCTGAACTATTTTTTGCTTTGCTTTTTTTTTTTTTTTTTTTTTTTTAATCGGTACCAGGGATCAAACTCATGACCTCCTGCTTGCAAGGCAGGTAGGTACTTATGCCACTGAGCTAAATCCCCAGCCCCTGCTTTGCTTTTTTTGAGACAGGGTCTCAGGCTAATCTTGAACTTACTATGTTGCATAAGCTGGGCTCAAACTCACAGTGATCCTCCAGCCTTGGCCCCTCAAGGGCTGGGATTACAGACATGGTACCAACCACACCCAGTTTGTGACCCTTGACCATTGAGGCACTGAGCCACTCTGACTTACATGGGCCTCGAAGGAAACCAGGGACTTACAGCCAAGGATGGAGACTGTGGAGGCATGGCCGAGGTAGCTGTCCAATGGGGATGTCACCTTGGAAAGGGTGAGCTCCAGTTTGTCCTAAGGCAGGAAATGGGCTGGGCAGTTGCAGTTGGAAAACTGGCTGGCCTGGGACCCCCCAGCAATCACACTCTAGGCTCTTCACAGACACTTGTGGGGGTTGCATGAGGACACAGGTTGAGACTGTGGCAAGGGGCATAGCCAGGTGACACAGGGATGGACCCGAGAAAGACGATGCTCTGGGGCTGCTGGGGCTCCAGTTTCCCTGCAGGCTGTACCAGCTCCGGGGCTTCTGGGACTGCAATGCTGAACCATTAGGAAAAGCAGGGACAGAGTGAAAGAGGAGCTCACTGCTCGAAAACTGTGCCCTCTGTCACCCTCCTGGCACATTCCAGGGTGGGGCGAGACCTCTGCTGTGAACGTTTCTCAGACCACATGTACAAGCCACCTGTCCAGGCCACTCAGCTGAGGACAGCCCAGTTTGCCTGCAGCCCTGCTGGCCCCGCTGTGCAAGCAAGGGGCACCCAGTGCATCAGGTGCCCTTGAGCTCTGCTCGTGACAGCTTCATGTCCTCCAAGGTTGGGACCATAATGACCTTGGGGGCACACAGATGGCAGCTACATGCATCTGCCTTGATTCTAAAGTGAGCTGGAAGAATGAAGGGCCAGCCTTCCTTACCTCACTCCATGCTGTAGAGGATGCTGGTCCTGCAGTCGCCCCTGTTATGTGGTGTCTCCTTTGGACACGGGCTTCCTCGCTATCTACCAGCTGGGGAATGGATAAGGAGGTCACACGTCACAGTGGTGAGCAGGAGCAGCCCACTCTGTGGGGACCCCATGGGTGTCATGCTTAGGGAAAGAAGCTTGACAGGAGGTGGCCCTCTGTTTGTCATTTCTATGAAGAAAAGGTGGGTGGGGATAAAATCGGTGACTGATGTTTTAGGAATCAGGGCAGCTTTGTACTGGGCTGGGCCAGGGACCCACTAGGAGGCATCCAGGGGCCTCTGGGAGCTGGGCATATATTCTCTGTTGACCTGAGCAATGGTGTCATGATGTATTCAGCTTGTGAAAATCCAATTGCTCGTCCAATCCTTTAATGTCAGGCTTTTCTGTTTTGTTGTTTTATTTGAGGATTTTTTTGTTTTGTTTTTTTTCTGAGACAAGGTCTCGCTATACAGTGCAGGTTGGTCTCAAACTCACTCCAGTCTTCCTGCCGCAGCCTTTCAAGAGCTAACAGGTGTGCACCACCATGCCCAACTCAATTGTTTACTTTCTTTTTTTATTTTTTTGTACCGATAGTTGAACTCAGGACATTGCACTTGCCAGGCAAGCACTTGTATGACTGAGCTAAATCCTCAGCCCTCAGTTTTTTACTTTCTGTCTGTGCTCTATGCTGCATTCCACAATGTCTTTAGAACCTGTGCACATCACCCAAGTTGTGAAGGGGAGCCCAGGCAGGTCCTGTGAGACCCGTGTTCTCACGCTCCCTCCCATTGTTGGGCCCATTTCCATTTTGGCAAGAGGTACCAGTCCCAGTACCAGCCTTATCCCAGACCTCATGAGGCCCAGGTTCTGACATGGGTCCCACTCACCTCTTCTGTCTCTTCCTCTGCTTTCTGCCCCTTGAAGGCCTCAGTGTCTTCCCCTGAGTCTTCAGGGGACATCTGTAGCATCTGGGAAGTAGGTTCTGGCTGTCTGGGGGTCTCAGAGGAAGGCCATTTGTGCTTCCAGGAGAGCTGCAGGGCCTGGGCCTTCTTGCGTTCGAGCTCCCGCAACCTGAGTAAGCACCAAGCCATGGCACCACAGCCCTGAGTTGGTCTCCTGGATTCCACCTGCCACCAAGGACTAGGCAGTGGGGCCCTCAGAATTGAGCCACAGCCACCCACCACTGCCCTGTGGCCCTTGCTCTAGAAGCTCACCCCACAATGCCTTGCGGGATCTTGACCTGTGGGTCTCTCTTCAGCTGCAGCTGCTCCAGCTGCAGCTTGGCCAGGTGGCCCATCTGGCTGCTAAGCACCTCCTCCACCGACATGCCCGGAAAGAGGCTGGCCATCAGCGAGAGAAGCTGCCAGGAAAAGAGGGGACAGGAGCCAGGTGTGGGCCCAAGCAGGTGGCAGATGGCTGGTGTTCTGCCTTGTTGGCGCTTCTCAGTGCTGAAGGGAGAGGGTCTGGGAGTTGTTTCTAAAGGGCTGGACCCTGTCACTCCAGAAGACTGAGCAGGAGACTGTGAAAAAGGAACCATTCCAACACAGAGGCTAGGGTCTGACCTGGAGGGTAGGAAGGAGGCTCCAAGGAGCGGTGAGGTTGGCATGGAAAGAATTGTGCTCGGCTCACAGAAAGTGCTCCGGCATTACCACTATTATTATCAACAGCTGCAACTGATAAACAGTGTTACTATTATCAAGGAAGATTTCTCAGGGACACAAATCTGACTCATCCCAAAGGCATTGACTCTGGAACCGACCTGCCCTCCTGGCCCACGAGGAACCCACCTTTGGTTGCTTGGGGTTCAGGAGCAGCACGGTAATGACATCCTGGCGGGCACCAAAGGTGTCCTGCAGGATGTGGCGGTTCTTCGCCCGGTACAGATAGCACTGGGCCCTCCAGGGGTTGTGCCAAATGGCCGTTGAGAAGTGCTCCTCCGCCTTCTGGAACTGCCTGCAGGGTGCAGAGGGCCCCAGACTGCTGTGATCTGGGTCTGCTTTAGGGAAGGTGGGGCTCCTAGTCTCTCCTGAAGATTGGGAGAGAACCAGGGGTCCCTGCTCCCCACAACATGGCCCTCTCTTCCCTTCCTGCTGCCCACATGTTGGACAGACTGATCCCTAGATACTGGTGTGACACTCCAGTTATGATCTTGGGAGTTGGGAAGCCTTTCTGAAGTTCTCTTAAATCTGGCAGCCAAGAATGAAAAACCTAATGTGACCTCAATTAAATAATGCTAAGTGGAAGATTGAGAAATGCCAAAGCAAAGCCACAGACAATGCCTGAAGTTTAACTTAGTGGGGGAACAGCTTCACATAAGCCTACTTTGGTAAATAATCATCGTTAAGGTGTACTTAGCTCAAAGTCTGAAGGGTCATTGCCAATCTTGTGGAACAGAAAAGTTGGGAGGTATATTTTGGAGTAATTTACAATAAATGTTATATGTTAGTGAACATTTAAATGTTTCAATTATCATACACAATTACCATAATCAGGAGGAAGACATATTTGTAGTGAAGATTTGGAAAGGGCAGTTAATATTTTACTAGACAGAAGCAGCTCGCACCAGGAATTCTAGCAGGTGGGCTCCTGAAGACCGGAGCCCCGCCCCTCCCAGCCGGCCCCGCCCACCGCACCGGCAATTCAGCTCTCGGAGGCCCATCCTCTCCTGCAGAATGCACATGCGCATGTGGGCGCCCTGGTCCTGTGGGTTCAAAGCCAGGGCCTGGCTGTAGTCGGCCTCCGCAAAGGCCAGGTGACCCAGCTGGTGGAAGCAATCTAGGGTCAGAAAGCAGGGGCTCAATGAACTCTCAGCGCCCAGGAGCTCAGGTCCGGCTCCCAGGCTGGGAGCTGACACCCACAGGTGGTCCCAGTTTTTGGTGCACTTGGGCACCTTTTTCCCAGACACCTGAACTGAACTGCACGTCTGTCTTAAGGCGACCCCGGGACGCGGCGCCCGCCAGCCAGCCCTCCCCCCCCCCCCACGCACCGCCACGGTTAATATAGAGCCCCTTCTCGCTTTGCTCCTCCCTCAGCGCCTTGTTGAGCAGCTGCACGCCCTCCTCGTAGGCGCCCTGTTTGTAGCAGTGCACAGCGAAGTCGTTGTAAGTCAGCAGCAGCTGGCGCTGTGTCTGCTGCACTGTGTCACTCGGGCGGTCAGCCAAAATGTCCAGAGCCCTCAGGAAGTCCTCCACGGCTGCGTTAAACTCCTGTAGCCTTCGGTACATGGTGCCCCTACAGGAGAGGCCGGAGCAGGTAGCAGGGGGCCCGGACGAGCCACAGCTCACCCTGCCTGCGCCCCATGGCCTGAGACGCTGGAGGTGGCTTATAGTGCATGGCCTAGGTTTATCCTGCACTCCTATTTATCAAAAATAGCCAGCTGTGTGCCAACCTATCCTGAGGCCTTGGGGTACATGCAGCAGATGTTTTACCCCACTGTTTAGATGAGAAAGCCCGGGCTCAGGGCTCCTGAAGGGTAAGTCTGAGGGTGGAAGCATCCCAGTGTGAATTCCAGGACTCCCAGCATTCCTGGGTCCTACACCTGGCCCTCCCCCAGGCAGTGACAGAGACGGCCTCCTCCTTGCTATGACCCCAGCAGGAAGTAGAAAGAGATCAGGAGAGGCTTGACAGCAAACAGCTGGGAAGGGAGTCAAGGATTCTCTGGAGACAGCGCGGCGCGCTGTGGGAGGACGAGCCTGAGACCCTGGGCCCGCTCCTCCCACCGCGTACCGGAAGAGGAAGAGACGGGGGTCCAGGGGGTTGTTGTCGATGGCACAGTTGATGCGCTGCAGCGCATGTTGCAACCTGCCTTGGATGGCCAGGGTCCCGGCGTCCTGGCGGGCCTGTTCAGCCTGGTCCACCATCATCTGGAGCAGCACCCTGGCCTGGGGGTGCCTGGAATCCAGCCGCAAGGCGCTGCACAGGTCTCGATAGCAGAAGTTGGGCTGCGGGGGCAGGGGTGGCATCAGGACGCCCGTGGCCAAGCCCTTCTCTGGCCAGCATGAGGAGCAGAGGATGGTCTTCAGGGACAGAGGCTGACACCACGGCGTCCCTCCTCCGTGCCCCGCCATGCTGTCTGTGTGCACAGTGTGCAGCTTGATGTGACCACAGTCATCTTTGGTGGTCACCGCCACCACTGCCCCTGGGTAATCTTGCTGGCTTTTCCTACATAGATTCCCTGAAAACCACAGACATAAACGCAGCCCGGGCTCAGGGCTCCTGAAGGGTAAATCTGAGGGCGGAAGCATCCCAGTGTGAATTCCAGGACTCCATGGGGTGAGGATCTACAACCAGGCCCTGGCCCCAGGAATGCACCTGATTTTGATATTATCTTAAGCCAACCACTTCTGTCCTCACCCATAAATTCGACCCTCTTCCTGTCCCTAATCGCTGGGGTACAACTAGTCTTGCTGCCATCCAGGACTCAGCTTCTATCAGAACATTCCCAATACACCTGCGCAACCCTGGCTCCATCTGCCTGCCTCCCTTCCTCCTGCCTCCCAGTGCTAGGGGACAGTCCTCCTACGGCAGGGCTGGGTTGTTCCACAGCGCTGTTCCACCTTGCTCTCCCCTTTCCAGATGGGACCTGTGGGCCGGGTTTATACCAATGCCACCTCCTTGTAGGACTCCTGGGAAGTTCTGGAGGCAGAGGAGCGTGTGACTGCTTGATTGTGACTGTGTGTCCTCCCCTGCACTCCGCCCATTCCTGACCTGGAAGCCAAGGCAACACTGAGCAAGAACAGATTCCAGTCTGACTGTGAGTGGAAGGCATCCCCAGGCAAATACCTTCCCCTGCGTGAGCAGGTCAGCCAGTCAGTCAAACAGTTTCAACATGTGCACTGTGTGCTGCAGGTAATGACTGGGAGGTGGACAGGACAACAGTGTGGGCAGCGTGTGTGGGGAAATGGGGAGGGGAAATGGCAGAAGCCAGGAGTAGGACTTTGGAGAAGGTTGGCTTGGGCTCAAAGCAGGCAACGCCACTGAACATGTTCGACCCTGGATAAGCCACTGAGGGTTTATTTCTTGTCTGCCTGCCGCAGAGGGGTCCGGGCCAATGCAGACAGTTACTAGTCTCAGGCCTCAAGGCGGCAGCTCTCCCACTGACTTACCTGTGGGACATGGGGCCCAGGCCCTCCGCAGAGGGATGAGTCACCTGGGTGGAACTAACCAACCCCAGGAGCCACTCCTGGAGGGCAGTGCCCCACTCTGGAATCATAGGGACCCATTTCCAACCACCCAGGACACCCTCTCTGCCCGCCTTCCCTCTTGTCCACTGCTGCACCAGGCCACATTGTAGGACACTGTCTGGAGCCCTTGCTCTCCTGGCCGCCCTTGTCCTCCTCCCAGCTCCTAGTCCAGGGCCGCCCCTCCACTACCCCTCACGAAAGGAGCACCCACAAAGCCCTCTTATGCTGCAGCACCCTCCCTGCCCAGCACCCCTCACTCCCCATACCGTCCCCCTGCCCCAGAACTGTTCCCTGGCTGTGTGTCCCACAGCTGGGTATATGGGGCTGGGAGGGGGGCTCCATGGAGGCAGATGGGAAGGAGGAGGGAAAGAGAGGAGGACAAGCTGCCCTATGGTCCCCAGGGCACTTCTACCTCTGCTGGGTACTTCAAGCAACAGCAGCTGACTCATTCCTTGCTCCTCTTCTTTCTTTTTTTTTTTTTTTTTTTTTCTTTGTGAGACAGGAGTTCACTATTTGGTTCAGGCTGGCCTCAACTTGTAGTGATCCTCCTGCCTCAGCCTCCTAGAATTACAAGTATGCGCCACGGCCCCCAGCCTTCCTTGTGTACTTATCTGCTCAGGCCTCTGCCCCCTGCTGGAGCTGCAGTACAGCAGGAACCACAGGGTCCCTCTCCTGTGGTTCCCATGGGTCCCAGCATGGGCCTGACACAGAGCCAGAGCCAGGTTACTATAGATGGCCATGCCACTGGGCAGCTCAGTGGACAGCGCTGGACAGGGCCTCTGCTCAGGGAATGTGGTGTCAGGCACACTGTGGGGTCAGGATGCCTGACCTGGCTGTCACCCTGCTCCTCCTGTTATCTTGAGGTCACTCCAGGGGCTCCGAGCTGCCTGCCCTGCTCACCATCTGAAAGAGGTTGTAGATCCTGGCGCGGAGGATATAGAGGTCGGCATTGGGAGCACCTTGCCTCAGCTCCTTGGTGATGAATGACAGGCAGTCGTGATGGCGTTGGAGGGCCAGGAGGCAGGCTATGCTGCAGGAAGCAGAGGCTGAGGGTGGGTCCACGTGCGCCGTCTCTGGGACAGCAGATTACGGGAAGGGGCTGCTGGGACAGGGCACCATGGTGGACGCTCACCTCCGGTACCGGAAGCAGGGCTTTTCAGGCTGGAGCTCCAAGGCCTGCAAGAAGACCGTCAGGGCATCCTCGAAATTGCAGTGTTCATACAGGCACTGGCCCTGGGGACAGAGGGACAGTCCATCGGGCTGGCGACCCCAGGGCCAACTTTGGGACAGAGGGGAGAAACACAAGAGACAGGGACAGAGCTGATTAAATCTGGGTAAAACTTTCAGGTACACAGTCAGAGCTAGAGGGGAGGCAGTGCTGGAGACAGTGGGCCAGGACCAGTGACAGAGCCTGGAGCGGAGCCACCTGGAAAGCAGGTGACAGCAGCAGCATGCACAGTAACAACACACAGCCCGAGGCGGGAACTTGAATTGGTTGCCCTGGCTGTTATGGTTGATGCAGTGTGTCAACTTGCAAATTTTAGAAGTTTAACTAAGAAGCTCAGCAAGGAGTCAGGGTTCTTACTTGAAGTGTTGCCCCCGTGCCTTGACACCCTGCCTTGGAGCCAACGGATTGTGGACTGAAACTTCCAAGAACAGTAAGCTAAATAAACCTTTCCTTCTTCATTTTGGGTGTCAGGTATTTTGTGTCAGCAACGAGAGAAAAGTAACCAAGACAAATTTTGGTGAGGAAAAGGAGTCTCAGAGAGGTAAAGTGAGTTCCCTGAGGTTACACAAGAAGTGACGCTACAGGACAAGGCCCCTGACAGACAATGTAAGCACAAAACTTAGGCAGCCCAAATGTTTCTTTTGAAGAAATGGATACCTCTTTCTGGGGTGGGGTTTGAGACATCTCATTGATGTAGTCTGGTCTAGCCTTGAGCTCACTGTGTATCCAAGCCTGGCCTCAAACTTGTGGCAATTTTCCCACCTCAGCCTCACCAGTTCTGGATTATATCGTTTTTGTCTATTTATATCAAGTTGGGCATGGTGCTACATGCCTGTAACATCAGTGCTTAAAAGGCTGTGGCAGGAGGATCATGAGTTCCAGGCCAGCCATAGTTACACAGACAGATTCTATTCAAAAAAAAAAAAAAAAAAAAAAAAAAAAAAAAAAAAAAGACATCAAAGTTGTCAAAATGAAAAAACAATCAAAACTTCATTGATGCCGGGGATTTAGCTCAATGGCTGAAGTGCTCTCCCGGTAAACACAAGGTTGTAAATGTAATCCCCGGTAACAAACAAAACCAAGATTCCACTGGTGTTTCATAAATCTCTATTGTTTTGTTGTGGGTTTTTTTTTTTTTTTTTTTTTTTTTTGAGACGAAGTCTCACTATGTAGTTCAGACTGTCCTCAAATCCTCAAATTCACAGCAATTCTCCTGCCTCAGCACCCTGAGTGCCGGGATTACAGGCATGTGCTACCACACCCAGCCACTTTTTGAGACAGGATCTTGCTATGTAGTCCAGGCTGACCTTGAACTCACTGTATAGCCCAGGCTGATGATGAACTCCACAATCCTGTACTAAGTAATAATAATAAAATAAATAATCCTGTAGCCTGTGATCTCCAGTTACAGGGTCATTACTTTAAAAATGGCTCAGCTGGGTGTGGTGGCTCACATCTGTAATCCCAGCACCCAGGAGGCTGAGGTGGGAGGATCGTTGCGAGTTCGAGACCAGCCTGGGCTACAAAGTGAGCTCAAGGCCAGCCTGAACTACATAGCGAGACCCCGTCTCAAAAAAAAAAAAAAAAAAAAAAAAAAAAGGCTCAGCAATCAAAAGGATTCTAGGTCTCTCTGGCCTCAGAATTGAACAAGACAATAATGGTACCGAGTTTATTTGAGAAGTGCAGGCTGAATGGATATGGACCCAGCTCAGCAGAGTGAACTGGGCCACACAGGAAAAGAGGGTAAAAGCAAAAGCCAAAGGACACGCAGCATCTGAGAAACTCCGCACGGCCTACTTTGGGAACTCCCAATAGTGGCTTCTCCTCATGGTTGGTCTTTTTCATGCCATCCACATCTTATGGGAACACAGAAGTTTTACATGCTGAGACCTCATATGCACTGGATTTGGACTCGCTCTGTCACCCAGCTGGCCTCAAACTCACAGCAACCCTCCCATCTCAGCCTCCCGAGTGCTGGGATTACAAGCTTGTGTCACCATGGCCAGCTTTGACCTGGGATCTTGTAATTGGTGGGTCTTGCTCATTTTCCTGAGCCAGCTTTGCCACACCCTATTTCCTATGTCACTGCTGCTTCAGCCTCCCACGCACTGAGACCAGAGGTGTGTGTCACGATACCAGCTTGAGTTTTATTATAAGCTGCAAATGAGGTCATTATCCCTTTGGTAGCCTCTCCATGCTAGATCTCTCCACTACCACAGCCACCAGTTGCACAAGGCTATACAAACTTAAGTTAATTAAAACTAAATAAAATTGGTATTTATTTTTGCAGTGCTGGGGATCACATGCTAGGCAAGTGTTCTGCCCCTGAGCTACCCATGCAGCCTGGATAAAATTTCAATTCAGTTTCTTTCTTTTTTTTTAATCGGTACCGGGGATCAAACTCACAACTGCCTGCTTGCAAGGCAGGTGGCTTATGCTGCTGAGCTAAATCCCCAGCCCCTAAATTCAGTTTCTTGACCCATACTAGCCACGGTCATGGGCTCACCTTTCAGGTGGTGGTGGCTGTGCTACTGGACAGAACTGAGAAGATGATGTCATTATGCTACAAAACTCCACCCACCCTTGGCAGGAAGCCTCCAGCAGATGAAAGGGCCAGCAGACACAGGGAGGAGTCTCCAAGAAGATGGTTGGTCCCAGGAGGAAGGACAGACCCCGGAGCTGCAGCTGCAGCCCAAGGGCCAGGGTACACGTGGGCACCTGCAGGTAAAGCACGAAGGTGAGTCGCTCCAGGTGCTTCATGTTCTCTGGCTGGGCAGAGTAGGCCCTGCGCAGGTTCTGGACAGCTGAAGAGAAGTCGCAGAGCTGGATGAAGGCCTCTGCCCGCAAGGCATAGAAGTCTACCTGGGGGCAAAGGGACCAGGCTGCTATTCCCTCCCCCCCCCACCTGCATCTCAAAGGAGGGGACTCTGCATCCCTGAGGCTGGACACCCAGTTACTGGCAGCAACCTGGTTGTCCTAAGAGCAGGGACCAGGCAGGTGCAAGAGAGAAGGAAGGGCAAAGTATGTGTCAGAAGCTATCCCTGCCCACCCAAGCCCTCTCACCAGTCCTGGGTCCAAGTGGAGGGCTCGGGAGAAGAAAACCACAGCTGTCTCCCAGTCCTCTTGCTCCAGGCATCCCTGGCCTCTGTGGTAACTGTAGACAGGGAAGAACAGGCAGAGGGGCTGGCCCTGACTTTGCACCAGCCCACAGCTTACAGCTGGGGCCAAGATTGTGGTAGTTGAGAAGTGGAGTTGGGGAGAAGGTGAGAGGAGTGGGCAGATGGAGGCAGAGGAGTAGGCCGGGAAGGATTGGTTGGCATTTCTGAACTCATTCAGGTCATCAGTCTTTTCTGCACAGGAAGAAGAGCTATGACACAGTGGAGTTCAACTGAGGTCCAGAGAGAGATGGTAACTTGCTGTGGAGGGCAGGAATCTGGGACCCCAGGACAAGGTAGTCACTTACTACTCTCTGACTTTGAGAGGCACCATTAATCCCGAGACCTTTGGTTTTACATCATCGATGGCCTGGAACACCTGGCTGGTCCCAAATATGTGCTGCAGAGTACCCCTTGGGACTGGAATCACCCGTGGTTTTGGGATGTTGTATGAGATGGTCTGGCCAGGCTCCAAGACATCCTAGAACCAGGTGATAGCCAGTGGGCACAGGCCTCAGAGGGGACTCCATCTACTTCTACACTTCCCCAGTTCTCCACCCTTTCTGTACTGGGGATGGAACCCGGATCTTTGTGCATGCTAGGCAAGTGTCCAGCACTGAGCTACACGCCCAGCCCTCTCCTGGGGTAGTTTACCAATTGGATGGAGGAGGGGTAGAAACTGGGCCAGGAAGGCAGCACACACAATCTGCAGCTCTCCTGACTCATGTCCTCTAAGAATATCCCAACCTCTCTCTGCGGTCCTGCTTCTCTCACTCTCTTATAATCGAGATCCTTAAACCCACACCACGCTCTACTTTCTTCCTCCTGACAGCCATAGCTCTAATGTCCCCCCTGCTCTGAGTCACAGGTACTCTGTCGGACCTTCACACTAAGAAAACTATGCTGTGTAAACTCATCTGACATCTGCTCCTGCCTTTTCCACCTCGATGCATCACCTTCTCCACCAGCCATTCATGCCAGAGACACATGTCCCATCAACCCTCAAGTCCTATCTGTGCCACTTCCTCAAAATCTCTCATCGCTCTTCTGGGCCAATATCATGTCTATCTGGATGCTTGCTCTGACCACCCCTAAGTCCGGAGCTCTCTTCCTTGGCCTAGCAGCCAGGGCCTCCCTAAACTGCACTAGTGGCTCTACCTCGACCATATGGGAAGCCTTTCCTGGAACTCAGTCTCAGTCCCCTTACCCTGCCTTCTACCTTGGCTTTAGCTTTCTCGCCAGGATGCACCTCCCGGGAGTCTGCCATGAGGTCTCTTTTAGGAGTGGGCCAGCGCCAACTCCTTCCCACCGCCCCACCCGCCTCAAAACGTTGGCTTCGGCGTTACTAGGCAACAGCTTCAGGACGCCCACGGACTCTGCCCCTTGTCACGCCCTCAGGATCCAAAGGCTTTAGGAAAGTTATTAGCGGGTCAAACTGAAGTCTATGGCTGGGTTTCTGCAGTAAGGAGGGCTATGGCTCCTGCCTCCCAAGCAAGACCTCCGGGAATGGCACATAAACACCACAGGGACGAGGTGACTTAGCGTGACAGAACGCGGGAGCACGCCCAGACGTGGCCGCCGCCTCCCCACTTCCGCCTTTTGGAAACATGGCCGCCATGGTGCGGGGCCCGGAAGGAAAACGCCCGAGCAGATGCCGATGTGATTGGCTGCGGGTTGGTTGACGTCAAGGGGCGGGCCGGGGCTGGGAATAGGAGTAGCATGTCGCGGTCTAGCGTTTTGCTCGCTGGGCTCTGGCTCAGTTGGGCCATGAGCCGGAGGGTTTTGGAATCTGGGTTCTCAGGGAAGCGGTGGCTGGTGAGTGGAGTATGGGTAGTGATATATGGGCCCGGGGTCCCTGGTTCGCGTTCTGCCACTATCCCCCCGAGTAAACCCTTCAAGTCGCTGTTTTCTTATCTAGAAAAGGAGCCCGTACACACAGGCTTCTTTTAGGGGCTTCTGGCTGGAGGTTTAGCTCAGCGATGTAAGCACCTTCTGGCAAGGGCAAGATCATGAGTTCGATCTCTGCTCCCCCAGCCCCCTGCCCCCCCCCCAAAAAAAAGAGTATCAATTCTTTTAGGCGCTTCGCTTCTGTAGTACGGCGTGCCACTCGCTCAGCTTTTTGAAATTTCTGGGAGTTCCCTTCGTCGCACCCCTATCCAACTCTGGCCCTTGCTCTGTTTCTCCTCTGCTTTGGGCCTCGGGGAATGCTGTGTGATCGGGAGTGGTGAGAGTTTTCTGGCCTCAGTCTTCCTGGTGCCGCCCGCAGGTGGCTGGCCTGGGGAACCCCGGACTCCCCAGCACGAGGCACAGCGTGGGTATGGCAGTGCTGGGGCATCTGGCGCAGCGTCTGGGAGTGGCGGAGAGCTGGGTACGCGACCCGCGCTGCGCCGCCGATCTAGCTCTGGCCCCGCTCGGTGATGCCCAGCTGGTCCTTCTTCGGCCGCGACGGTTCATGAACGCCAACGGGCGAAGCGTGGCCCGGGCCGGTGAGTTGAGGGCTCCATGGGTGAACTTTCCGGGTGGGCACAAAGTCCAGGGAGTGTGCACTGCTGCTCGCGGGTCTGTTGAGCTTCAGCTGCTGCGAGGTTGGGTACTTGGGGAGCCTCCGCTTCTTTATAAGTGAAGTGGGGTTCATTGTGTGAGCTGGGACGATGGCTGTCAGTGCAGATGGGCAGTAACCAGGGCCGCCCTTTCCTGTGCCTAGGGGAGCTGTTTGGGCTGACGGCGGAGGAGATCTACCTGGTGCATGATGAGCTGGACAAGCCCCTGGGGAAACTGGCTCTGAAGCTGGGGGGCAGTGCCAGGTGAGTGGGCAGTGCCCACTGCTAAGGGCTAGGATGGGGATGCTGGTCTCCAGTTGGGGTGGAGCAGGGCTTCTGACCCAGCTGCCCAGGAATGGGTCACTCTGAACCCAGTTGGGGACAAAAGGGACGGAAGATGCTGCCTCCGAATCCCAACACTAACTTCTCCCTTATCCCTTGAAGGGGCCACAATGGAGTCCGATCCTGCATTAGCTGTCTCAACTCCAGTGTGAGTCTGTCCTTCTGAGCTGCACTGGGTGGGGGTGGCCAGCATGGGATCCCAACATGCCTCACCAAAGCTCCCTGTGTCCCTCTGGCTCCTCCACAGGCAATGCCAAGACTGCTGGTGGGCATCGGGCGCCCTGCACACCGTAGCGCTGTGGAGGCCTATGTCCTTGGCTGCTTTTCCCCTGAGGAACAAGAACTGCTGCCCTCACTGCTGGATGGCGCTACTGACCTGCTCCTGGCCCACATCCGAGCACGAAGCCAGGAGCCCTCACCTGGCTCCTGACACCAGTAAACACAGTTGCCAGATCCCAGTGCCTGCACACTCGGTCATGGCTTCAAAGCCACCATACTCATTAAGGATTTTTATAGAACTCTTTGCCGGGCTGCCCAGGCCTCTTACAGATTCCAGGGGTGACCGTGGCCAGAACAGTCTATTTCTGGAGTAGGGTAGGGTTGGTCTCTCCAGGTGCTACTTGGGATGCAGGAAAACTTGAGGAAGACTGAACTTTTTGATACGTTTTACAGCACCGGAGGCATGGATCTGTAGGATTAAAGATGCCAGCTTGAAAACCAAACCATCCTGGGGTGAGGAATCTCACTTTTCTCTGGCCAGTGGGGTGGGGACAACAAGGTCCAGCAAGTCCCCTCCTCAGGGGATGTGTGGGCATGCCCAGCTCCACCTTTCTTTTTTTTTTTTTGGTCTTTTTCTTTTTTATTGGTACCGGGGATCAAACTCACGACTGCCTGCTTTCAAGGCAGGCGCTTATGCCGCTGAGCTAAATCCCCAGCCCCAAGCTCCACCTTTCTTCAGCATACTTTACAGATGAGAAGGCTCAGGGATGTCTAGTCCACTCTAAAGAGCCACAGTGTGCTGCCATCATGCTGTCTCTGGGGCCCCTGGCACCCTTACCTCAGGAGTGCTGTGTGCCCGGAGGCTCCCCATGCGGGTAACGAATGAGAGCAGCCTGAGGTCCTGGGGGTTGGGTGGGATGTGGCCTTGGCGAGGCACCAGGCCTGGATGCCTTGGCTGGGAGGTGGTGATGCCAGACAGCTGCTGCAGCAGAGATGCCACCTTGGGCAGCAGGACACGGGATCGACTGTGGGGAAGGCCCTGGGCTCAGAGGAGGCTGAGGTTCAGATCGACCACAGAGAGCCAGGCTTTGCTGCAGCATGGCCCCCCAAGTGATTTCCAGGCGGGTCCCTTCACTGCCTCTGAGGCTACCGACCTGGGGCTACCTGCTCACCTCTGCTTGGGTGGGCCACGGGCCTGCTTCTGGCTGCGGGGATGAGCAGCTGTCTGGGGTTTCAGGACCACAGCAGAGCTGAGCAGGGCCAGCAATTGGTGCAGCAGCTCCCTGCGCTGTAGCTCGAGTGCTACTTCAAAGTCACCATCCTCTTCCTCTGTGTGCCTCTACCAGTGAGGGTGGGGCTGGGATTAGGCCCACAGTGGCCCCAACACCCATGCACCTTGGGAATATTCTGACCCCACAGTCTTTTCTCAGTGTCCCCTGGCAGGGATCAGTACGCATTCTCTAAGTAGGGAGACTCAGGACTGAAGTCTTCCAGAGCTTGAGAGGAGGAATTCTGCTCTTTGGAGGGATCTTGAAGTCCAATCAAAAAAGGACAGACTGAACTGGGTATGATGGTGCGCACCTATGATCCCACCATTCAGAAAACTGAGGTAGGAGGATTGCCATGGGTTTGAGGACAGCCTGGGCTACATAATGAGTTCAAGGCCAGTTTGAATTATCAGATTGTCTCAAAAAAGTAAAAACATACTGGACAAGAGTCTCTCAGGGGACAGAGTGGCTTATGAACTCATGTTTTGCTTTGTTTTTTGAATTCATCTTCTTGCAGGTGGCCAAGTCTCCTGAGACCAGCTTCTGGTATCTCCTGCAATCCTCCACTTCCAGCTTACCTGCAGAATATCCTGTACACACAAAATGGCCTGGGCCAGGGTTGCCTCTAGACTGGCCTGGATCTTCTGCTCCTCAGTCAGCTCCTGCTGTAGTCTCTGTACCTCAGCCTGCTGCTGCTGCTGCTGTTGGTTCAGCTGGTCTATCTGGCTCCTGGTTTTGGGGCATGATGAGTCAACACCCAGCCTCTGTCTCCTGGCTATGGCTGGAGGCTGTGGCGCCTGGGCCATGCATTTTTTCTAGCCCATTCAAACCCAGGCCTCGGCCTGTCTGACAGGCCCAGGCCATAGGGCCCAAAAGGGATGTGGTGAGCCCACCCCTGGCACTGCGGGCTTGCGTACCGCAGAGCCTGGTTGTCCGTCTGCAGCTGCAGGATACTCTGCTCCAGCTGGCTGAGCAGGAGACGCAGTTGCTTGGCCTCAGCCACACCCTGCTGCTGCTCACGGCACTTCTCGGTCAGCATGAGGATGATCTGTAGGGTGGGCAGGTGACTGGACCCTGGGCCACTGGATGACCTCAGTCTGCCCTGTCCCCCAAACACCAGACAGCCAGGCTCACCCCCACATACAGAGAGGCCATCACAACCTCTGGACAACCTGGGGCACTAGCAGGCTCTGCTTCAATTATCCAGGCTTTGAAGTAAATAGGGTAATGCAGAGATGTGACTAACTCCACAGAGGTGCTACCTGACCCCACTGTGCTACCTGCTTCATTGCCTGAAGCCACCACTCTGTGCCTGAAGCCACTACTATGTGCAGGTAGCATCCTGAGGGCAGGGCCCCTGGACACCTCTGCTTCATGTGCCAAATGGGCTTTGGATATAGTGGTGCCTGCCTGTCACCCCAGCACTTGGGCTGACAGCAAGATTGTCGTGAGTATGGGCCTAGCCCGGGCTAAGTAGTGGCTGTAAGGCCACCCTGAACTGCATAGCAAGACCCCAACTCATCTCCTTCCCCCCACAAAAAAGTCATGGGGCAAAGTGCCCTGGGGGGAGGGTGTGGCAGACACACTTTTTGGTGGCCTCTACTGTTCCTGGCCATGACCTTCTGGGTGTTCTCCAGCACCCCCAGCTGCTTCTGTAGCTCCTCCTGGATGCCCTTGAGCTGCTCATTCTCCTGCAGCAGCTGCACACCGTGCTGGGACACCTTGGCCAGCTGTAGCGTCATGCTGTTGTTCTCTGTGATGGCTCGCTTTGTAGTTTCCCACGTCTGGTCCGAAGCCATCTTGTGGAACTCGGCAGCCACCAGGTTCACTCGCTGGATAATCTCTTTCCTCAGTCTGCTCAGGTGACAGAGGGAAAGGGACTGGGTAGGGGGCACACATCCTGGCCTGGGTGCACAGAGTGAAAAACTCTTGGGCCATATACAACTACATAATTAAGGTACATCAGTAAGCTTTGTCTTTTAATAGTTGTTCTTACAATATTTTTTTAAAAGGGCAAATGGCCTGTAGGCCACAGGTTGGACATATCTGTCAGAAGACATTTTGGGCCTTTGCAATTTGACCTACTGCAACCTATTTTTGTTTTGTTGTTGAGACAGGGTCTCACTATACATTCAGGCTTGCCTTAAATTCATTGTTGTTGGCTTCTGACTTGCAGCAATCCTCCTGCCTCAGCCTCCTGAGTATTGAGATTACAAGTGTGAACAATCACACCCGGCTCATTGCAACCTATTACGAACTATTACAGTTTTGTTTTGTTTTACTTTTTGGTGCCAGGGATCAAACTCATGACCTTGGATTTGCCAGTCAGACACTTATGCCACTGAACTAAATCCCTGAACCATAAATATAGTTTAAATCACAAGAAATGGCAAAAGAAACTCAAGAGATTCTCCATCACCATCCTAAGGAGTGGAGCACTCAGCTTCCTACTATCTCACTCCTGGCATATTCTGGCTAGTGCTCTGGAGAGTCCTGACCTCATCCTGTCCCCTCAGTTAGAAACTGAGGAAAGTGGAGGCCCCTAGTGGGGTGTATGTGGGCCCAGTGGGGTACCCAGCCTGCCCACCTGTCCTTGTCCAGCACCGACTTCTTCTCCAGGTTGTACACATAGTCCTTGTACTCGCTCTCCTGCCTTAGCAGCTGGTCCTCCAGGGACATGAACTTGTCCATGAGCTCCTCTTTCTGTAGCCGGAACTCCTCCAGGGCGGCCAGCTTTCCCGCTGCCCATGGAGGGGCACGAGCCCAGTGAGGGACTGCTTCAGAAAGCCTTGAGGGATGCCCTGGGGTGCCTCCCACTACCCCTCTGCCTCCTGCACCTGCCAGCCGGCCTTGCACATTCTGTGCCCCTAAATAAATGTGCTGCCCACCTGGGTAACTCTGATCTGAAATCCCCTACAGCTATCTGACATTGATTTTACAAAGCACCGTTTAGGTGCCATGGTTGCAGGAAGCTGCTCTTGACACTTCTCTGCTCCCCTCATGAGAGTAACTGACAGCAAGAGCTGAGAGCAAACACTTTTTCTGGCCCAGGCCCTCATTCTGCTTGCAGCCTCACAAGGGTCCCTGCCTTTTGGAAAAGTCTCCAGCCTCATAGATGGCATGGAAAATTAAGGAAGATGTGTGTGAAGCAGCCTATGTCTGCTGAGTCAGCCCCTTTTCCCAGAGGACAATACAGAGTCTCAGAGGTCATACTTTGAGCCACCCTGCAACAGTGGGCTGTGCCCGAGGCTCCTGGCCAGTCCCCGTTCACTGCTCACCAAGAACAATGTTCTCTGTGGTCAGCTGATCCTTGGTCTCCTGGAACTCATGGCGCACCTGGGCCAGCTGTGCTTCAAAGGCATCCTTCTCCATTTCCTTGGCCAGCTGCAGGCTCTGCAGCTGCTCCTTGAGGTCAGCGATCTCATCCACCTGCAGGTTGAGCGTGTGCTTGAGGAAGGCGATGATCTCCTTCTTGTTACTGGCCAGCTGCTCAAACTCCTGGCGGGACAGCCTCTCCTGTGAAGCCAGCTCGTCTGACTTCCGCTGGTACCTGGGGCCCGGGCAGGGCAGAGGGCCAGGGTTGGGGCCAAGCAAGGTAGATACACACACACACACACACACATACATTCACACACATCCCCAGCTATAAAGGGGCATTTGAATTTCTTCACCTCTCCCTGTACCCTTACTGCTCAGCACTATGTATTACATCACTAGAATATAAGGCCTGGGTGGGCCAAGCCTTCATAGGTGTGACCCCACCATCTGTGCCCAGTACAGAGCAAGTGCCCATTTGTTGAACTCTCACAACTTAGAAGAATGTAGGTGCTATGATGGTTGCACCCATTTTATAGATGAGGACATAGAGGCTCAGAAGGATGAATATACTCCTAGTCAATAAATGGTAAAGCCAGAACTTGAGCCTCAATCTGACCCAAAAGCTGAGGCTTTTAGACATAATGCCCACGCTGCAGTGGGCAAGCTCTGTGTCCCACCTTGACACTGTTCACAGTCCCAAGGCTTTGTGCCTTTGCTGTCTTCCTTATCTTTGTCCATCAAATGAACCCATAGCTATGTCCTCATTGGGCCCTTCCTGACCCTAGCCAGATTCCTGTCCCTCTCTCTGCTCTCCTGCAGGCTGAGTCTTGTCCCACTGCATGACTCTACCCTTCTCCTCCGCTTGGCAGACCCCTGACCACCTCCACCTCTGTATTCTCAGGGCCTGGCAGAGAGTTTGGCAAATGCCAAGCACCCAGTAACTGTCCAATAAATGCATTTTGCGTGACACATTCCATCTGGTGTCTCAGCTCAGGAAACTGGTGAATTTTCAGAACACAATATAACAGACGAGTTGCTGATAGAATGACTGAAACTATTTGCAAAGTTGTTCTGTTCCATAATTTACTGAACCAACACCTCTCAAAAGGCTTCTGTACACAGAGCGCTTCAGGACTGTGGAGCCAAAAGACTCCTGGGTGATGAGGAAGGAGCCCATTGCTGGGGAGTCAGGCTGGGCTGTCATCCCAGCACCTCTTCCTCCTGGGGGTGACTCTCTGAGCCTCCAGAGCCCCATCACTGCAGTGGGTGACTCGCTCGTGGCTCTGGTGAGAGGACACTGAGAGTGTGGTGTTATGCAGAAAGTTAGAAATTACCAGGGCTGGAGTCAGGTGGCTGCGGCTACTCAGAAAGCAGAGAAAACATGTTTGTCCCTTGCTTTAATCATTAGCTACAGGTAAATCCACACAAGCTTGTAGTTTCAAACTTTAGCTCAGAAGAAGTAACATCCTCTGAGTGTGCTGATAAACTCTGGGGCCTAAATGAGTCCAAGAGCTTAGAAAAACCTGAAGGTCTCAAAACAAACTAAACCCAAAATACCCACCTACGGAGTAAACAAGGACCTAGTAGCCTGTTTTCCTTGTGAAAGAGCACAACCTGAGAAAGGAAAGGAAATCCCTTGAGAGACACAGTGGGGTCAGGAGGGCTTGGTGGTGAATGCCTGTAATCTCAGCACTCAGAGGCTGAGGCAGGAGGATCACTGCAAGTTTAAGGCCAGCCTGAACTACACAGTCAATCAATCAATCAAAATGAATGCCCAGTTAATCATATACATTTAACCCAAGACCCTGGTTCAGTACAACTGCCATTTTGACACTCACCTTCCTTCATGCTTGAAGGTTTTCTCTATTTTGCAACAACAAACCCTACCTGTACTCTAAATGATGGTCTGCCTGTCTTGTATGTGATCTTGCATCAAAGAACTGAGGTATGCTGCCGGCTGTCCGCAGCATTAGGACCCAGCTTCCTGCAGAGACTCAGCACTGGCTGTGACCACCCTTCAGCCTCAGTGATGGTGAACAGTTGCTGCCCACTTGTCTGTTAGGAGTCCCCCCAAAGCTTGGGCCATTGCCTCAGAACTCTTCAAACATATCTCTACACGAAGGGGTAGTGGATCCCCATGCCAACAAACACATAATACAAAACCATCCCTAGGGCAGAATGTCATCATCATGGAGGGGAGAATCAACTGTCCTCATTGACATTTGGGGAAACTGAGGCTAATCGTGGCAAAATTATGGGAGTCAGTGGCTGGGTAGCCAGCAAGCCCCTGACCCACTGTTGGGAGAGAAATGAGGGACACATGGCTCACCCACCCTCAGGAGTGCAGCCTCCCATGTGTCCCAAAGAATACATCATCCCTCGGGCCCTGCCAGGGTTGGGGCTGCCCCGTATTTCGTAGTCCCCAGACTCCAGAAGCTGAGGACTAGGAAAACCCATTCGCCCTCAGAACCTTTTTTTTCTTTTTAAGGCAGGATCTCTTTATGCAGTTCAAACTGGCCTTGAGCTCACTTTGTAGCCTAAACTGGTCTCAAACTCAAACTCATAATGATCCTCCTGCCTCAGCCTCCCAAGTGCTAGGATTACAGGTGTGAGCCACCATGCCTGGCTTAAAATTATTTTTCCTTCTGTCTTTGAGATAGGGTTTTGCTATGTAGTTTAGGCTCGCTGTGAACTCATTTTATAGCCCAGGCTGGCCTTGAACTCTCAGCAGTCCTCCTGCCTCTGAATCCTGGGTGCTGGGATTACTGGTGTGCACCACCACACCTGGCTGATACTTCCTTATGTTATCTGTGAGGAGGCTGAGGGTGCAGTGGGGTCTGGACGTCCCACAGAGGCCAGGACATAGGTCTAGATTCTCCTGGCCAAGGCCTAGCAGCCTCCTGCCTCCCACTCACCGGGCCAGCCTGTCCTCTAGGTCTCGGATCTGGATGAGGTAGAACTCCCGCATGTCCTCCGATAGCGGCGCCTCCATGGGCTTGATGGCCACGCTGGGATCCTTCTTGCCTCCTTTTTTCTTCTTGTCAAGCTCCTTTTCCCCCTTGTTCGTCTTCTTTTTGGGAGCCATGGCTGCCACCACTGTTCCAAGGCCCCCATAAGAGGCTAAGTGGTTGCTAAGGAAGTTGGCGTGCTACATAGTAACAGCCTGGGGGAGCCGGGCTGGACTTAAAGGGTCCCTTCCCTTCCAAGGCAGATGGTGGCACTTAGGCCTAGGCCTGGGTGTCCTAGGCAGCGGTGTCTCAGACTAGGAGCCCAGGTTCTTGGGCATACATTCGGGTCCCCCAAGCGGAAATAAGTTACAGAAAATTAGAGTGGTCAGGGCCCTAGAAATCACCAGCCTGCCCCTAGGACCAGTAAGAAGATGGAAACCAGTGAAAGTTGGAAGCTCCCTACACTACTCCTCAGGACCAAAAGAAACCAGTTAGGTCCCTGGCCAGGGGGTGCTTTCCTGAGACCCCAGAGAGCATCTTGTGCATGCTTTGATGACAGCTACACAGCAAAGTTATTGTATTAGCTTTGCCCAAAGCAAGATGGGAGCAGTGGGCTGGAGATTTAGCTCAGTGGCTTAAGCACCTGTCTTGTAAGCATGTGGTTTTGAGTTTGATCCCCAGTACCAAAAAAAAAAAAAAAAAAAAAAAAGAGAGGAGCAGCATGGTAGAAAAGGACATTCTGCTAGGCATGGTGGCACATGAGCTTAATTTCAGCACCCTAAGAGGCTGAGGCAGGGGTTCCCAAGGTCAAGCCCAGTCTGGGCAATTGAGAAAGTCAACTCGAGTCAGGAAGACTGCTCACAGGCCAGGTCACATCCATTGAGGAAGATTCAGCGCAGGGCAAGGGGCCCCAGGAGGCGTCCCAAAGGCCACATACAGATCCATCACACTGGGACTGATACTTCACTGGGATAAGAGGTTTACACCCTGAGCAAATGGTGACGGTCTCTGATTCAGGAGTGGTTCTCGGGAACCCAGGCTTAATGACAGAGTCATCTCTAGAAGCCAGCAGACTGTGCGTGACCAACCTGAGACGGGATCCCCAAGCTTCTTCCCCTGGGCTGATCGTGGAACTGGATCAGCTGGCAGCCTCTGAGCCACACACTCATCTGTCACGAGAGGAAAACAACCAGCTGGCAGAAGGGGCTTCCCACAACCTCTGACCCTTCAGTGGTTTAGGACCACCCTGGAGTGACCCCCGGTAGCAGGGCTGAAGGAGATAGTCAAGGAGGAAAAATCTGGACAGGGACATCAGAAACAGCACACAAAGAGAAAAAGGCTTCACAGAATTACTCCAGCCAAACAATAATGTAAATAAATGATCAGTCGACCATCGCCTCCCAAGGAAAATCAGAAAAGACAGGAAAAGCAAAAAGGAAAAGGAAAAGCAAAAAAGACAGCTGGCGTGAGGGTGCACAGCTGTGATCCCAGCACTCAGGAGACTGAGGCAGGAGGATCACTGTGAATTTGAGACCAGCCTGAGTTATCAACCCCCATCTCAAAAACAAAACTGGGGTTGGGGATTTAGCTCAACAGCACAAGTGCCTGCCTGGCAAGCATGAGGTCATGAGTTCAACAAAAACATGAAACCATCTTAAATGTGTCCAAAGACCTGAAGAAAACCATTTCTAAAGAACAAAAGGAGCAGGCATGGTGACACACTCTCGTAACTCCAGACCTTGGGAGCCTGAGGCAGAAGGACTGTCACAAGTTCAAAGGTAGCCTGAACTGCATAGTGAGACTCTGTTTCAAAAACCCCAAATAAAACCAAACAAAAGAATAAAATGAAAATATAACATCACAGTAGATAAAAAATATGAGGAGAGAACGAGGTGGTAGTGATGCAGGCCTGTAAATCCAGCATTTGGGAGGCTGAGGATCCCTGAAAGTTTGAGGCCAGCCTATGCTACATAATGAGTTCAAGGCCAGCCTGAACTACATAGGAAGACCTTGAAAATGTTTCATTATTCTCTTGACCTCCCAAACATGACAAAATTACACAAATCAAGAGGTTCAAATCTTTGCAGTCACTTTGGGAATGCCCAGAAACTGCCAAGTCCATCAAGGGGATGCATATCTAAAAAGCCACCAAGTATTGGGAAGATGTTACCTAGAAGAAGCCATATGTGCCACTTGGGTGTTTCAATAGTGGGCTTGGGAGTGGCACCAGGCCAAAGAATGGGGCTGGGCTTGGCCCCCAAAGAGTAAATTTTTCGACAGTTCTTTTTTTTTTATACATTACTTTTTTTTTTTTTTTTTTTTTTTTGTACTGGAGATCAAACTCACAATGTAGTGCTTGCCAGGCATGTGCTTATGCCACTGAGTTAAATTCCCAGCCCTCAAAGAGTAAACTTTTGCTGAGTGTGCTGGTGTACAGCTGTAATCTCAGCACTTGGGCTGGGGGATCACTGCAGTTTGAGGCCAGCCTGGGCTACATAGTGAGTTCAAGGCCAACCTGAATTCCATAGTGAAACTGCTGCACCTGCTTGGAATCCACATGACAAATCACTCCAGCATTTATTGGCTTCAGATAACATCCACTGAATGAGGTCTGGATCACTGGGGATTCTTCTGGTGTGGTCCAGCCTGGTCTGATCTCAGCCTGTGTTCACCCACGTACCTGCACTTGGCTGCCGAGCCCACTTTGGGGCAGATGGTCCTCATATGTCTAAGGCAGGTCCCTGCCAGGTGGATCAATGGAGGGACTGCTTCTAGTTACCAAGCAGACAAGTGCAGCTTGCTTATTTTCAGTCTCAAAGTCACAAGAGCACAGGTCTGGCACAAATTCATTCTTGCCACCCAGCTCCAAGGAAGCCACCAGACAGCCCTGAGCAGCCACGTCTGCTAGCTGACAACTTAGGCCTCCTCTGAATGGATTTTAGCTCTGGAAAGTTTTTTTTTTTTTTTGTATTTTTTCCCCCAAGATACAGTGTTGGTAGGGTGGTGGTTTTAGAATATGGCTTCACTAAAAGCATACTCTTGTTCTGGAGTGATAGGGTCAAACCAGCTCAAATCCTAGGGATCAATCACTGGAGTGAGCCCCTGGAAGTCAGGGAGGGGTACACACAGTATACGGAGTCAACCTGTGTCCTGTGCACTTCTGTGAGCACACTGCAGCCACCTGCAGTCACGATGTGCCACCCTCCAGGTTAACTGGTGCCTGGGGACTTGTGGGTAGGTGCTCCTGCAGCCACTCTTTCCCCACTGCTCTTAAATCCAGGTGATCCCTCCTGAGTACAAAGGAGCATCGCCTCACTGGAAAACCACTTGTGAACATGAACTTTATCTTTTTAAATAGCACTCACCATTTTCATTGTGGGTGCGCCCAGTTTCCGCTGTTGTGCAACTACCACCAACAACCAGCTCTACACTTTTCCAGTCCTGCAAACGGAAAGCTCACTCCACAAAACCCCCAGTCTACTGTGTCTCTAGGAACCTGACTGCTCTAGGTCGCTCAGAGAAGGCAGTCGGGTTTTACGCACTTGTGACTGGCTCATTTATCAGCACGCTGTCTTCCAACTGCATCCTTGCTGTAACACGTATTAAGATTGCCTTTCTTCTTAAGGCTGAACAGCAGTCCTGTGTGTGTTTGCATATCACATTTTATTAATCCGTTCACCCATCAATGCATACTGTAGCCGTTTTGGCCTTTTGGTTACTATGAATAATGCTGCTTTGAGCACAGGTGTGCAAATCTCTCTCCAAGCCTCTTTTCCAACTCTTTTGGGTTTATCTAGAAGTGGAATTACTGGATCACACAGCAATTCTGCTTTTAATTTTTTAAAAATTGCCACAGCCTTCCATAGCAGTCACATAATTTTATATCCCAGCCTGTGGTGCATGGTATAAAAGGGTTTTACTTTCTCCACACTCCAACACTTCCATTTTCTCTCTCTGTGTGTTAATGTCAGCCATCTTAAAGGGTATGATAAATCTTTTTGGTTTTTTTTTTGACACAGTCTCCCAAGGTAGTCAGGTTGATCTTTAACTCATTATGTGGCCCAGCCTGGCCTCAAACTCACAGGACCCTCCCTCAGCCTCTTCACTGTGGTTTTTATTTCCCTTTCCCTAATATTTAGTAAAATTGCACATCTTTTTATGACTTGTCTGCCATTTGTGCATCTTTTTCAAGAAATGTCTATTCAAGTCCTCTGCTTACTTTCTTTTTTTGGTACCGGGAATCGAACTCACGGCCTTGTGTTTGTTAGGCAAGCACTTATGCCACTGAGCTAAATCCCTGGCCCATCTCTGCTTACTTTCTAATTACATCACTTTTTATTGTTATTGTTGAGTCATAAGAGTTCCATATTTTTTTCTTTCAAATAGATAATGGATGAGGGGACCACAGAAGTAGCTCACTGGTCCAGGAAAACTCGATTTTTATTCTTCCTCCTTGTCTTTTCTTCTTTGGTTTGCCTGAATAAAACCATCCTCCTCCATGAGCCCTTTGCTCCAATCACACAGATTTGCATTCTGTATTTACTCCAGAGTCCTGCCACCTGCTTGTCCTGAGAATGGTGAGCATGGGCTCCAGTCAGACTGCTGAGCACCAATGGGAGGCCACTTCTGCTTCCCTGTGTGCAAGGAGGGCTGATGACAGCAACTCCAGAAGTTGAGAAGACTTAGCAGGACATGTACTAAGTACACAGTACCTGGCACATAACAAGTGCTCAGTATATGTTAGCCAAAGGTCAGAGTGATTATCCTTACTTTTTGGCATTGTTCAAATCAGCACTTTTTTTTTGAGACAGGGTCTTATGCAGTCCAGGCTGGTCTTGAACCTGCAATGATTCTTTTGCCTCAGCCTTCTGAGTGCTGGGATTACAGGTGTGTGTCACCACACCCGGCCATGTTCTTGGCTTTTTTGAGACAGGGTCTTACTTTGTAGTTCAGGCTGACTCAAAATCATGGCAATGCTCTTGCCTCAGCCTCCTAAGTGCTAAAATTACACATGTGCACCACTGCACCTGGATAATGAAGCACTTTATGTGTGTATACATGTGTGTGTATTTTGAGACAGCATTTCACCATGCACTCCAGGCTGGCCTTGAACTCATGGCGATCTCCTGCCTCAGCTTCTAGAGTGCTGGGATTATAGGTGTGAGCTTCCAGGTCCAGCCAATGAAGCACTGTCAAGTCACAGATTCTTTTGGGATTGATAAGCTAAGGAACAGGATAATAATCATCCTTTCCCCATACATGACAATTAGCCTGACTCGTATTTATCATTCTCATGCATGTTTTTACACACCTGCAACCTATGCACCCATAGGTTGCCCTCTTTTGTGCTGGGAACTGAACCCAGGGTCCTGTGCATGCATGGTAAGCCCATGCTCTACCACTGAGCCACACCCCCAACCCTCTGGTGACTCTTATGAAGTTTTAAAACTTTCTGTAAGTGCATCATTCTGCATGCATTCTCCCATACTCTGCTCTTCACTCAACACTGAGCCCCTGAGATTTAGTCATGCTGCCCTATGCAACTGGAGGTGCTGAGTGACCCAAAGTGAACACACATTATGTTCCCTCTCTGGCGGATGAGCAAATGGACTTTTCAGCTTCTGGGCTTCTGGGCTCCTTCTCCCCAGGCTGCACTGGGAGCCATCATCCCCATCAATGACTCAATACTTTAAATGCTGACAGCAAGCCAGGGTCAGCTTTTCCACAGGAAGCACAGGAGAGTACAGAGCCCCTCATCAAGATCACGGGGAATGAGCCCCGAGTAGGTCCCAGTCACAGTGCTATTCTGCTTTCCCGGGAATAGGTGCATAGTGTCATAATGACGGTGGTTTCTGGCCCAGCAGCAGACTCTGCTAAATGCCCCAGTGCAGACTAGGGCCTCCGGAAAGGCCAAAAGACCAGCAGCAGCTCATGGTTTTAGGGTTGCTTTTCAGAGGTGCAATGTTTTTAACAGGCTCTGGTTTGCTCCAGAACCCTTGCCTGTGTAGTGTTTCATACCACTGCAGACTTGGAGTGATGGGCCCCATCTCTGCTGAATGACACAGTGAACCTGGACTCTGCCCAGGAGTATAAAGCGTCATGCTTACTTGCTCAAGTGGCAGTTGGGAGAAAGGTGACAGAAAGCCTTGGCCAAAGGCTGTCAAAAATAACTAGAGATCCCTTTCCATGGACCCAGTGTGAAGAATGAACTTGGAAGAAACCATCAGTCTTACTTTACTGTCATGTGAACTCAGCCTAGAATAACTTTTAGAACTGTAAACTTTCAATCTCAGATCTCTTTCCAAAGCAATCTGGTTAATGGTGAAATAAACACTGATGTATGACTATAGGAGTCTGACGCTTTTCAAGCGTGAGCCTCAGTTTCATCTGCAGACTTGGAGAAGACCCACTCAGCAGACAGGGCATGAGAGGCCTGGCTGGCATGGTCAGTAAAGGGTCACTATCAGCATCACCTCCTTACAAGGCCAGTCTCACCAACGTTGCAGTAGTAGAGATTCCAACATTTGGCCTTGATTGTCTCAGTGCTCCAAAGAAACCTTAGTCCATTCTCTGTTACTATAACAAAATTCTTGAGGCTGCATAACATACAAAGAAAAGAGGTTTATTTAGCTCATCAGGTTGGAGGTTCAAGAGAATGGCCCAGGCATCAAGTTGACTCTGGCAAGGATCTTATGGCTAATGGCATCATGGTAGAACAGGAACCACATGGTAAGACAGGAAGCCAAGGATGGGGAGAGGCCAGGCTTGCTCTTTTCTAAGGGCAGCATCCTCAGCAATCTGATTATTTTCCACTAAACCCCAACTCCTAAAGTTTCTATCACCTCCCAGCCCCCTCTCTCTAAAGACCAAGCCTCCAAAGCCTGAACCCTTGGGAACATAGTCAAACCATTTCCAAACCCTAACTGGAGAACAGATTTAATAAGTGAAACAAGTTTGTCCAAAGAGCTAGGCCTTGAGCCTAGTATTCTAGTAGGTGCCCTGTGTGACTTTCATGGTTGCTTCAGGGTCTATTCCCTAGGTCCTGGACAGGTATCAAGATAAGGACATACACTGGATCCCAGTCTGCAAAGTCTGTTACATAAATGGATAGGAAGACATGAAGGGGGCAATGCTGATCCAGCTCACTGGAGGCCTTAAATACGCCAGCACCATGCACTCAAACGGGGGCATCTGCAGAGGCAGACAGGACCTCAGAGAGGGAGACAAACAGAACCAGAAGGCCAACATCATCTCCAGGCAAAGCCCCATTGCTACATAGAGTTCAAGCCTAGATTCACTATCATCCTTGAATGTGAGACAGTTGCAGATCTAATGCAAGGAACGGACAGTTGGTGAAGATGGAGCCAGCACCAGGGGCGGCTGGCCTCCTCTACAGGGGACTGTAGCAAAGGGCTTTTCCTTATACTCCCCGAAGTAAAACCAGCCTGGAAGTTGCCCTGGGTGTGAGTGGGCACTGATTTATTTATTTATTAGACTCGAATGCTTTAGTACAGAACGGTACAGAGATGATACATGTTTGTGCTTCAATACTTTCAAACACTGAGATTCTGATAATTTAAAGATAAACAAGTTTCAAGACAGACTAGCGGTTTTTAAAATATCCTTTTGATAAATTATTTTTATATAAATAACAGAAAGGAAAACTGACATGTTTGACAAACAAAGTCCTGAAGCATGAGCATTGCTTGGTCAGAGAGAGGGGACAAAACAAGTAGCAACGATAAGAAACAAACCAATGCAAGGCCCTATAGTTCTGTCCTAAGGAAATAAGATCTCTTAAGGGGAGAAGGCTAACCAGAGGAGACCTGAATACTAATCTGAGTGCACAGGGAGGTTTGAAAGCCTGGAGAAGAGAACGGCACAATGCATCTAAACAGGACGGGCAAGGAACATATCGAAGGAAGGCGGAGGCTGCGCTGAGCTGAATTAGCATATATCACATTTGCAATGACATCACAAGACACAGTAAGATACACACAGTCTGCGGGAGGGAGAGGGAGTGGGGGCTAGGCAGGGACGTTTTTGTGACTTCCACTGTCATATTTTGCAACAACAGCAGCAGGATAAGCGGTGTGCTTATTCCCAGTGACTGGGAAACTGCTGAGTCCTGAGGATGAGGAGACATCCTTCCAGCATCTGTTTCTTTAATTTCTGCATTATAGCTATATTTTTATACAGAGAGCAAAATGATCATTTCCTCTTACGACCACGATGACATGACTGCACAATACACAAAATAAAGAACCATGGGTATCTTAAACTGAGGATAATCTTAACAAATGTTGCTTGCAAGGTGGGGACAGATTCAGCCTCAATCCAATGAATAAGGACAGCAGGGCACTGTTCTTCAGGTCCCCTGCCCAAGCTGACGCTGCTCATGAAAAGCAGCTGTTAGGGATGGTAAGAGAGGAAAGGGTCTGACGGTCAAGTGGGCAGGCCTAACTATTCACTAGAGGAGATGGAGGTCCCAACAAGTGACTGCTTTTCACACACTGTGGTGACTCAGGCGGCAGGATTTCCCTCAGGGTCACAACCCGGGAGGGCAGTGGCAGCTGCAGAGAAGCTGCTAGCCAATATCCAGCCTGGCTATGTGTGAACATCCCGTCTCTACCCACAGCTGTGCTGCCAGGGGCAGGGAGTACTAGGGGGAGAATCTCCAACCTCACAATGTGTCTGACCCTGATTGTCACTTCTCAGCTGATCTGCATGAAAACAGACACCAAGGGGAGGGACTGGAATGAAGAGAACAGATTCATCCTCAGTGTGAAATACTTTGAGAACACAGACACTTCTATGAATCCCAACAAGAACAGGGACAACCCAAAACAAGATCATAATTACACCCAATCTTCTGCCTTTCCATACACAAGCAATTTGCTGGGACTATGTACAAGGTCACAGAATCATAAATAACGGGGAGTCGTTCATTCATTCTAGAGTTCACAGACTTCCGCGGCACAGCGCTTGCACGTGAACTACTCTTTTAAAAAACACAATGCATTATTCTCTTTTGTTCCAAGGAAAAGAGGGCATCATGAAACACAAGAATGCAGCGCGACAGGGCTGGCCAGAGCGTGCAGGGCTGGGAGGCAGCAAAGCAACCAAGGCGTCGCGCTAGGGAACTGCGGAGCACTGTGGGAAGGGGGCGTGGCCTGGGGGGCAGCTTATTTTTTTTAACTGCTTGTTTCTTCATCTGTTTTGTTCAGTTTCTTCAGCGTGTCCAGCAGTTTCTGTGGGGTGAGAATGTGCGTGGATCCTGAGGGAGGCAGAGAAGACAGTGAGCGTGCCCGTTCTGGCTTCGCATGCTTCCTTTCCTGCACTTCTCCACTCCCCACTCTGTGCCCATTCTCCTCCCCCACCCTGGTACGGGTCCAGGGAAAGCAGGGAGGCCTTGGGGATGGGGTCTGGGCCCTGCCACAGCAGGCCTGGGAGATGTTTGGGAACTGTGGTTGAAGAAAATACATCATCTAGCTCAGACACGGTTCCCAGCTATATTGAGGAACAAACCGCAGGAAACTCCCATTGGAGCCCAGCGTTGTCTGCATCTCTCTGAACTCAAGGTGAATGAAGCCAGGGAGAGAAATTTTTAAGTGTGGCCAGGGGAGAAGGGTGACAGCATGGCAGGGGACAGGCAGACAACAAGGCTGTTAGGGAACCATGTGTGGAAAGGATGGTATCTGACAGGGAGGTCATGAGTGGGCAAAGCCCCTGGGGAAGTAACTGACCTTGGGGAGCCAGCAGACTGGCTCTGCAGTGATGAGGGACCTCAGGTGTGAGAGGGGAAGGGCAGGGACCTGAGGCCTTACCTTGCAGAGACCGCGCATTGTAAGATTAGAAATGCTTGCCAAAGTTTAAGCTAATGGAATCAGATAATCTTCTAGTGCAAAAGTAAAAATAAATAAATAAATAAATTAAAAATGAAGGCTTCTTTCATAAGGAGAGATCTAGTAAGTGCAGTAAAAAATGAGGCATGGACCGTGTGATCTGGACATGGATTCAACCAAACAGAAAGGAAGTGACTGGTGGCTTGTGAGCATGAGGCCTGCACGCATGCAGCTGTGGAATTCAAAGAAAGATCCTGGTGGGAAGGAAGAACTAAACAAAAGAGCTCCTGCTTGAAAATGTGCCTCCCTGGAGACCTGGTGAGGGATGGGCCTTTGTGGGAGCAGGGAGTGGAAACCCCAAATGCCAATTTCCCTCCAAGGCAGGCAAAAGAAAGCTCTGGCTGGCATATTGGGCATGATTCTGACACCAGGGCCCCTGTGCCTCTGACCAGTTGCTTGCTTGGCTGACCAGGACTGCTGGCACAGGACACTTTCCTGGTCAGTCTGGATTGGCAAACAATGGGCAATATCCTGTTCCTTGTGAGAGGCATCTGCCAACATCCCATCCTCTGCAACTCCATCCCAGGCACTCACTGCTCTGAGACAGAAGCCAGCTCTTAGTTACTTCTCAGGGCCACTGACTGGATGTCCCCAAAACCCAGCCCATCTGTGCCCCTGCTCTCTCAAACTGCCTCACTATTCTGCAGACCTGAGGCTCCTAAAGCAGAGGGGAAACAGGTTTCAGGAATGTGTTCCTGGGTGTTTTTAGAGTGCTCTTTTTACCCTGAAGCAATCCCCTTGTGAACTTATCAATCTTCTCCCTAGTCCTAGAGGAAGTCAAAGGCTGTTGGACAAACAAGGTCAAAAGTCATAAACATGAGTGCAGCTCTGAAGTGCAAACTGCTGCTAGAGTGAGGCCTTCGAACCTCAACTCAATGCAGCCAGTGCGTCTAGACTTGGGAAGAGTCTCTGCAGCACCTCGAGGCAACAGGCAGCACACCTTCGAGAGAAACCTAGCTCACTGTTCCCCAGCTCCCAGCTGCACTCCAGGAAACAAGACTGCAGACTCAGTTCTAAGGATAACTCCAACTCTCAAGAGGCTTCTCTGGTCAAAATCCTGTCTCTAAAGGTGCCCCCCACCTGTATGTTGGTATCCTGCCAACATACAAATCCAGCAGTTGGGGAGACCAAAGAGAGGTAAATGAATCCATGTGCTAGAATTTTCTGCTATTATCTGATCACAGACCTTCTGAAATTCTGTCCTGACTGAGAATTTTAGGACAGAGGCTTGGTGACAACCAGGTATATTCCTGGGCCTTCTCTCACCTGGTCTCTCTCTTTTTTTTCTTCTTTTTCATTTTTATCGGTACCGGGGATCAAACTCATGGCCGCCTGCTTGCAAGGCAGGTGCTTATGCCGCTGAGCTAAATCCCCAGCCCCTCACCTGGTCTCTTAAGGAATCAGATCAGTTAGTATTAAATCAAATGACCTCAAAATAAATTTCTTTCTTTCTTTTTTTGGTACCAGGGATCGAACTCACAACCTCACACTTGTCCAGCAGGCGCTTATACCACTGAGCCAAATCCCCGGCCCCTCAAAACCAATTTCTGAGACACAATAGTTTGTATCATTTTGTTAATGTTGATCAAGCCTTTCTTTACCATAACCACTGCAAACAGAGCTCAATGAATCCAATAGGCAAAATTTACAAATGTTCCCATTTTGAGTCTAAATGTGGCTGCCCATGTCAGCCTTCCAGAAAAATCAGCAGGTGGTTTCTGCTGCTCTTGGTCCACTTCACATAACTGGATAATGATGACACAAAGTGGGCACCTGGCCAAGGTTTTCAAAGCCATGGGCAACAAAAAAACCTGATAGGACAAAATCCTTTCTCTACGCTGATATCAGCTGGACAAGCAAGAGTTCTAAGACTGGCTAATCACTCAGTACAAGTTGGCGCAGACCTACAGATCCTGGAAGACCCCAGTGGCAGTGGCAAGGCAAGCTTGATGACTAAGGATGTCAGGAGCGCAGCAGTCAGGCCCACTCCTCCACCCACAGGCAAGAAGAAGGAAGGTCAGAGTGGACGAGTGCTTGCTTAGGGTAAGCTGGTGGCACAGAGGGAGTCTCTGTTCTCTCAATTCTGGTTACTTGGGGGCTTCCTGGGAGGGAAAAAGATACAGTGATGCTTAACAGCAGCTGGGCTCTGAACCTAAGTCCAATCCTGAGTCCCACTGAGAAGGAAACTTACCTGATCCCAGTCTGGAATAAAGTAAAAATACGAAAAATGAAAATGCAGGCCAGGTGTGGTGGCACAGGCCTGTAATCCCAGCACTCGGGAGGCTGAGGCAGGAGTATCACTAAGTTGAGGTGAGCCTGGGCTACAAAGTAAGTTCAAGGTCAGGTTGGATTACATAGTGTCAACCTGTCTCAAAAAGACAAAAAAATCCACCTTTCTCCCAAGTACTATGCATAGCATGGCAGGGCCCATCCAGACCCAGGTTTTTTCATTTGCTGCTGGCAGCCTCTTTGTCAATCCCTCATGACTAGTACTGTTGACCCAAATCAACCAGAGTGAAGAGTTGGAAACTTAGAAGGTGTCACTGCCTGGATGATTCCACACAATCATGGGCAGAGAGTAGGATGAGGATTGGTGGAATCTGCAAAATTCACCTGTCCACACTGACTCCCTAAAACCCAGACCAGAGGAAGCTGCCTCAGGGAGGAGAGGGAGCCACTGGGAAGACAAAGTGACACAGGATGTCTGCTGGAGATAGCGAGTGCTGGGCAGAAGATTCATCTCTCTCTCTCTCTCTCTCTTTTTTTTTTTTTTTTTTGGCTTTTTCCTTTTTATCGGTACCGGGGATCAAACTCACGACTGCCTGCTTGCAAGGCAGGCGCTTATGCCGCTGAGCTAGATTCCCAGCCCCAGAAGATTCATCTTTTAAAAGATGCACTACCACAGAACTGATATTCAACGAGAAAACTCAAGCTCTCCAACAGTCTGCACTGTTTTGCCCTGCGGTCATCTGGGGCTGTCGCATTTTTTCATCCCTGGTGCTGGGAATTGAGCCCAGGGCCTCTAACATGCCAGGCCAAGTGCTCTATCACCAAGCTACATCCCCAGCCCTAAGTCAGGTTGTAATCTGCATTCTGGTTTGCTGGTTGAGCCCTGTAAAACCCAACACTGCCAGCCAACTGTTTTAGAAGCCAGAACTTAGTGCACAGCCAGAACTCATGCTTTCTCCGTCTTGACAGCAGCAAAGCCTCAACTGACTGAATAGAAAATAGGGGAAAGCCTACAAAGGGGAGGCTTCGTGGGAAGCAGGGACCCCAGCATTAATGCCAGCAGGATCCATGAGGCTTAGGTCTGTGATTCCTTTGGATCCTGCAGGCAATCTGTGGTCACTGCAGTTAGCAAGTCCTCTAGGGTCTTCAACCCCTCCTGCAGCAGGTGCTGCCCACCTACTTGCTGAGTGTGCTCAGAACTAGGTGTGCCTAACACCTGAGCAAGATGCTTCTAGGGAATGACTTTTTTTTTTTTTTTTAAAAACCACTTCTATTTCCCACCCACTGGCCTTGCATTCTAGAGGAAGATGAGCCCATGCAGGATGGGGGCCAAAAGCCATCCCCAGCTCCTTTCTGGCTCACGGATACCCTGGAGTATGTCATTCCTCTGCTGGCACCAGGAGAGTGGAAGAGATAAATGGCACAGCCTCCTGTTCCTGTCTTCAGGATGCAGGAACACTTTCCTAATAGAAAGGAACAGCCTTCTGATGTTATCTAGCCCAGGTTCTGTTAGATCATTCCCTTGCAATTCCTCAGAAATTGGGGTGGTCTGCATGATTTGAGGCACATGTCAGAATTACTGAGTTACACACTGTGAGAGCTCCAAGGAGCCTCAGGGTGCTCCAGTCCTGCTTCAGAAGTGGGGTGACCTGTCACTGCATTCATGAAAGAGCAGGGCTGGAATCCAGTCCTCCTGGCCCTGAGTCTAGGTTTCTTCCAACTGCTTATAAGTGACTCAGACTCTGTAACTACTAGACCATATCTCAGTTCACAGTGAGGGGGTATTTTCACTGTTCAACCTCAGTGGTGTAGCCAAGATCAGGTGCACAAAGGTGCCTCATCACGGATTATGTAATAAAGATGAGGAACTATGCTGTAACAGATCAGTCAGTCACTTGAAACACATTATAGGAGGCGCTAACACTTGTGAAGGATGGAGGGAGACAAAGGAATGAAGACGATGTGGAAAAACAACATTTGGATCATCTACCAAACAGCAAAGGGGTTCCTGGGTAGCCAGCTTGCTGGGAGAGAGAAGGAAACTCTTACAAGGCCATAGCATCTAGAAGAGATTTTCCCTGAAAGGCTTCAGACCTCACCAAGAACCCTCACAGGGAGACAGTGTGCAATCACTCACCTGCTGGAAGATTCGCAGGAGAATGAAAATAAAAGCAAGTTCTTAGAGAGCTGATGACTAGGGTATGCCATTTTCTTTCTTTTTTTTTGGTACCAGGGACAAATTCATGATCTTTCACTTGCCAGGCAGGTGCTTGTGCTGCTGAGCTAAACTCCTGGCCCTATAGCACATGCCGTTTTCTGGAGAGCAACATTAGACAAAAGCACGTCTCACTGGAGACTGGAGCAACATTAGACAAAAGCACGTCTCACTGGTAGCTTGTGCCAGTCATCCATAGCACCTGTCTCTTGGGTAAGTGCCTGTGCTGGCCAAAGGCAGTCTTACATCTACCACAGATGTGGCTTCTTCCCCACTCTCCTCCAAGCCTTCCTTGCCTGGATACCCATGGGCATCTCCCCTGGATGCTGCCTTTTCCAGAGGACTTCACTCGCAAGGTCCTGTGCCACGCTACCACCAGAGCACTTACATTCCCCGAGGGAGCCCATGGCATGCCCCTGGGGAGCAGGTACGGGCACCATGCCTCAGGTATCCCTCAACCTCCGGCTACTGCTCTGAGGACTGCTCGCAAGGCAGTCCTACTGTGCTGGTGTAACCCCATGGCTGCCGCCACCTGCCTGAGCAGCATGTAGCCCAAGGCATGAGTGAGCTGGTGGGTCAGAGCCCAGAGGGGTTAGGGGTCAGGGTGGGTATAAAGGCAGTGCTGGACACATTTTCAATCGGTGTTTAGAACTGCAAGCATTTTCTTGTTAAAATAAAATTTTTTTTAAAAAGAAAGAAAAAAAGAAAGAAAGAAACCAAAGGGAAAAATAAAGAAAAAAGAGTGACGGAATAATCAAAGAAAACCCTTCAGAGTGGAAGAGTTTCTTTTCTGTAATAAGCTGCTTTTACTTTTTTCTTTGGCTCTCACTCCATTGTTGGAGCCTGATCCTCAAAAGATACCCTAGAGGACTCCCTGAAGTCGGGGTGTCTCAGGTCCATGAGAAATTTGGTGGGAGTAAGAATATGAGTAGAACCTGTGGGAGAACAGAGGCCAGCTGACTGCTTGAACAAAGGTAGGTCACAGGAACATGCCAATTTAGGCCTACGTTGTCTGCAGCCAATGAGGCGTGAGGAAGCAGGACACACAGGCAGGCATGCATGCACACACATACACACAGAGGCAGCAAGGCAGCGGGTGTGCACAAAGCAGATGAGGCCACACACTGGATATCAGCTGTCTGCATGAGGCCCCTCCATGAACCTGCAGGGTAACTTTGTACCCCTGGGTTTCTACCTCCCACCACGGAACCTCAAGGCAGATCCAAAGGGGAAGGGTAAGATTTACAGCCAAAGCCTGGCTGTGACAGCTTCTGTCCAGGAAAGCTGTGTTTCAGCTTGTAATTATTCAACATGTTCATGCAACACATATGCAAGCAGAAAAACAGCTGCACAACTTGGGCCTATGCCACCGAGAGGAGAACAGCTACAGGGTGAACTGGCAATCAGTTAGGGGAGGCCTGAAGGCCTGGGGAGGGAAACGCACTCTTCCCACCAGGGGACACTACCGAGCAGTCCATCTTGGACCCAGGAGGCCATGGCTGGTTTATGGAGCCTGCATACTTGGATATCTTGGGAGATGCTGTAGCTTGGTCTCCCCAGTCAAGTTGTAAAATAACACTTATTGAAGTAATGACTGCTTGGGATCATGACTAGTAGTGGGCACTCAGTGGTAGGAGACAGGACTTTCCTGAAGCACTTCAGATGTAAATGGCCTGTGGGGCCATCCATAGGCAGCAGAAAGGACACTAGTGGGGAAACACAGAACACCCCTTTTGAAGGACACTAAGGTCCCGGCCTCATGCTTTCCTCAGAGTATGTTCCCACAGAGGCCCCAGCCTCTTGTTGACAGAGCACTGAACGGGACACTGGAGTCAAGCTGGTAGGTCCTGGGCACTATCTCCTCGCACACGGTCCATCCATCTCCAGCTGATGGGTGGAGGAGGACATGAAGGACTTCCTGCCCTCAGTGGAGTACCAGTGGTATGGGCCCAGTGCTGGGAAACTTGCAGCTCTCAACTCAGGCCTAGATCCACACTGCAAGTGGGTGTTATAAAGCTGGTTTTTTTGGGTAAGGAGAATGGCTTCTTGGTAAGTCACTTGCTCAAGGTGACTCCACTTGGCAGTGGCAGACAACAGGTTTCAGCCTGAGTGCTGGACTCTATGATCAGGCACTTTCCGCCTCATGGCACTGCCTTTCAGAAAGGACAAACAGGAGAAGGGAACCCTTTGCCCCTTTATTTCTGCTACCTAGGTTTCCAGGACTGGGTTTAACTGGGGCGATGGAGAACCTAGGATGGAATGCGACACCAAAGCATGGAATGGAGTCTGAGCAATGAGATAGCTCCTTCCTCTGGAAGGCTCATGGGACTCACCTATCAGCACCTCCCATTTGCCGTTGGCCTGGGTCACCTCATAAGCACAGCGCATCTCGTTCAGGCTCACACCCCCGAGGATGAAAATAATGAGGCGAGGGCCACTGCGGTACTCCCCCGGGGCCTTATTCTTGTGCCAGTGCCCGTAGCGGGCGCTGAGGAGAGAGAGAAAGAGAGTGATGTCTACCTGCACTTAGAGAATCTCATTCTTTATAATGCGGTGGCTGTCCATGCCATGCTGTATGGCTGGACTCAACATAGACCAGACACTTGCATGGGAAGGCTGAATTGAATGCCAATGGAATTCCAACCCATGTGGACACCTATACTGTGGCTTTGTCACTCTAGAAGCACGCAGGCAACAGACAGGCTCAGCCAACTCTGGTGCTGGACAGGTCGCTTTCAGCAGCTTTCCAGCACTGTGCTCATTCAAGTGTCTGCTCCAGACTGTGCACCATCCTGAGCTGGCCTGGGGCACTGAGTTGTGAGGACAGACAGGTCCTCCTCACTGGTTGTCTCACCAGTTCCCTCAGGTAGGCTGGGCTGTGCAGCCCTGGCTCCCCAAAGAGACAGCCCCTGCCAGCCAAGAGGTCGAAGTTCAGAGACTGGGTGAGTGAGAGAAGCAGTCTGCACCGTGCTGTGAAGGAGGAGAGCTCAGCGCTCTTGTACCCTGAAGATGGGGACAGGTGGAGCGCACAGCTGGGCCAGGCACCACTGCCAGGCCACCCTGAGGGGCACCGGTGAGCAGCCCTGCAGTTTAGGGGCTCCCTAAGTCCCTATGACTCCCTCACAACAGAGAGAAAGGTTGGGAAAGCAGGAAAACCGAATGGAAAACAAATCTTGTCTGAATCCTGAGGTATTTTGGCTCAGGACAGCATTCTAGCTGCTTTCCAACCTGGATACATCTGGTGCTCTGTCTCCCCCTGCTGTCCTAGGGAATCAAATTTAGGACCTTGGGCTTGCCAGGCAAGGGATCTGGTCTTTTATTACAAGTTCAGCAATGAACATTTCACCTGTGCTACCATCAGAGAGAAAACGCCAGAGCACAAATGCCACCCCAGGCCTCTGGCCCAGGGCCAGGAAGGTTAAAAATGACAATGGAGAGAAGAGAAGCAAGAAAGAAGACAGGCAGAAAAGCAGAGGAAAAGTGACAAAGGGGAATGCATTCTAGACCGTCAACCCTGGGAACTACAGTCACTGGTGCTGGCAGTCACCCTCTTGGAGTCACTAACTGCTCTCCCCTGCTCACGTGCTCAACCCCAACTGTTTTCAGGAGTCACAGCATTTTGTTCACTTATTTCAGTCAGTGAATGTTGGCACTATTTCCACACTAGGGCTATGACAGAGTCACTGTGAATGCAGTGTACCAGAATTTAACCAGGGTAGTCAGGGAGAAGCAGAGGTTGTAACACTTGGTTAAAGACCCAAAGGGAGTAAGTATAGGCTGTACAGATGCCTCTGGTGCATTTCAGGCAAAGGGAAACCCAAGTGCAAAGGACCTGAGAAGTGGGCCTGACAAGGGGGCTGGTGTGGTTGAAGCCGAGTTTGCAAGAGAGGAATGAGAAAGGAGAAGCCATGGGGGCTGTGGTAGGGACCTGGCTGCACTGGGGAATGGTGAGGGGCCCTTACACATCGTAAGAGACAGCCATGTGGCTGTCATCCAACTAGATCCCATCTTCCTGCTCACCCCACGTGTACCTACCTGACAGCGGTGGTACTAAAGGAAGCAGAGGAGCGGGTGGAGATATATGGGTAGTGCTTGGTATCAAGTTTGTCCTCGATAGTATCCTGCAGAGAAGAAACACAGAGGTCAGGCCTGCCATCTATAAGCATGATGCTAAGAGCATGGGAGGCAGTGAAATTGAAGCCAGGTTTGGAACCACCTGTGCTCTCTCACCACTGCGAAGGCTCAGCCATGGCTCATGTCAACCACATGCTGCACAGCTGGCTGTAATACTGCTCAGAGTCGGGAAGTCTACTCTTAAATAAAGTATAAAAAAGAAAGTAAGTTTTGCATTTTCTCCTCCAATTTTCTCTTCAAAAATAATCTATCTGAAGTTACACATGTGCTCTGCCCATGGGAAGGGCAGGAGCAGAGTCTTTCCTGCAGCCTTTGAGGGGCTGATTGTCTGGTGGGTGGGTTCCAGCCAGCTTCAGCTGCCTGATAATCCAAGTTCTTCCCAAGAGCCACCATGTGACACCTACACATGTCCTTGGAGGCCTGGGGAGCAGGAGGAGAGGGAAATAGTAGAAAACAAAAGAGAGAATGGGACTCAGAGGCTGGCTGTATCTGTTCCACAGAGCAAAAAATTGGTTTCAGTATATTTTCTGTCCACCTGTCCTTTTGGATTATGTGCTTCAAACACAGGAAGCTGATTCATCCTATTTAAAATTATATATATATAATATTTTCTTTTCTGGGGCTGGGGATTTAGCTCAGCGGCATAAGCTCCTGCCTTGCAAGCAGGCAGTCGTGAGTTCGATCCCCGGTACCGATAAAAAAGGAAAAAGACAAAAAAGAAATTTCTTTTCTTTTTGGTGGAGCTGGGGATTGAACCCAGAACCTTATGTACACAAAGCACAAGGCAAAGGGAAACTCAAGTGCAAAGGACCTGAGGCAGAAGTAGGCCACACCCTCAGTCCTAAAATATGTTTACCTTAATGTATGATTCAGTAGGGGTGCTACAAACTAAGGGATCCTGGACAAGTCCTTTTCTTCCTGGGACCCTTGTTTTGCTTGCCTGCCAAGTATGGAAGTTGAGCAGGTTATCTTGAGGCCAATCCCAAAGATCTGGTGGTACAGGACTATACAGATTCTTCCCGCTACAAGGAGAGAAGCTGGGACATGGTAGGAACACAAGAGCCACTGTGATGCCACCACTTTTATCATCCTACAGCCAACAGATGCAGATCACCCGCTATGTGCAAGGCTCTGTGCCAGAGGACAGGCAGCCAAGGAGATGGGATTATTGCATAAGATGACCCAACTGTAAGCAGCACATGTGCACATAAGGGCACTTAACACTGCTTTAAGAGGTTGCGCTGCGCCAGTGGTCAGACATATGGGGTGACCAATGGGCACCATGTGATCTTACAAAGGTCTGAGGGAAAGCAGGACTCAGGGAAGGGCCAGAACACTCCAGGTAAGGGATCTGTTTAACACAAAACAGAGGCCTGGCCTCTTGGTGGGAGTGCTCAGGGAGGGGAGCAGTAGGAGTGGCAGGTCAGGCTGCATCACCTTGCTAAGAGCCTTCCACAATGGGTACCCTGCTATGTGACTCTGAGATGCTGCCATATGTCTGGCTCCTTAGGACACTGCACCATCTGAGGGCCCCCAATGCACAGGGCCGCATCTCTCAAGACAAAAAAAAAAGCAAATGGGTGGCTCCTAGGGGCTCCGTCTCTTTATGAGCCCTTGGAGTAAGGTGCACTTACTCTCTCAGGGAAATGAGACCACAGGGTGTCATGGTCACCTGAGAGCAAGTGAGACTGGAAGCACCTGGCTCCTCCTCCGCACCCTGCCACTGACCTCCATGATGTCCTTGATGATCGGGGTCCACCGTGAGAGCTGGTAGGTCTGCTCACTGATGCGCTCCTTCCGCTCTGGCTTGCTCCTGCGGCGCAGCGTGGACTGGAGGCAAGCACATGCGGCATTGGACTCTCATCAGGGGCCACCCATGCCTCAGTGGCCTCTGGAAATTCTCTCGAGCACTCCCTCAGAGTCAGCATTGGCAGAGTGATAAGAGGGGAGGTTCTCCCCACAACAGCATAAAATTTGCCCCCTTTAGGGCTAGAACAAATTTGGTTCTTTAAAGTCATGCAAGATGACAAACATGGCTCAAATATAAAAATTTTTTAAAAACGATATAAGGCCAGGGATATAGGTCAGTGGCACAGCGTCTGCCTGGCAAACACAAAGTCCTGAGTTCTCTTGATACAAAAAACCAAAACCATCCAAACAAACAATATCCAGGTAAGTAAAAAAATGTTTTTTGCCATCATGAGCCTTATGGCATGCCTGTAATTTTAGTTACACTGAAGGCAAAGACAGGAGCATTACAAATTTGAGGCCAGTCTTGGCAACTCAGCAAGACCCTGTCTCAAAAAAATAAAATAAATAAATAAAAGGGCTGGGTTTGTAGGTTGGTAATAGAGCACTTGCTTGGCATATGCAAGGCCCTACATTTAATTCCCAGTACCTCAAGGGGAAAAAAAAAGTTTCCTGCCTATGGTAGGAGAAAATATCCCCTTTGGATATGATTTAGTTTTTATTTCAGTAGTATAAACTGTACTAAGTGAATTTTCTCTGTTAGCATTTTGATCTTTCTTTTTTTTTTTTTTTATTGGTACCGGGGATCGAACTCATGGCCACACACTTGCAAGGCAGGCATTTATGCCACTGAGCTAAATCCCCAGCCCAACATTTTGATCTTTCTTGTGAACAGGGTATATAAACATCAAATCCTGCCAGTGACAAACTGACCACTGATGGCCATGGCAAAGAGCCTGGGTCTGTAAGGTTCTGGCTCACATACAGCTCTGCTATTTCTGCTCCATAGGCTGCCTGCCTGTAGGTGGAACAAGTTCTGAAAGGCACTGTAGGGCCCTGCCCAGAGCATAGTATGTGGGGCTCCAGATCACCTGCCTGGCTTAGTTCTTGCCCAACCCCTCTGCCCAATGCTCAGAAGTAGCAAGGCTGCCCACTTTGTAATGTAGCCTTCACCTCCTCAGGGGAGACACCGAGTCTGAGATATCCAAGGTAAAGTCAGACCATCCTCAAGATACAAGAGGTGAAACTGGATGACCTCTTAGATTTTGGTTCAGAGATGCAGCAGCTCAGTTTTGATGACCATACAATGCCAAGCGGTGCACATCTGCTTACTCTGTTTCTTGGATACCTTCATCCCCCTTATTTTATCTGCACAGGTGTGTCATGAGACACTGTCCCTTATTATAGGAGCAGACACCACCCTCTCCCCACTGCTACCATCAAGGGCCCTCACATCCGTGACGATGGGCACACCGAGGTGTGCCATGTTGGTGATGATCTCACTGTCCTCTGGGGGAATCTGGGCATGTTGGATCAGCTTGTTCAGATTCTCCTCTGTGATGCCTGTAGGCACAAGACAGCCATCAGCACACTTAGCCATTGCCCACCATGACCCACTTCCCTTCTGCTGAAGACAGCAGAAATTGGTGCCACTCGACTCTAAGCTGCTCGACTCTAAGCCAAAACCAGAACAATGCTCTCCCTTTCCATTCAAGTCACTCTGCCCTATGTGATATCATCAGTAGCTGGCCCTTGCCGTCGGGGTTTCCATCTGCCTGCTTTTTAGCAATGCCTACCCACCCCCACTGTGCGTCAAAGTCCTATTGGACAAGCGAGTCTTTTTACCCTTCTCCTACACTGTAGACACTTTGGCAACTGTGGGTGAAAGTCCATTCTTTGATAAAAGAGTAGAGATGACAAATGTGAAGCAAGTTAAGATCACTGGCAGGAAAAGCTCAGTAAACTGCCATGAAGCCAGTCAGCTCTGCCTCCTCTCTGTCATTTGCACTGGCTCCTGAGAATCATGCGGGGCCCCTCAGCCTCTGGCTGCAACTGATTTGACTACACTGCATCTCCCCAAGCATGAAGAGCCTCCAGAACCTACTCTTCTTCCCCTTTCTCTCTCTCTTTTTTTAAACTGAGAATCAAGCTCAGGACCTCATGTTTGCCAGGGAGGTGCAGTGCTGCTGAGCCATATCCTGGCCCCTTTCTGTCTCTTATAAAACACTTTTCTACTGTTTTCTCTTACAGCCTATCCCCTCTGCATATCCTGCCTTTCTTACCGTTCTTCAAAAAGATGTAGAGAAGGATGATACGGATTTTGTCATAAGTGCTGACATTTGCATCCAGCAGGATGGGGACAATGGCTCTCATGGGATCCTTGATCTTCTCCCCTTCTGCATCTGTGCCCATTGCCAGGTCCTGTAGAAAACACACTTTTTTTTCTACTTCTGGTGATATTTGCACAGATGGCACTTTAGAAGTTCAGGGCCCACCAATGTCTGGGGTCTGCAGTCTGGTTGGGTCAGAGTGTTAACAGGGCTTCTCCTCACAACATGCAGAATCAGCATTGGTGTTGACGCTGCTTTGGACAGCATTGGTTAGAGTGCATGGCAGCCTCTAAGTGTCTTCCCCAGGCCCTGCCCCCTCATGTGAGGTAAGTCCTCCCATAGGTGAGTGTGCCTGAGGGTGCCTATGCCAGTCCCTAGGCCACTGGCAGCCCAAGAGAACTCTGGAAACTCAAGGAGCCTCTGCATGGTTAGATTCTCTCCATTCCACTTCCCCTGGCATGAAAGGACAAGGTTTTTGAGTTCTGACTACTGTAGGGTTTTAACTTTTATTTTTAATCCTCTCACCACTTTAAAGGATGAGGGGGAAAAAAAAGCAGAGGGTTTTCCAAATCTGAAAACTTGTGCCCTGGGAGATGAAGGAAGACAGAAAGGCTGGGAAGGAACACAATACCCTGCCCCACTGTACGCCTCGGGTATGCAATGTGCTGTGCTCCATAAGCTAAGGCCACCCGGTCTAGTTCTTAGGGGAACCCCTGGTCCCCACAGCTTCCTCTGTGGCTCTCTGGAGACTTCCTTTCCAGGAGTTCACAAAAATGAGGATTTCAAGTGATTGCTACTCGCCAGACCAAGTCTGAGGAAGCCAGGATGGCCCACCTCTCCCAGGCTCTCTCTCATCTCTCCTTGCAGAGGCCCTGACTCTGCAAGTCTGGTTAAATGCAATGAGTTCAACAATACCTCTGAGAAGTTTTAAACTTTCAAAGCTTAATCTCAGACTGCATTTTTATTGATCTAAGAACCTGCTTTCTGGTTGGTTAAACTCCTTTGGAAAGGATACCTTAGCTCACCTGAGAAGTGGATGGTTTCTGCCCCTTATAAAATAGCAACAACATGGATAGGGCTTGCAGACCTAAGCTGGGTGCTCTCAGCACTGCAAAGGATTTACCCTGAGAACCTGAGTTGGCATCTTACTGTGAAAAAAGACTTTTAGCTCAGACCTCACAATCTTTTAGTGTCCTCTCTCTTCCCTTACAGGTTGACAGCAGCTGGGGGAAGCTCAATGGTAGAACAGTGCTTGATTTGTGCAAATCCCTGAGTTCCATCCCCAGCACGGTAAAAAAAAAAAAAAAAAGTTAATACATAGTTTAGTAACATTGTCACACTTGAAAAAAAGAGGGACAGGTCAAAGGACTCTATACAATACCCCTAAAAAATGTGTCAGTTTTGTGAATTTCCTTTTGTAGAAAAGGAAAATGCAGAAATAGACATATATATATATATATATCTCTCTGAAATATATATGTGTTATGCCTATATATATTAGTGACAGAGACAGAACTCAAATCCCAATCTCTCAGTTTCTAGGATAGCATGTGATCAAGGGTTGGGAAGGTTCCTGACCTACTACTGCCCTGCCTTCTCTCAGTTATGATGTCTCCAAAGCCTGCCTGCTGATAGCAGGGACAGCAGGAGGGGAACACACTGAGAACGTAAAATTCAGCCTGTTGATATACGACTGGGAACTCTCTATGTCTCTCTTCAGCCATTCCAGGGAAAATAGTCTTTCAAAACAGCCAGGCATGCAAAATCCAAATGGCACAGCACTCCAGATTAGTCTAGTCCCTACCATGGAGAATGGAACCAGATCAGCTCCAGGGCTGAGACAACATGAGGTCGCAGGTTCTCCCATGTCTACTTCCTATGATTCTGCAGGATGTTCAAGGTCAAATATTAAAAATCAGTTGGGTGAAAGGGCATGGCAGAAGCCCCGCCATGCAGAAAGGGAAGAAAATGTCCTACCTGTTCCACTCGGCAAAGTTTATCTACAGTGCCTTGGTAATGCTTCATACAGTCTTCGGCAAGGTGCAGGTGGGTTGAATACTAGGAAAAACCACAGAGCATTAGTGATCAAGGAAATAATCACTGGCTCACACCGCATCAGTTGAACATCTACAACACACAACACGATCCTGGGCTCTATCGGTATCTGGCCTCCTAAGGACAGAAAATGTGTGCACATGACTATAAATACACAAGGGAGAAAATGTTCTGTGTCACGAGGGAGGATCGAGGTGTGCTGGTTTTACAAGGTGTCCAAAAATTCTTTGATACACTTTCTTCCAGGAGAGGAAACTTCCCTTTCCTTCTCTTCAAGTGGGTGGGGCCAGATTTCACATCCACCTCTCACTCATACTGGACAGAAGCGTGGATATGTGACAAGTAAACTCAGGTCACCTTCCTGGCCTGCTCTCAGAGCCCTCAGTGTGGGAAAGCCTATGGCCAGTGTGAGGACATCCAGGCATGGGGAAAGACCTGTGTGGAAGGAGCCGGGGCCTCCCACCCACAGCAAGGGAGTAGGAAGAGCAAAAGAAGAGAAAGACAAGGAGAGAAAGCAGAGGGATAGGAAAAAAGTTGTCTATCTTAGGCCTTTTCTTTCTAATAAAAGTTTTAAAGAGGATTAAAAATACATAGATTTCAACTGGAGTAGTAGGGCTCTACAAGATCTTCTTGCAGCTGTTTACACGCAGGATTCCAATGCATCCTTTAGAATTTCCACACCTTGCTGAGCTCTTTCTGGTACTGGGGCATCTTCTTCAGCATCTGGGACAGGTCCCGCATAGTGGTCTAAGGAAAATGAAAAGGAAAGCAGTGGTGTAGCTCTACTGGCCTTGACCTAACACACTATGCAAGGTGCCAGGCAGGACTGCAGCTACACTGGACTCCCCAACAGCATGCCCTGGGGCTCTCAAGATGAAGCTCTTAAACACGAGATCGAGTGTGTTTAGACTTCCAGGCCTCTGGCTCAAAAACATTGCTCTAAATGTCATGGTTGTTTTCCAGGTGGAACACTAAACCCTGAAGTCTAACACTTCGTTTTATTCCACTGGATTAGAAAGTTGTTGAGAGTATAATTCTTGCCAATTTTTTTTTTCTTTTTTTCTCTCTATACTACTTTTGGCATCAAGTGTGTACTTCTGCTCAGCAGAAGGGCTGCAACTGTAGGCAGGTGGAAAGCAGGGAGGTTCGAGAGGGCTAAGAGCCACCCTCCCAACAGATCAGATAGGTCTGCTTACTTTCTGACTGTAGGACCCATCTAATCCTGTTCATTTATCCAACACAAATCTATGGGAGTACTACATACCTCAAGCATTATAAGGCACTGGAGATACAAGGACAAAATAAAAACCATTTAAAAAAAAGGAATTTCTGCTTCATGATCTTTATTTATTTATTTATTTATTTGTGGTACTGGGGATTGAACTCATGATCTAATGCTTGCCAGGCAGGCACTTATGCCGCTGAGCTAAATCCCCAGCCCTGCTTCATGATCTTAACCCTTAGCAGAGGCACCAAACAAGTCATGGCAATAGAGTGGATCTTGGCTTCTGGAGCAGACTCAGTGGGTAGCCTGAGTGCATGTAACTTACACCTCAGAGGTCCAGAGAGAAGCCAGAGGAGGTTCCCCAAGGAAGCTATGACTGAACAAAGGGCCAGCGAAAGACCTGGGGCAAGAGCATCCTGGCTGGCTGGAATGAGGAGCTAGGGGTAGGGGGTGGCTTGGGAGGGGCTACTGCCAGACAGAAGCAGCTAGATTGTGAGGGGATCCAGAAGACACTAAATGGCTTTGAAGAAAGAGGTAACATGACCAGAGATGCTTTGCTAAGTCCACCCTACTTGACTAAACTGTCAGTCAGTCAGGTTAAAGAGAGGCCTTGGTAAACCAAGCTATTAACTCTAATTCTACCAAGCTAAAAAGTTTCAAGGTTTTCTGGCTTAAAATGATCCCTGAGCCAAATGTGGTAGTGTATGCCTATAATCCCAGCACTTCGGAAGGCTGAAACAGGAGGACTGCAAGTTCAAGGCAACCTGGGCAACTTAGTGAGACCCTACCTCAAAAAAAAAAAAAAAAAAGATTTACAAAACATAAAGGGGTGGGTATGCAGCTCAGTGCAAAAGCCTTGGGTTCAATCCCCAATACTGAGGTAGCGGGAAACACCATGATCTCAAACAATAGATACCAAATAATAAAAATTGGTTTCCTATAAACATCAAAATATTGAACCTCCCTGACTCTTAAATGCACAAAGAAAACAACTGATATAAAATGAAGATAGAAATGTGATTTCTATTTATTCTGAGGGGTATCTTCCTTTACTTAGTGTGACAGCAGGCACACATTTCCAGGTCTTTTGAGCACTGGCAAGTGTTTACCTTATCTCCAGTATTCATTCTCTTGCTGGAAGAAAAGTCTTTCAGAGACCGGGTGACTTCCCTGGAAAATGGAAGAAGGCAGCTAAGTTTCACAGCTACACCAAGGGCCCCCGGGGTGCTGCAGAAGTCACGCAATAGCTTTCCTCAGGCTGGTGCAGCATCTCTCCTGCCACAGAGGTTGTTTAAAGTGATTTTCTAAGTAAAGACAGATATGCTATTTTTCCAACTAATATTCTAAACCAGTGGTCTTCAGGTCAGGGCATGTCAGATGATTCCAGGGACAAAGAAAAGAAAATACCACAGTGTCTATTTGTGTTTAACTCATTCTTTTCAAACAAAAAAAAATACTTTTTGGGGTTTGGGGGCTAACTTTGGTCCTTATACATGTTAAACATACAGTCTACCACTAAGGCTAAGTTCTTAGCCCTGAAATATATCTATTTAAGGCTTGAAAAAAACACCATGTTGCAAAATACACATATTTACACATATTAGTGCAACAAGGCATATAATTAACTCATATACACATTTAATCACTAGAAATGTGGGTCAGGGGGCTGGGGATTTAGCTCAGCGGCATAAGCACCTGCCTTGCAAGCAGGCAGTCATGAATTCGATCCCTGGTACCGGTAAAAAGGAAAAAAGACCAAAAAAAAAAAAGAAATGTGGGTCAGTATTTTTTGAGGTTGAGTAATCAGAAAGATTTGCTGATAATTTCTCTAAACAGAACTACCTAGGAATGTACTGGTTTTTTTCTGTGTGAATTTCCTGAGAACATCACTAATTCAACATCACATTCAACAGAATGTGTCTTTCTGAAAAAGCAGATCTGTTACAATTTACAGGGATTATAACATGTTTAAGTTTTGGAAACACTGTGCAGCATTTCCAGGGCAAAGTACAGCGCAGGCAAGGGCAGGCAAAGAGGAAGATCACATTCGCATTCGCACTCTCTCAAAGGCAAGGCCATACACTGTTTGTCTGAATCTTCCAAAGCAATGAATTGGCTTTACATGCTCGTCTGTTATAGAGTGGATCTAAGATAGCCCCCAGAGCTCAATGTGTTTGGAAGATGAGTGGATTATGGGGCCGTGCAGCTGGCTCGATGCTGGAAGGCCGGGTCTGGTAGAGCAGATGGTCACTGGGTGTGCAGCCTGGACGGGGTTCATCTCAATTCCTAGCTTTTGCTTCCTCTTTCTGCTTTCTGTCCACCATTCCCCACTGCTAGGCTGTCCTGCATTGAAGCCACTTGATTATGGACCAAAATGTGAGCTGACATAAACCTCTCCCTTAAATTGCTGGCCTCAGATATTTTGTCCTAGCAAGGAGAAAAGTAACTAAAATGATGTTTACAAAGCATTTTTCTGGGAATGCTCCAAATGTTTCCTAAGAATTCAAAAAGCACCTAATCTGGAATGGATTTCCTAACTTTGTGAGGAAGGAGTAGCTCAAACGCAGAGAAAGAATGTGTCATTCTTGGAAACAGGCTGGTTGCTTGGTCACGGCAAGGAACTGGCCCCTGAAAGTGCCCAGAGCACAGGCACCACCCACAGCCCTGGGGAGATGTGTGAGCTGGAGCGCATCTTACTGGGACACCTCCGCGATGTGCTTGTGGCGTAGCGCAATCCACAGGTCATCGTCCTCATCTAGGAGCACTTCCTTCACTCGCGCCTCTCCAATGCCACTGGTCTCATACCTAGGGAGAAGATGGACTCAGGCAGTCCACCGGCCACAGCATTTACTAGGCCCCCTCTGCATTGTCATAAATAACACCAGCCTGATCTTTAGCTGCCAGGTGACCAAGCAAATGCTCCTAACATGCTGGTTAGGTCAGCTGTGGCAGCTGGAACCCCAGCAGAAAGTTGGCACTTTACTCCAAGCCAACAAATTGGTTAATACTTCTGCGTTGGCTGGCCTGAGAAGCCCCATCCAGGGCACGAAGTCAGTTACGGTGGCTTAGGAGTTGTATATAGAGGGGAAAGGTAAGGCTCCCGTTTGTCCCTTTCCGGGACAGCATTGTGACAGGATCCCCAAATGTGTGGTGGCAAGATGGCTGGGACAGTTCTCTGCAGCAGGCCTGCAGCATGGCATTACACATGAAATCAGAAACCGCAAGAGAAGCAGAACTGCCGGGATTGGGAGGGAGAGGAGCTGAGAGTCACTTAGTTTCAGAACCTGCACTTGGAAACCACTGCCTTTATGATAAAAGTTATAGAATAAATAACACTAAAGCCACACCATCTGTTTCCATAAAAATAAAAATTGGTTTTTAGACACTGAGATGTTTTGTTTTGTTTTGAGATAAGGTCTCATTATGTAGTTCAGGCTAGCTTTGAACTCACTTTGTAGTCCAGGTTAGCCTCGAACTCCCAGAGATGAACTCTCAGTGACCCTCCTGTCTCATCTTCCCCAGTGCTGGGACTATAGGTGTGAGTCACCAATGCTTGGCTCAAGACATTGAGTTTTTGATCAAAAAAATATTTTTATAATGAAGAAAATGGTTCCACTATACTCCATTACATTGGTTAATATATTCTTTCATATTTTGTGATCTATAATTAAGAACTTTAAATTATGAGTAAAATAAATACACTCAAAACATGAAATCAACCTAATATCCTATATAAGCAGGCTGGGAACTGAGGTGACATACGCTTCAAACTAAAGACCCAAATAAAGTTCCTGTCCTGTCCTTCCTAGAAATGGCATTTAGAATCAGAGAACTCATGGCAAAGTTTACAGGTATATTTGAGAGATTATGTCTCTGTTTCTCATAGGATTAAGAAAAATGCTCTTTTTCTCAGAGGCATTCTCAGTTCATCTGCAAAGCTGCAGTCAACCTGGAGTCTATAGCACTACTTACTTGTAAACGTCATTTTCAATAGGCAGCAGATCATAACTCATAGCCTGAAAAGTCAGTTCATGGAGCACTGGGGAACTGGGGTCAAAGCCACGGTCCAGAATCAGGAGCTGGGAGCGTGCTTTGTCTGGACCCTGGAGAGAAAGAGAGCTACTTCAAAAGCCACCCCACCCAATTCAGCCTCTCCAACTAGTGAAGCCCCTCCTATAAAAGGCAGCAGGAAGCAAATCTACTAAAACAGTATTGAGAAATCCATTCACTGCTTCACAAGAGCACCAATATATCCCATGTGAGGCTCTGCTGCTTGTTACCTTATGAGGGCTCTTTGAAGCAGATCTGGCTGGGGCCCAAAGGGAGCCCTGCCCAGAAGAAGCCTGCCCAGGTTCAGCTACAAAGGAGGTAACCAACTATTTGTTGTGTGGGTGACCAAGAAGTCTGCAAGACTTGGGGCTCTCAATTCTAAATGCAAGGCAGTACTGGAAAAGTTCTGCATCTTTTTTCTTTTCTTTTCTCTTTTTTACTCCTTCACCCTCTTCTTTTTGGGGGGGGGAGTAGTGGTGCTGCTGGGGATTCAACCCAGGGCCTCACACATGCTAAGCCTGTGCTCTACAACTAACCTATGTCTCCAGGCCTCAGAGGCTTCACATGCTGACTGGAATGGTGGTTGCACAAATCTATGCCTGTGTTAAAACTGTACAGAACTGCATGCACACCAGGTACATGCAAAGACTAGTGAAATCTGAATGCATCTAGCAATGGTACCAATGAAAATGGTCAACTGTCTCTGTTCTTGTACCAGTGGGGGTTTCCCTGGAGGAGGGACATTCAGTGCTGAAACTGGGAAACTCTCAGCAAACAGCATCAGATCAGTCCCCTTGGTTGCTCTGAACATAACTGGCTCACGCTGCCCCAGGGCTCTAGACAGTGCATAGGAAAAGCAGCCTCACACAAGCTCTGTGAGCTGCAGAACCATGTTCCCCAGGGACTGTCAAAAAACACTGCCCGTACTTACCTCTCCCATTGTTGGGTCATCAGCTTTATAGGCATCAAGCTTGTCCTGGATTAGCTGAGCCAGCAAGGCATTGTCCTTGTATTCCCTGACAAAGGAGGAATGATAGTGAATGGTCCATGCACCCAAATGATGCAGACTGTCCTGGGAATCTGTAGGACAGTACGGGGAGAGTCAAAAGACATAACCACTGCCTGTGCTAGGTTTGTTTTACGCTAAGAATATATTCATATGTCACGTGATATTTATAAAAGAAAATAAAATACTTAGCTCATTCAGCTCAGTGCCTGGGAACATAAATGATTTTCTGGATTCTTCTCTTTTTTTTTTTTTTTTTTTGTCTTTTTCATTTTTACCGGTACCGGGGATCGAACTCACAACCACCTGCTTGCAAGGCAGGTGCTTATGCCGCTGAGCTAAATCCCCAACCCCTGGATTCTTCTCTTTTAAACACTATCTAATGGAAGCAGTAGTAGTCTTTCCAGGTAACTTTAGATAAACATATTTCAACAGGGGACCCGACCACTCATCTTTTTCCCATGACAAGGATGCCTGAGCTAACCTGTGTGGTTCTCACTTCCCTTGATTCAAATTCCCTTAGGTCTGCTTTGTTTTGCTGGCAAGTGATATTTCTGTCCATAGTCACAGTGAGCCTGTGAACCTCTCCACTTGGCTAATTCTGACAGTGCTTCCTGGGCCCCACCTGGCTTTGCAGATGGTAAGGAGCTGCAGCCCCAACCTCTCAACAGCGCCACTGCTAGCCTAAGTTCCCACTGCTCTGTGAGGAGAGACAGCAAGGCCCATCTCTGCACCTCCACTAGGCTCTTGTCACTGAGTGCCAACAATGGAGGCAGCGGGTTCCAGGGCAGACATGAGCAGGAGCCTTCCTGGAGTCCCCAGTGACAGCAGGCAATGAGGTCAGCTACAGCACAAGGTCCCTGGAACCACTGGGCAGCCAGCCCCGATCCTCGCTCCCCCTTCAGCCTACTGTGTCTGTACTGCCTGGGTGCAGGCTGTCAGACACCACCCTTCTCTCCTCTCCCACTGAAAGTTGGAGGACTGTGGCTGCTGGGGATTATACCCCCCACAAAGTATCTTACTCTCAAAAACCTCTGCAAAGATGATGCTTGCTTTTAAAGGTTAGACAGAATTAAAAACTAAGAAATCAGGGCTCCAGTTACATGGAGGTTTAATTATACTCTTTTCTGAGTATCTTACTGTATTTCACAGTAAGATTTGTAATTTATCTTTTAAATAAATGAAGACTGAGAAAAAAATAAATGAAGATTGGAAGATGTGTGTTTGTGTGTGTGTGTGTGTGTGGTGCTGGGAATGAATGAAACCCGAGGCCTCCCACATGCTAGCAAGTTTGTTCTATCACTGAGCTGTATCCCCAGCCCTTAGAAGACAAAACCCTAAATTTTTTGTTGTTGTTGTTTTGTTTTTAGTACTAGAATTGAACCCAGGGCCTTTGCACTGAGCTATAGCCCAGCCCTCATTTTCATTTTTTGTTTTAAGACACAGTACCATTAAGTCCACTAAACTGCCCAGATTAGGTTTGAATTTGCAACCCTCCTGCCTCAGCCTCCTGGAGTGCTGGGATTACAGATATGTGTTACCCATATCTGGAGGAACTTCAAGACCAGAGGAAGATGGGGCGGGAGGAGAGAGTTCCTCTCCTGGTGACACATAGGTTCCCACTCTTAGCAGACTGTGTTGTCTTACCCCCGATACCGCACAGCCGGGTACTCCTTCAGGGTGGCACAGAGGGTTGCAATCTGCTCCGCCAGACGCTCCAGGATAGGGTTTTTCATCTGAGCCTTGTGGGGACTGTAGAAGCTTTGGAAAGAGTCAGCAGAGTCCAAAGAATACACCTGAACAGAAAATATTGGCATAATATGTGATCATGAATGGTGAGTAGTCATCTCTGCCATAGTGGTGATGGACTTTGGGATGTACTTCCACTTTTCTCAGTGCCAGCTCTGCCCTGAACACTTGGGAACTGTTAGTGACCAAAGAATCCTGCCTTTGGAGAGTCTGTAATATAGTAGGGAAGGCAGAAAATAAATAGAATGAAAAGTAAGTTGTATGGCATTAAGAACTCATAAACCTACGGGAAACTAATATAGCAGGGACAGAGTGCCCAGGTGGGCTGGCACGGAGGACAGTGGGACCCACAGAGGCGATGTCCAAAATGAGGCATTTTGCTACCAGCAGGGGACCTCTGGGGAGGAAATGAGTAGTGCCAAGGACCCAACTGTGAGTCTAGGGTGTTAAGAAGACAATAAAGAGGCCAGGAGATAAATCAGGAGGTTGGTGTAAGATCACATAGGCCAGTATGAGTTTAGTTTCAATAAACAAGGAATGAGCTGGAAAACTATACCACTACTGTGGGCAGGTAAGAGGACTTTTTTTTTATAGGTTTAATAGTATCATGTTCACCAGAGATATAGCTTAGTTTCTAAGTGCCTGCCTGGCAAGCGTGAGGTTGTAAGTTTGATCTTCAGCACCCTCCCCCCCAAATCATGTCTCAGTAAAATGTTCTAAGTACTCTGTATTCTTTCCTTTCCTCATTCTCCTCTTCATTTCTTCCCCCTTTCTCCTCCTCTTCCTACTTTTTTTTTTTTTTTTTTTTTGGTCTTTTTGAGACAGACTGACCTTGAACTTGCTTTGTACTCAGGCTGATCTCAAGCTTGTAACAATCCTACTGCCTCAGCCTCCTGCATGCTGGGATTACAGACATGTGTCATCATGCCCAGCTTTTCTCTCTCTCATGAAAGGATCTAGAAATTTAAAATTCTTACTAAATCTATCAGCTGTCTATACTCTCTCAGGTCCTCACTTTTATTTATTTTATTTTACTTTATTTTATTTTGGTCATGAGGACTGAACTCAGGGCCTTCACACTAATCTACATCCCTAGCTTTCCACTCCACACACACTTTTTGAGACAGGGTCTCACCCCATCAATAGGTTGCCTAGGCTGGTCTCAAATTTACAATCTTTCCACCTCAGCCTCCTAGAGCACTTGCACAGATTGGATTATTGATATGGACTGCTATATATGACTAACATTTTCCTTTATGTAAACTACTCTGATCTCTTTAAAAAATAATCTTTAAGAAACATTTGTTAGCTGAGTGTAGTGGTGCATGCCAGTAATCCCAGCACTCAGGAGGCTGATGTATGAAGATTGTTGTGAGTTTGAGGCCAGCCTGGGCTACAAAGTAACTCAAGGCCAGTCTAAACTGCATAGTGAGACCCTGTCTCAAAAAGACCAAAAAAAAAAAAAAAAAAAAAAAGAAAGAAAGAAAGAAAAGAAAAGAAAAAAAAGAAGAAACATTTATTATTTTCTTAAAATTTCTGAAATATTGCTGGGCATGATGGCACATGCCTGTAATTCCAGGAAGCTGGGGTAGGAGGACCCCAAATTCAAGGCAAGCCTGGATAATGCAGTGAGATCCTGTCAATAAATAAGTAAATAAATAAGACTAGGATAGGGGTGATGAGCCTGTGGCACACATGCTTCAGTGGGCACACAAGCCAAGTTACCCTAGCATCCAAGTATCAGATACTCAAGTTTAATAGCAGTGCCGGCACTTTGCAATAAATAAGTGGGTTTTGGTAACAGTTTGGGCACTCAGTCTCTAAAAAGTTTGCCACCCCTGGACTGGTAGTACTTGCCTAGCATGCAGACGGTCCTTAGTTCAAAACCCAGTTTAAAAAAAATCTGAAACGGGATGGTTGGACCTGCTAAAGCTGGATTTTGTTGAATCCAGGTGGTCACAGGATTCACACAGAGGAAAAAATTTCTTTCCTTCAAACAGGAAAACAGCTTTAAGCCAAGTGAGAAAAAAAATGAGACATTTCTAAATGTTCACACTGCATCTTTTCCACCCCTCTTCTTCTAAGAATAGGTTGCTCTCTGGTTCTAAAGCTGATCCATAAAGATCCAATATGCCACAAACATCTTTTACCACCACAAAATGCATAAAAGTCCTGTGGTATTTTTATTCTTCATTTGTTAGGAAAAGATATTTTTAAAAGCCTTAAAAATATAAGATAAATTTGGTATATTCTCTCACAAGCAGCTTCACCTTTACTGGTTTAACAACTTTGTTTTTTTCCAAGGGGAGAAGTTTGCTGCTGTGGCCTTTGGTGCATGAAACATTAACAGCTAATGACGGTGACGACCATCTGTTCTTGTAGCACGTGACAAGCCAAGGTTATCTCCAATAAAAAGAGTCTCCTTGTGGCAGATGGGATGCGCCTCCCCTCCTCACCCTCCTTTTAGACAGGCTACTTTTGGTTATCCAAGGAGTCAGCCAAGAGGAGTGAACACTAAACTAGAATGATGTGCACCCAGAGAAAGCAATGCTGGCTGATATGAAGTCAGAAGTAATCGGCAAGTTAGATGAGGGCATCAGGCAGATGCCTATGGGAAACCTTTTCCATTATAAATACACATCCACATACAACATGTCCTTTGGCCAATTCAGAACTCGAAACTTCCCCTGCTTTCTTTATTATACCCCACCCCACCCTCTCAGAGCTTCTGGTAGGATAATCCCCTGCCCAGTCTCACCTGGGATTCGTATGGGAGAAATGCAATGTTGATTTCCGTCAGTGTTTTGATGACTTTGGCTGCTCGAGATTTTACCAGCTCATTAAACAGAGCATCTGGACAAGCTGCAAGAAGGAGAAAAGAATCAGTTTCCCTTTCCTTTGCTGGTTCATTTAATAGCTACATTATATTCAATGATTCTTTATTATTCAGATTTTTATTTTATGTTATTTTATTATTTATTTATTTAGATAGGACCTTGCTATGCAGTTCAGGCTGGCCTTGAGTTCACTATGTAGCCCAGGCTGGCTTCAAATTCAGCAATTGATCACCTGCCTCAGTCTCCCAAGGGCTAGGATATAAGCATGGATCACCATGCCCAGCTCTTATTATTTAAGTTTTTAAAAGATAATTTGAAAATTCATCCTATCCTAAAATATCCTGTATCTTTAGGTTTAAGAGGAATGGAAAATCACCTGTAAGGCCCTCAACAAGTCACAGATATACAAAGAGCAATAGACTGAGATACTAAGAGCTAATAAAAACTATTTTCTGATTCCAAAGAAAAGAGGGGAGGGGGCAGGGGATTTAGCTCAGCCACATAAGCGCCTGCCTTGCAAGCAGGCAGTCGTGAGTTCGATCCCGGATACCGATAAAAACGAAAAAGACCCAAAAAAAAAAAAAAAAAGAAAAGAAAAGAGGGGAGGATGAACCAGAAGAAATTGTTCAGGGAAAAGGAACACTAGTACATTGTTGGTGGGATGGTAACCTAGTACAATTACTATGGAAATCATCTAAAATAAAAATCTAAAATAGAAATTTCATTTGATTTAGGTATTCCCCTTCCAGTTATCTTTCCATAAGAGTTAAAATCATTATAATACAGGATACACGCATACTCCTGTTTATAACAGCACAATTCATAATAGCTAAATCTTGAAACAACATACTGCATCTGTCCCTCAACAGATGAGTAGATAAGGAAAACACAGCATTTACAGCAAATGGAGTGCTACACTGCCATCCACTTGAGGCATTCATAGGCAAATGGAAGCAAACCAAGGACATAATAGTAAGTGAAATAAGTCAGATACACAAACTCAAATATCCCATGGTTTCTCTTATATGAGAAACACAACAAAATAAAAGAGAAATAAACAGGAAATAAGTTCAAATATTGTCCCAAATTACAAGTTCTATCGTTTTAAAAATATTTAATATGCATGCTAATTGGCTTCATTTGTACTAGTTTTCTTAGTTCATTGAAAAAGAAATATTTGTGTTATCTTTTTTTCCTAAGAATCTTTTTGATTTGTATCTTGTACTCTAACTACTTTGAAGACAAGAATAAATAGTGTAGTAACATGTTTTTCTCTTATTACTTGATTATGAATTTTTTTTTATTTTTTCATAAAATAAAAAGAAACTGAAGTGATTAAGAGGAGATAAATAAAGGCCTTCAGTATAACCAAGTACCACACTTAACACATTTATAAGAAGGAAAAATAAAAAATCAGCAGGAAATGTGATGCAGGCCCCCATCTTCCCTAAAACCTTAAGGACCAGATGCACAGAGTTCCCCGGGGTGGGGACCATGACTTTCAGCAGCTGTCCCAGGCCAAAAGCTTCAGCTGTCCAGGAATGTGCTCCTGATCTGCTGTCCCTATTCCTCTCTTTGTCACACCTGCTCAAATACTTCTGACTATTCTGTGCTAAGCCCTTCCCATTTCCTCAGTGGTTGCTTGGGGAGATCTTTCTCTAGAAAGAAGGTGAGGTGAAGCCACTGCTGTCTACTCTGTAGCGTCTCACCTCTCACAGATTCTCCCTCTAGGATCCATGCACAACCCATACAAAATACAAAAACCAGCTCCAGGGCAGTGAAGTAGGTTCTACTGACGCTAAGACCATTGCATGGACCTCACTGTCAGAAACCCGCTGGAAATGCACTAAACGTCAGAGTGCTGGCTGCAAGTCTGTGCACAAAACCCCAAGGCAGCAGCAGGAAAACACTTCTGTGCGAGAAGCCTCTGGTTTAGGAGCCCGGCGAGGTTTCTCATCAGGAAAAACTGCATGACCTACCAGGCTTGTATGGGTGTGATTATTTCTGTCTCTTACACAATTTACCTTCCAACGAGAAAATAAAAGATCAGGACACCTATGGCAACAACGTGTCTCTCCCCTATTGATCTAACCCGGTTTGGGTTCAGCCCAGTTGGGCAGAAAGGCAAACCTGGCCAGGCAAAGGCAGCTCACCGCTACTTACAGTCCGTGAAGAAGACGTGTGCAGCCCGGTATTTAGCAGTCGGAGGGTCCTTAAAGTCACTGATGAGAGAGTGCACTGACTGCGGACAGAAACAAAAGAGGGTGCTAAGGGCATTACAGAACCAATGGGACTGAGAACCGCACTGAGTGACATCCAAGTGGTGTCAGGCTACCTGCACAAGACAATAGAGGGTTTTTATTGACGTATAATTCTAGCACTCATGTTCTGTCAGTCAGGTTCTCAGCATTTGAAACCAGGATTGTTTCAGAGTTTAGCTCACTGCAGAATGACAATGTGAGTGCCACAGTACTTGAGTTTCTGAGAAGAGACCCATGAAACAGGGCAGAAACCTTGTGGGAGACTCATGTTGATGAAGCTCTGGCAATGTAGCTGCGTCTGCAGGAACTCACAAGTAAGTGAATTTTCAAAAGTGATAAGAAAGTGTGAAAATCAGAGATCTTTCTTTGTGACAGGGTCTAGCTAAATGGCCCACCTGGGCTCAAACTAGAATCTTCCTGCCTCAGCCTACCAAATAGCTGGGATTATACATGTGCAACATCATGTCTGGCTCAGAGGAATTTTTTAATACAGGTAAAAATGCAATGTCCATAATCCTAGGTCTCAGGAGACTGAGGCAGGAGGATCAATGCAAATTTTAGCCTGAGCTATGCAGTGAGTTCAAGGTCAGTTTGAACTATATATATCAAAAGCCTGTCTCAGAAAACAAAAACAAAAACTAAATTAAGAGATCTAAACTAGCTGAGCTGGGGTGCAAACTTGTAATTTCAGCAGTTGGGAGGCTGAGGCAGGAGGACTGCTACGATTTCCAAGTAAGCCTGGGCTACAAAGTGAGTCCAAGGCCAGCCTGAACTGCACTGTGAAACCCCATTTTAAAAAGACAAAAAAAAAAAAAAAAAAAAAAAAAAAAAAAGACAGAAAGAGAGACAGAGAAAGAGTTAGTTAGTTAGTTCTAAGATAACTACCAACCAAAGTAAGGGCATAGACTTGGAATCTGGTTAACAATCCTTCAAAATTAAGGAAAACAGGGATATTAACTGGCCATTGATGAAATAAATCTGAAAATCTGAAACAAAATACCAAAGCCAGAGGTGGATCTTCTGCCTGAGAGGACTGCAAGAGGGAAAACTAATGATCCAGGAGATAGCAGCTCTGACTTTCTGCATAGTTGCTTAGCACAAAAGGTTTAATACACCTTCACTTCCCATCATCTGACCTCCCGTGGATCACATGCTTAAACAGATCAGTGCATTAAATGCGTGCTTAACCTAGAAACTCGGGGTGCTGTGCGCCAGAGATCCCAAGCCCAGCACGTGTAAGCCAGCCTGAGCTCTTCTGGGAGGATTTACCTTCTCGGAAGGAGTGATAAGATACACGGCTTCCAGGCTGGGGAGCGGTTCTCTGCGCTTGTTGATGTCTTCCACAACTAGAGGATAAAACAGCCCACGGTGAATAAGAAAACATGACTAAGGTCATAAAACTAGAAGCACCATAGACAGGCCACCTTCAGACTGGCAGGTCAAAGGGTACAGTAGGAAGGAAGAAAAAGAATCTTCACTCCTTCCTTAAAGTTAGCATATTGCTTGGATATGAACTCCAGTGTTTCACTATGACCAAGATGTTAGAAAACCTAATTTTTTCCCCCTTGAGACAGGGTCTTGTGAAGTTGCTGAAGTGTCCAAATTGAGCTCAAACTTGCAATTGTCTTGCCTCAGTCTCCCAGAAAACTCAAATCTTATCACACTCATCAGCTCTCATTTCAGTTTAAGTAAATTCCTTTGCTATAAGAGGAAATGGCAATGCTGACTCATCCTGTCAAGGTTTCTTTAGCTTCTCCTCATCTGTCCTAAATAATCTCAGTTCCTTTAGAATTTCCATGATGGGTTTATATATCAACAATTGGAAAGTTTTACCATTTTCTTCTGTACATCAAATCAAGACATTCCAAACATATCCTTTATGTAATGCCACTCCGCTCAGGAGGTCAGAGATGAAGCGTGCTGTTCTGTTAAAGCGATCCACAGGCTCTGGACTACAGTGTTTCCTTTATGACCATATCAGCTACTTTGCCCAAGAAAAGCAGCTCTGGAGAGCTTCCTCATCTCAGCAGCCACCCGATACAGTTTAGGGTGTATAACCCATATCACACTGCCTGATGGCTCACACAGAATGTACAGCTGTGTATCATTCTTTCTACATGGACATTTAATATAAAAAAGGCATCACTTTAGAAGTATTCTTTGTAACATTTATAAAAACTTTCACGCCAAATAATCCCCTAACCATCTACTTTACTTTTGGAGCCAGCACAGTTCACAGTTGTGAACTTTTTAATTTTCCTAAATGAGGACATATTTTGAATCCTGCCTTTGTGGGGAGGGAAGAGTTGTCCTATCACAGGAAGTCAGTGACAATGTCTAACATGGATGAATTAAGAGATAATAGTATAAAATCTTTTACTTAGAAATATATATACAAAAAACAAAGGAAGAGCAAGGTGATGGCTTTAGGGCTGTGGATCCCAGAGGATGTGGACAGAGTATTAAACTTATTAAATTTCATTTGACTTTTCCCCCTTTCTCTGCATTTTTTTCTCTGATAGAGAAAAATAGAGTTTGTCTGTCTGTTTGAAGGGGGTCTCATTATCCTGACCAGATCTGCAGGCCTTGGGCTCAAATCATCTTCTTGCCTCAGCTTTCTAAGTAGCTGGGACTATAGGTATGTTCCACTATATCTGGTTGGGGGGAAAAAGTTACAAAAATTCAGCCAGAAAGCTAGCTATGATGGTCACATTTGTAATTCTAGTTACTCAGGAAGCTTCAAGACCTTCTTAGATAAGTTAGAGTTTCGAAAAAATAAAAAGTTGAGATGAAACTCAGTGGCAAGAGTGCTCACCTAGTATGCATGAGGCCTAGTAACACACACACACACACACACACACACACACACACACACACACACACACACCCCACTGAGGAAAATAACTGCAAGCTCAGAATAGGAGCAAGCCTGGTCAAAAAACTGACTTGGAACCAAAGCATGGTACATGCCTGTAATTCCAGAAAGTTTGAGACCGGTGGGATTACACAGTCAGTTCAAAATTAGCCTGAGCTACATCGTGAGATCTTGTCTCAAAACACCAAAAACAAAACCATGCTACTCTTGACAGCTATGTCCCATCTGGGACCCCTATGCCAACATTCTGGGAACTCTATTACCCATGTGGATACACATCATATCCTCACTGGCTTACAGGACACAGATACCTACTGCGTTACTACTCTGCCAAGGGTTTTTAAAATTAGAGGTGTATCAGCTGCCACTCCCCCAGACAGGAGCTCCTATTTCTCTGCGTCCTCGCTGTTTGGTACATCTGTGGTAGTGGCTCACTATGGTTTGCATGGGGTTTTCCTAATCACCAACAAGGTGGGCATTTTTCATATATGCATTGGCCATTTGGATTTCTTCCCTTATTAAGTCTCTGTCAGGTAGACCATCTTCTTTTCTTGACATAACTTTTCCTTCAACATTAACTGACAGCTAGGTGCAAGGATGCACTCATGAACAGGTAGCCCGGCTCTCCCTTAGGGGCCAACAGTCTTACCACTTAGGTTTTAGCCAACAAGAATAACTAGGAGAGAGTGTCACTGCCCTGCCCCATGTGCTACGCTTACTTGTTATCCCCTCAGTCATGATGTCTGTCATCTTGCAGCAGGAAGACAGCATTCTCATGCTTAACTGGTCCACCACCAGCACCTGGAAGAAAACAGAGGTCATGAGCCACATGGCATCTGCTGATTCTCCCATCAGGTACTGCGCTGGCTTCAGAAAGCACTAGAAATGCAGCCTGTGGGAGAAACCACATTTCCTATGGTCCAAAAGTTTACAGAGACACTTGTTTGCTTTTACTGCCCTCCCCCCAACCTAACCATCTAGGAGTTAGGATTTCCTCAATTTGATTTGACTCAATTTCACAAACTTTTTTTGAAAAAGCTTTTGGTCAGGTTTGAGATGCATGCCTATAATCTTGAGCTGATGCAAGATCACCATGGGTTTGAGGTCAGTCTGGACGCCACAGTATTTTTTGTTGCTGTTTTGTTTTGTTTTGTTTTTTGAGATAGGGTCTCTTTACATAGCCTTGAACTCGTGGTGTAGCCTAGGATGGTCTTGTTAAGGGCTCAGTATCCAAGGATGTGCTCAAACTTGTGATCCTCCTGCCTCGGCCTCCTGAGTGCTGGGATTACAGGCACGTACCACTTTGCTTGGCCATAGTGAGTTTAAGGCCATAGTAGTAAAATTACATAGTAGTAAAAATTACATTTCATAGGGCTGGGGATTTAGCTCAGAGGCATAAGCGCCTGCCTTGCAAGCAGGCAGTCGTGAGTTCGATCCTGGTACCGATTAAAAAAAAAAAAAAAAACTGTAAAAAAAAAACAAAATGAAATGAATTTTTTTTTTTTTTTGGTCTTTTTCCTTTTTATCGGTACCAAGGATCAAACTCACGACTGCCTGCTTGCAAGGCAGGCACTTATGCCACTGAGCTAAATCCCCAGCCCCTTCTTTTTTCTTTTTATTGGTACCAGGGATCGATCTCATGACTGCCTGCTTACAAGGCAGGTGCTTATGCTGCTGAGCTAAATCCCCAGCCCCCATTTCATTTTTAAAAAGTACTCAAAAATGCAAAATGAAGGAAAAGTCATCTATAGTGTCAATGTGGAGAGATAATCACATTAGTGAGTATATATTTTCAGCTAGGTGTGATGGTGCATGCCTGAAATCCCAGCCTTTTGGAATGTGGAGGCAGGGGGATCACAAGTTTAAGCACAACCTGGGATACTGAGCCCTTAGCAAGACCCTGTCTTAAAATAAAAATCAGAAAGGTCTAGGAATATAGCTCAATCTTAAGGCCTTGGGTCTACTCCCCAGTACCATACTAACAAAACTTGCTTTTAAGAGAAGCCAAGAAGTATCCATACATAAGACATGGCATGGAAGGACCTGATGCAGGTGTCATGAAGAGTACTACCTTCCCGAGCACACATATCATCTGGTATCACACTATAGCACTGTGCAGTCTGCAAGAGCAAGAGTGCTCCAGCCCTGGCCTCAAGTCTCACACCTGCACTGTTGGGTGAGCCTTCCGGGAAAGAGAAGCCTCTTTCAGCCTACAGGAAAGAGAGGAAGCCAGCAGTTAAAGCAAGGCTGTTGTTTCTTGTCTTTTAATGACATAAACCAAGGAGGTGATAGGCACCAGACACATCTGGGCAGATAAGTGTGGACAGAAAGCTTTCTGTTGCAGTACCAGAGCTAATCAGTTTCATTTTATGAAGCAGCTTCCTCAAATAACAGTTCAACATTCCCATGCCTATAAATCCATTTCTGATGGGAGGGTACCGGTTCTTGATAATTATAATAAAATCCATTGCCCCTAGAATTAAAGATACTCAAGATGGCCCCATGATAGTGAGGATGGATGTGCTAACCCAAACAGAATTTTACAGGGCCAGAGTGAGGCTTCCAAATCCCTTGGTGCTACGCAGCTCTATTGTTTCCAGGCCCCAGTAGCCTTGCACATGTGAACTCCTGACCACAAGAAAACATAAGGCAAGAGTGGCTGGTATCATCCCTCGGCACCACACAGAGATGTTCACATAAAATTTGGTCAGCATGGCTGGGAAAAACAGAGTGATGCTGAACAGCCTGCCTGTGTTCCAGTGGAGGCCCATTTGACTAGGGAGAAACATTGAGGAAGCCTCTTCCACCTCCCTCCCACCATCACTGGTAGGCAACTAGAGGTGACACAGGCCAAGATGATAACAACTGAAGCAGGGAAGCAACCTGACATGTATGTTATTTGACTTTGCAGGCCTGGGTAACTATTTAGAGGATAACAATATGCAATATAGTAATATTGTGGATTTTCTACTGTCCTATTACTGGTTTTTTTTTTTTGGTTACTGGGGATTGAACTCACAACCTCGCGCTTGCCTGGCAAGCGCTTATGCCACTGAACTAAATCTCCAGCCCTCTATTACTGTTTTGTTTCATTTTGTTTTTCTGTTTTATTCCCTTTAAAATAAAATTTAAAAATTAGCCAGTGTGACACCCGGCCCTGGGCAACAGAGACTGGAAATGCTGACGACATTCATGGAGGACAGCATTCTGTGTCAGTCACTCCAGGAACCTAAGGCTATCTTCAATTTGACTGGTTTCATATGGATTATAGTTTCCAACACTGCCCTAGATGATGCAGGTAAAACTGACAGATGTTATGTGAATATATTAGTCTTTTTTTTTTTTTTTTCTGTCTTAATGTGACCAAGAGAACTTGGAACTGAGATCCTATAAAATGAAAGGCGATGTAGACTGTCTCCTCCAATTTGTGAGCCTTTTGTGGCTTTGGTCACAACAAATCCTTCACTCCCGCCTGACTCTTGCTGTCCAACTCTTATTTTTCCCACATGAACTCAATCTTACGACCATTAATTGCCTTCTTTACTTACCTTCCATTCCCCCTTCTTCTTGACCTTCTTGATCACATCATGCATGATTTCTAAAAAGGAGGGTGAAAGAGACAGAACTTACATATTTGAAGGACTTCCACACCTGTCTATTGTACTAGGTTATTTTCTTTTAGATTCTGTTCTCCAGTCATGCAACTTAGCAATCTATCAATTGAATCCCAGTCAACCCCCCATAAAGATAATCTTCTTCCTGTCACCTTAATTTAGTGGTTCTCCAACTTTTTGTACTCAGGGCTTCTTTGTACTCTTAAAATTTGAGAACCCAGAGAGGGTTGGTTTAAGTGGGTAAATACCTATTAGTATTTGCAATATTACAAATTAGCTATCTGGGCATGGTGGCCTATAATCCCAGAACTCAAGATGCTGAGGCAGGTGGATCACTGTAAGTGTATGGCCAGCCTGGGCTACATAGTGAATCTGGGCTAGCCTGAATTATATAGAGAAATCCTGTCTCACATACATACATAGATATGTACATATGCAAGCAAGCAAGCAAGATGTGGAGGCACACACTTGTGACACCAGCACTCTGGAGACTGAGGCAGGAGGATCACTTTGAGTCTGAGACTAGCCTGGAGTTCAAGGCCAGACTGAACCACATAGGGAGACCCCATCTCAAAAACCCTAAGCAAATAAGTAAATAAAATTAAACTGAAATTTTAAAAAATTGATTTATTTAACATAAAAATAAACCCAGTACATATTAACACAAGTGACTTTTTAACAAAAAATAACTATTTTCCATAATAAAAAATTTTAAGGGAAATGTTGGCAGTGTTTTACATTTTTGTAATCTTCCTTAACATCTGGCTTCACAGGAGACAGTTGGCTGCTTCTGCAGCCAATCTTCTGGGAAACACACAGCATCTGGAAAACTCTACTCATAGATGGATGAGTACTACAGAGGCAAATGACATCTTAATCTTTGACACTTTTGACCCCATGATCCTCTAGAAGAGTCTTGGATTTGAGGACTGCTGCCTTAAAAGAATAAAAGCTTGTGACAATGTCTCAGACCACCGGGGTCTCCTCTAGCTCCAAAACCAGATGTGAACAGCCATTCCGAGGCCTCTCTGACTCTGACTACCTCTGTGGTGCACTCTCATCACCACTCCAGCAGCCCCAGCATCTAACAGCCTCAGAGGTTTCACAAGAAATCTGATACTTGCCACTCAAAACTCAGGGAATGACTCAAAGGCCTACAACTCTCAATTAGCAAGTGCATTTCAAACATTTAGGGCATTCTCAAGGGCCTGATGATTCTAACTCTGAGGGTTTTGTTTGGTTTTCTTTTCTTTTCTTTTCTTTTCTTTTTTTTTTTTTTTTTGTCTTTTTCTATTTTATCGGTACCGGGGATCGAACTCACGACCGCCTGCTTGCAAGGCAGGTGCTTATGCTGCTGAGCTAAATCCCCAGCCCCATTGTTTTTCTTTTTTACTTTTTTGAGACAGGGTCTTTTTTAACCCAGGCTGGCCAAAAACTCAAGGCAATCTTCCTGCCTTAGCCTCCCATGTGCTGGATTACAGGCATGCACTCCAAACCTAGTTCTCTGACTCTGTTTTTGACTATCTTCAATAATCTGACGTGTCATAGACATGATCCGAGGTTTTTAGTAACTTTGTCTTCATTATTTAAAAAGCCATATACCCACTGCAATAAACTTGAAAAACACAGAAAATCACAGATGAAAATATCATGTATTACTTAAATACTTACAACAACTAAAAAGAAAAATCAGGGTCGGGGATTTAGCTCAGTGGCATAAGCACTTGCCTGGCAAGTGCAAAGTTGTGAGTTCAATCCCTGATACCAAAAAAAAGAAAGAAAAAAAGAAAAAAAGAAAGAAAGAAACAAAGAAAAGAAAAGAAAAATCATCTATAATGTTACCAAAAGAACCCTGCAAGTTCAAGGCCAACCCAGGCTTCACAGTGAACTCAAGGCTAGCCAACTTGAAATGCATTACGTCACTTGAAATTTCTTGCCAACTTGAAATGCACTGTTCACTACATAGCAAGACCCTGTCTCAAAAGACAAAAGGGTGTGAGAGCGACCTGTCACCACACTGATCGCTGGGATTGATTTGGCTGACCTGGCTGGCCAGGGAGATGCTCCTTCCTCCCTTCCCTCACTACTCCATGTGTGACCCTCCTAAAGGCTGCACTCTCAGTAGAAAACAACCACTCTCAAAAGAGCAGGACCATTTCATCAGTCATGGAACACAGACCATTTCGTCTGTGTTCCTCTTCTAGAACCTCCAAAAAACAAAACAAAATTTAAAAATCTTGCCAACTTGAAATGATAATTAACATTTTAATTTCCTCTGTACTTTTACACAGTGAAAATCATATTGTATATATAATTTTGTATTATTCTTTTGTATTATACTCATTCTGTACCATACTCAATTTTGTATTACACTCATTTCTCTGTTAATAAAAATTTCCATGGATTTTATATGCCTGCATGATAGTCCATAGTTTAGTTAAAAATAGTTCCAGGGGCTGGGGATTTAGCTCAGCAGCATAAGCGCCTGCCTTGCAAGCAGGCAGTCATGAGTTTGATCCCTGGTACCAATAAAAATGAAAAAGACAAAAAAAAAAAATAGTTCCAATAGCCATTTAAATTATTTTTCATGTTTGGTGGTGAAAAATTAGAAACAAATAAATAACACAGCAGTGATTAATGAGCTCACATTTGTACAACAAAATACTATATACCAATTAGAAATAATGACATGGGAAAATATGTATTCATGCATTTACTCTTTCATTCAATAAATGTTTTATTGTGTAATCACAGTTTGCCAATCACTGTACTAAGCACCAGGAACACATAAGATCCATTCAGCTTTGTGGGCTTACTCTCTAGTGAAGGAAGCAGTCCCTCAAGAAAAGGAATGGTCACAGCTTCCAAGTGCTCTGAAAAAGATAAGGTACTACGAAGAAAGAAGAAGAAGAAGAAGAAGAAGAAGAAGAAGAAGAAGAAGAAGAAGAAGAAGAAGAAGAAGAGGAAGAGGAAGAGGAAGAGGAAGAGGAGAAGAAGGAGGAGAAGGAGGAGGAGAAGGAGGAGGAGAAGAAGAGGAAGAAGAGGAAGAAGAGGAAGAAAAAAGAAGAAGAAGAAGAAGAAGAAGAAGAAGAAGAAGAAGAAGAAGAAGAAGAAGAAGAAGAAGAAGAAGAAGAGGAAGAAACAAAGCAGGTGTGGACAGGGGATAGCCCCATAAACAGAAAACTGAACAAGGGTACCCTAAAGAAGTCAGGCTTGACAAGGAAGCCAGCCAAAAGCTGGGGAAAGAAGAGAAACAAACACAAAGGCTTGAAGTAGAAAAAGGGAAATGTGCCTGTTAGGTTCTTGGAACCTCAAATGGAACAGGTTGGGGATGGAAGTCAGACCATACAGGACCTGCGGCCTTTGGCAAGGAGCATGGGTTTATCTATTTATTTATTTGTACTAAAGATTGAGTCCAGGGCCTTCACACTGAGCTACATCCCCAGTCCTTTTCTTATTTTTTATTTGGGGACAGGGTCTTGAGAAGCTGCTACATAGCCCAAGCTGGGCTCAAATCTACCAATCCTAGCTCAGCCTCCCAGAGTACTGGGATTTACAAGTGTGTGCTGCCATGCCTGGCAAGGAAAGTGATTTTACTGGAAGGGCACTACAAAGGCACAGAAGGCAGGGAGGTGATCTGTCATGCTATGGAGAGGAGAACAAGCACAAAACACGGTCAAGGGGCCTTAGTGACAGTCTGAGCATGACTGGTGGCAGCACATGGGCAGATGTGATGTGTAAATGTGTCACAGGTAAAACTGACAGGGCAAGCTGATGAGCTGGATGAGAGGAAAAGAAAACAAACATGCTAACTCTTAATTTCAGGTTTCAGCAAAGAAATGATGAAGAGACATTTTGAGACATTTAGTGGGAAAAGAAGTGATCAGTAAGAGAATACTAGTTCTATTTGAACTTTCTGTTTTTTAAGACAGAGTCTTGCTATATATTCCAGTCTGGCCTCGAACTCTCAATGATCCTCCTGTCTCAGTCTTCTGAGTGCTGGGATTACCAGTATGTGCCACCACATGTGGCTACTTGCACTATTTTAAGAGGAGATGACTAGTGAATATTCAAGGGGTGATGCTGGTAGTAGAGGTGACTCTGGAGTTTAGCAGAATGACCTTAGTTGCAATTCACAAATTTCAAAGTCATCATCCAACAGAAATAGTAGCCAAGATTGGAGAAATCCCTAGCTCTGATAAGGTGGGTAAGATACAAAACATGGGTCTTTCTTGACCCTGACAAACCTTTCAGTGAAACAGCAAAGATGAAGCCAGGCTAAAAGGGAAGAGGAAGAAAGGCACACAATTCTCAACAGGAACTGTTGCTGAAAAAGGCAACAGAAAGAAACATGAAAACTAACAGTACAGACAGCGATATGAAAGTAAGGTAGGGGGGTTTTGTTTGTTTTTAGGGATGAACACTGATTTAATGATGAAGGCAGGACACAAGAGAAAAGATGGAAAACTAAGCTGAAAAGTTAAACCGAGGTTCCTGTGAAGGCGGCAGTGGCTGGATTTGAGACACAGGGGAGCCTCAGCCCAGTAGGCAGCAGAATACTACACTACATCAGCAAGGAGGAAGGCCACTTGCAGGTGGGCTTGGCGATATGGTGGCAGGGGCTTCCCTGTTGAGATGAAGTCACTGGCTGATGAGGAGAGGGGCTACGTACAGAAGGTTGAAGAAAGGAGATCTCACGTATCCTCCCAGAGACTGGAGAAAGTGAATTTACAGTGTGTGGCACTCATGAACACAGTCCTAAGAGCTAAGAGCCCAAGACCATGCTTTACAATGAAACCAAGCAGCTTACTTTGTACACATGCATGTAGTAAGGTTTCCAACAATGTTCAGACATGGACGGCTAGAGATAGAGAAAAGGAAGGTTTCCACTAAAGTTAAGAGTTGTCTCAGGTGAATCAGAGGGGGAAAAATCCCAAATACTACATAAGGCTTTGGGGAAATGGCACAATGGTATATATTTGTA